GATTCTGGCTTCAAATTCCAACTTTTGGGCCAGGCGCGGTGGCACATGGCTGTCATTCCCTTAGCACTAGGGAGCTAAGGGAAGAAGACTCCCCAGGAGGCTGAGACCAGCCAGGGCTCCACAGTGAGTTCAAGGCCAGGATGGCTGCATACAGAGACCCGGTCTCAGAAAACAACAAACAACAAACAACAAACAAACAAGCGGCCTGCCAGCCAGCCTTCCTCCCCCGGAATTTATGCAGGGTTTAAAAGGTTGTTTTTCTTATCAATTTGTAAGAAACATAAGGTCAAGTTAGTACATCAGTTAGTTAGCCACAGGAACTTCTGCATGGAAGAAGGAAACTTTTTGATGTTTTATAACATTAACAACATTAAAACAAAGTTCATTTTTTCAAAAAGTAACTGGATTGGTGTGTTGGCACACATCTCTAACTAGGCAGGACGGACATCCAGAGTTCCAGGGTAGCCTGCTGGTAGCCTGGGCCTGGACTACAAAGGCAGAACCTGCCCCTGTCTCAAAAACAAACAAACAAACAACAAATACCGCCCCCCCAAAAAAAACCCTTCCAAACACAACAAAAAAGTAGTTTTGTAGAAATTCTGAGAAACACACAGTGAGAAATTGAAGCAACAGAGGCAACAAAGAGAACATCACTAAAACAGAAAGAAAGAAAAAAGAAAGAAAGAAAGAAAGAAAGAAAGAAAGAAAGAAAGAAAGAAAGAAAGGAAGGAAGGAAGAACCCTTCTCCCATTAAAACACATGCCCACTCCGCACCTCGGAAGCACAGGCGAGAACATCACCAGTTAAAGGCCAGCCTACAGAATGCAGTGAGACCCAACAGATAGAGAGAGAGAGAGAGAGAGAGAGAGAGAGAGAGAGAGAGAGAGAGAGAGAAAAGAGAAGAGAAGAGAAGAGAAGAGAAGAGAAGAGAAGAGAAGAGAAGAGAAGAGAGGGAGAGAAGGAGAGAGAGAGAGAAAGCCAGAGAGAGAGAGGAGAGCGAGAGAGAAAGCTAGGTGTGGTGGTGCACATGTGGAATCCCAGCACTTCAGAGGTTGAGGCAGGAAGATCACAGTAAGTTCAAGTCCTGCCTGAACTGCAGGAAAAAAAAAAAAAAAAAGAGAAAGAAAGAGGGAGAAAGAAAAGAGCAAAGAAGAAGGGCTGGAGAATGCAGCCCCGCAGAAGCACACCCCCAGCTCCAATCTCCAGTGAAGCAGTAGGCACTCGGGCACCTGAGCAAGTGAGCAAATGGGTGTCTGCATAAATTTACAAACGAATGGAAAACAAGCAAACGGCTGGGGATGAAGTTCAGAGTTCACTGGGTGGGGCGGGAAGTCTGCTGCCCAGTGAACAGAAGACAAAGACAAAGGAGAGAGGGAGGAAAAGAGGGGGAGAGAGGAGGGTGCGTGGGCCAGGCTTGGCGGTGGAAGTCTAGGGTGGGAGCTGTTGTGAAGGTGAGAGGCCAGGCTGGGGGCAGTTAGTGAGACCTTCCCTAAGTCACAGTAAGACAAAGTGAAGCAGGGCTGTGGTTTCCCGCACCTATCATCTCAGCACAAAAGAATGGGGGTAGGAGTGAGAAAAAACGAAAGATGAAGACGGATTAAACTTTTGAGAAGCAAGTTTAGTCTGATCCCATTTTTGCTTAACAATGATGTACAATACCTGGTCCCTGGTCACCCAGTCTGCTGATGCCTACCAGGCGCTACCTGCGATCTAGGAGTCTGCCCCTCCTCTGTGACCCGTGAATTCTATTCCCTAAAGGCATAAACCTCATCACCTCTGGGCAGTAGGCAAGGGTGACAGGACTTTTGCCATCTTTGTGAGGCCCCAGCTTGTCACTCTGTGTGGACTATTCTGACACCATTCTTTCTCTGCTTCTTGCACTGTGGGCATGAAATACTTCTGCATGGTCCAAAAGCCTGTGGTTGTGTTGCCTGGTGCTTTTTGTCATTGGTCTAGTTCAAATTGCCCCATTGCTCAGGATTTTCTACTAGTTTCTGTGTCCCTGACAGATCCTGTTCTTGATTTCAAGTGTGGCTATGGTCTTCCTTTCTCCCTTTCTTCCGTCCTGCCATTGTATATGGATGAGTTGTACTGAGTGAGTTAGTTTGCGTTCCTGAGAGCAGTCTTTACGGTCCTATTACATTACTAATGGCTTGAGTCTCACTGCCTCTACCCCATCACTGAGTGGACCTACCAGCTACATCTAGGGTTAGACTTAACACGGGGTGCTGGCATTGTGAAGAATTACAGGGACATGTGTCACACTCCTGAGTGCTTAGAGGAGTGCTCTTCCTTCAGACCTCTGAGAGAAAAGTGGTCAATGGCCAGGGAAGGAAGCTCAGGAGATGTTTATGGGCATCAAGAACGGTGACCTGGAAGTGCAGCCGAGCAGACTGTGGTGATGTTGTAGAAGTCAGAACAAGGAGAACAAAGTGTGCAGGAGCCCTGGAAGGGAGAGGGTCTCTTTCAAAATGAAGCTGTGAAACTACTGTCACGTGTTGCACACATGAGGCCCCGCCAGCCCTGCCCCACAGACAGTGGGACTGGCGTGGACAAAGTCTGCAGAGTGTAGTCCAATAGCCTCTGGCTTCCCACAGCCTGAGTGGCGCATCCTGATCCTGGCCATGGAAAGGTGTCCACAGACTGACCTCCTGTGAAGCTAACGTGGCCTCAGTTTGAAGACTCCTCACTCATACAAGGCCTTTCCAGAGCTCTGGGAGGGTGAGAGGAACCTCAGTGAAAGCATGCATCATGTGCATTTCTTAAGTTATGAAAACTTAATATTTTTTGTGGTTTTATTTAAAAGGAACACTTAAATTATATAAGCTTTTGGGCCTATGGAAAATCAACCTGCTTTTAACTATGTCATCAAAAAATGAAGAAAAGAAGGGGATAGGAAGAGAAAATAAGGAGAATAAAGATATGCCTTGAACAGAAACCAGATAGTCTCAGTGCATGTAAACATTATATGTCATAAACATGAGAGACGATTAATAATAGTGACAAGAACAAAAATGGAAAAAGGAAGGAAGGATGTGGGAGGGAAAGGGATTTAAAAAACCATCACCAGTCTACGCTCCCACCAACTGTGGAGCAGTGTCCTTTTTCCCCACGTCCTGGCCGACATTTGTTATCAGTTGATTTCTTGATGGCAGCCAGTCTTTCCAAGAGAGATGAAATCTCAATGCTGTTTTAATCAGCATTTCTCGAATGACCAGTGATGGTGAACATTTCTTCATGTATTTCTTTGCCATTTGTATATCTGCATCTGAGAAGTGTGTGTTCATCTTAGATGCCCATTTTTGAAGAAGGTCTTTGAATTTGGGGGGCTTGATGTTTTTTAATTTTGTATATGTTCTAGATATAGGTCCTTTGTCTGAGGGATTGCTGGCTAAAATTCTTTCCCAATCTGCGTTTTCTTTTCACTTTGTTGGTGATTTCTTTTGAAAAATTTAACAAAATGAGATCGCAGTTGTTCATTCTTTGAAGCACTTTCCCTGTTGGCTTGCGTTTTGTTCATGAATTCTTTGCCTATCCATATGTCTCCAAGATTTCTACCTACCTTGTCTTCGAATAGAGTTAGTGTTTCTGTTTCAATATTTAGATCTTTGATGCATTTGACTTTAGTGCATGGTGAGGTGGGTGGAAGTGCAGCCACTGTGGAAATCAGTATGGAGTTTCCTCAAAAAATTCAGATTGGAAGTTCCATTCAACCCAGCTATTCCCCTCTGGGTATTTTCCCAGAAAAATTGAAAAGGTCATGTCACAGCGATACATGTGCACCCGTGTTTGTAGTAGCACAATTTGTAATAGCTAAATCCTGGAAACAATCAAAATGCCCATCAACCACAGAATGAATGAAAAAAAATGTGGTATTTTTATACAATGAAATACTACTTAGCTACAAAAAGGATGATCTGGAGGCTTTTATAGGTAAATGGAAGCAACTAGAGACTGTCCTCGTAAGTGAAATAAATCAGACTCACATTTGTAAATATCGTACTGTCTCTGTAGTATAAAAAATAATAAAAAAACTGAAAATAATGAGATCTAAAATGTATAATAGGTATTTTAATAATGAGAAGGAAAGAAAGTGCTCTAAAAGATATAACTGTATATATGTTTAAGTATGCAGGGCAGACAACCATATTACCAATTTTTTGTTAGTTTATCAAACAGAAGGTTTTTTTTGTTTGTTTGTTTGTTTTGTCTTTTTCATTTTTATTGGTACCAGAGATCGAACTCATGACCGCCTGCTTGCAAGGCAGGTGCTTAGCTGCTGAGCTAAATCCCCAGCCCCTAAACAGAAGGTTTGCACTGTCATTGTTTAATTATCTGTGCACTTTTTACACTTTGATTTTGTAACTTGAATAGCTACTTCTAAAATAACAATATGTAATGTATCAACTAGTGATTTCTTACTGTTATTTTTTTGAATTCTGTATTATTTCTACCCTTTTTTCTGTTTTGCTTTTTTCTCTAAATAAAAAAAAAATCAAAATATATTATGCATATGTACTCATTACCCAAGATGATTGGAAATTTCATGTACTGAAAACACGTACTAAAAAAAGAAGATATGAAGGAGTTAGTTCCTGTTATCAGGGAAGTAGGGTAAATAACTGAACTGGAAAAAGAAATACAATATGATTAATCCATTTGAGAAAGCTACACTATGTGTGCAGCCCTGGTTCTGAAAAAACAAAGCTAAAAATATCCTATGGTCTTAGTGGGCTATAAGCCAAACTCCTGACTAAAGGCTAAAGGCTAAAGAGTCTGTTACTATAGCAATAAATGATTATATGTTGTTGTTTCTGTTTTTGTTTTGTTGCTTTTGAGGGTCTCACTACGTAGTTCAGGCTGGTCTTGAACTCACTATGTAGCCCAGGCTGGCCTTGAACTCATGGTGATCCTCCTGAGTGCTGGGATTATGGGTTTGTGCTACTATAGGCAGCTGTGACTGGTTATATAAATGTGATTTTTTTCCCCATCTCTTTCAGCACCAGGCAGCTAAATGTCAGCTGCTCCAGTTCAGTGAACATGGAACTATTTCTCCATTACTCCCTCATCCCATCAGTAAGTAAAGGAAGGAGAGGTATCTTTGTTACTTTTCTTGTTGCTGGAACAAAATGCCAAACACCCACAAGTTAAAGGAGGAAAGGTATATTTTAGCTCACAATCTGTAGAGGTTCCAGTCGATAGTCAGCTGACTCCAAGGCAGGGAAGCATGGCAAAGGGGCACTGCAGAGAAAAACCAGTCTGTGGCAGAGCAGGGAGGAGGCAGCAAGCAGCAAGCCTCCCTTTCCCTTTTATTCCACCCAGGCTACACAGCCTTTTGGATGCGCCCCCCACCCTTAGGATGGGCCTTCCCATTATCCATATCCAGAACTCTGTAAGCCAATCAATGAGCTAATTTTGTACCACATGCCCTTAATCCCAGTATCACACACCCCAGCCTAGACACAGCCAGCTCCAAAAAGCCCCACCTACGAGCACATGTGCCTGTGGGGCCACATCTAGATACAGCCCAACAGGAGGAGAGAGAGAAATTGAGTAGCTGTGCCACACAGGCTCCCAAAGTTACCTGAATACATCAGGGAGAGACTCCAGTTGAGATTCCTTCTAAAGAAGCTTTGGCTTAAATTTCTTAGGTTGCCCACCAAAAGTACCGGCAGAAGGAAGCTTTTAAGCACCTAATTGGGATACAGACTTGTAGGAGTGTTAAAAACAACAAAACAGTCCTTCTGAGAAAGTAAAGATAGAGCCAAAGTCTGCTGGAAGAGGTCGTAAAGCACATTTCAGGCAGAGGAGAGAGCCTGCGGAAAAGTCCTGTGATGGGAGGAAGCGTGGAGAGGGCAGGGTGGCCAACGGCTGGGAAGCCTAGGAAGGTAGGCAGGCCCAGGCCAAGAAGAGCCCTGTGGAGGGTGGGGGCTCTGGGCTGGGTTTTGTCTTCTTTCTAAGCACAATGAAAAATAATTGAAGCATTTTTAGCATGAGGGTGGTGTGATCATTTGCGTTTTTGAAAGCCCGCTTGCTCAACTTGGAGGTGGGTAAGGGAAGGGGCTGGCAGACCAACCAAGAGGCTGTTGCAGGGACCTGGGGAGATGAGGCTTTAGTTCATCCTAGATGGTGGTGCAGCAGCCAACTCTAGATCCTGGGAAATGAGACCAGTAGGACTTCATAGCGGGTCGGGTGGGATCGTTAAGGAGAGGGAGAGGCTCAGGATGGTTCTAGGTGTCTGTGTAGCTAGAAGGATGTTGGTTGTCATTCACTAGTTATAGAAAATTAGAAGAGATGCCAGTTTGGGGTCAATGAAAGAACAGGGCATGGAGGAACATTCTGAGTTTCGTTTAAAACATACTGAACTTTCAACATACTAGAAAGAAATGTCAGCCGTGTAGTCACATGGTTCCACACCCATGCACAAGAACTGGGGTAGAGAGCAGGTTTGTGAGCTTTTTGTGTGTTGAGGATCATTAAAAATATGGAAATGGATATGGCCACTGAGGAGGAAAAGATCAGGTACAAAGAAAGGTGGCCTTGGATGGGGCCATGAGAAGCTGTAAATTTAGGAGCTAGGAAAGAACACAGCAAAGGAGACTGAATAGTAATAGAGGAAAGGCAGAAATCACGGTTGATGGTAGCCTAGCACAGAATATTTCCAAAGTGGTCATTACCGAGGCATGCTGTTGAGAGGCCAAGCTGGACTCGGGTTTAAAGTATAATTGGATTGAGCAACAAGATTATCAGAAGGGACGTTGGCCATTGGCCATAGCAGTTTCAATGGGATGATGGGGTAGAAACCAGATTAAAGTGGTTAAAGAGCCAGAGAGAGGTCAGGAGATGAAGACAGCAAGTGTAGACTCAAGAAACTTTCGGTAAAAGGAAATCCTACGAAGGGCATGAAAACATGACTGAATCCACAGGAACACAGCAGAGAAGGGTTTGCAGCCTCACGGATAGTACTGTCTTTTTACAGATGAGGAAACCAAGGTGCAGGGAAGGTAGGGGTTCTTTCTGGGTAGATGTGGGAGAGGTTTGATTTGAACCTATGTCTGATCAGGGAAACACAAAGGAAACCTTAGTATAAAACATTCTGGCAGCTCACATGTACATAGTCAGCCCTCGACCATGAACTGGAGACATCTTGACATTCTGAACGTTGGTCTCACCTACACACGCTCTTCCTGTGAGAACCAGGTTGAGGATAAATAGCCCATTAACATGCTCCTCTTTTCTCGCAGTTTCTCATCATTGTGGTCTTGTCCTTCCTGCAAAGACGAGAGCACCGTAGACAGAAAGATGATACCACTTACCTCCTGGGAAACCACTTTGGAATCATCATGTGAGTTGAATGAGGGTTAGTCCCTACAACCTGGGATGCTCTGCGGTTGGGGCCAATCAGAAAGCCGCGTAGCTCCTAAGTTCTTTCACAGCCTCTTCCCAATCATGAGCTGCCCTGCCCACTCTTCCACCCTGGCAAAGCTCTCAGAAGGCACAATGGGCTTCCAAGCCATTGCAACCTTCCACGACCAGGACTGCCTGGATATGAATGAAGCCCTTATGGAGATTCAGGCCACTATGAAAAAGGCCTTTCCACACTCAGGACCATTTTGAGATGACCTAGTATTACTTCCTTCAGCCACATGGTGTCAGCACAGATGACACCCAGCTCCTCCTCAGGAAGACTGGAAGGAAGAATTCTCATAGGAAGATCTGGATATGGGGCAGGTTGCCCCAAGCTGTGTGTGGCATGTTCCTGGTTTTGATTTGTCAAGCCTTACTGTCAGTATTTCATGGACCAAACTTGTCCCACTTTGCCTTGTGTCATAGCTACTAGCATCCTTGCCACTTCCCCTACTAAATGAGGAGCCCTCCAGGGAAAGAATTTTGGCTTCCTCTCTGCAGTACCTTATCCATGCCTAGCTCTAGGCCTAGCATAGGGGGCCTCAGAAAATTTCAGTTGTAATAAAATAGTTCACCATCCAATAATTCCTCCTCCAGGTGGGAAAGCTGTCTTGTAAATGCTCTGTGAGAATGGTGTCCCATACTCATCTTCTGGCCTCATGAGCTGTTTCTGTTGTCCACAGGCCTCTGGACTTCGTGGGGACTTTTAGTAACCGATGGTCCTATGGAGTAGCCTTTGGAGCCACCGCCAATAAGGTCATGTTCTTGTTCTCAGAAGGCAACCAGCTGCCGCAGGTCCCACAGTGGGCCCAAGGTACTAAGGTTACTTCACACCTGCTGGGAATGTCACCATGGAAATTCTTGCTATTAGAGACCACAGGGTTCTCTGGAATCAGGGGTAAACGTTGTGAAACGTGCCAATGATCTCTTCTACAATTCCGGAGTTGTCAATCCAGTCAGTTCCCTCTTATGGGCTATAAGCCTAAATGATCAAATATGTACTGATGTCTCGTTAGTATTTTAAGAAAATATAAATTAAATCTAAAATGATACATTACCACACATTAGAAATATACAACTTAGGAAGTGTTGGCAAATGTTTATACCCATGAAATCCTTGCAGTAACTAAGAGAGTTAACCTCAGCAGTTCCTTTACTATCCTCTGTAATCTCTCCTTTCCTGCAATTTCCTGTCACTACTCTGCCTCCAGGTAATCACTGACCTGAGCAGTTTGCATTTTCCAAGATTTTATATAAATGGAATCATACAGAATGTCCTCAGTTTTCTTATTTGTTGTTGTTAGGAAGGCATCTGGCTTCTTTCACTCAGTGTAATTATTCTGAGATTTATACATATTTAGCATGTGTCAATAGTTTATCTTTTTATTGCTGAGTAGCATTCTTCTATGTGGATGTCATGGTTTATTCATTTACCTCTTGATGGACATGTAATTTATTTCCGCATCCCAGCTACCACAAAGAGAGCTGCTGTGGACATTTGTGTGTGAGTCTTTATAGGCACCTTTGCTTCCATTTTTCTTGATAAATACCCATGAGTGGTCATGTAGATCACCTAGCAAAATATGCTTTTAAAGAAACTCAGATTGTTTTCCCAAGGTCACTGTGTCATTTTTAGATTACTGTCACCCATATTAGCGTCCCACTTTCTTTTCCACCTCCTTGCCAAGCATGGTATGATCTGTCTCTAACTTAGGCATTCTGAGAGGTATGTGTTGGTATTATTTTGCATGTTCATAATAACTACGATGTTGAGCATATTTTTACCTATTTATTTGCTATTCTTATATCTTTTTTGGTGAAATGCCAGTATAGGTCATTTACCTAGTTTCTTTTTTTTTATTTTAAAGGGGGTAAAATTAAACTCAACAAAACAGAACAAAACAGGACATAAGAAAGCAATGTAAGAGATAAATTTCAAAGCTAGATGATCTGATATCTTCACTATCTATCATATTGTCTCTTGTTTTCTTCCAAATAGTTGTCTGTGTCTTTGCATATAGAGAATTCATACAAAACAACATAGTATAAAACTGATCCAAACAGGACAAGGAAGGCATTTTAGGTCTTCAAAACCAGACAATAAATAGGAAAGTCACCAATGGCTGTCGTAGCGTCTCTAGTTTTCTCTAAAATAGCTGTCCATACTTTCATGTATATTGAAGTTCAACAAAACAAAACAGGCAGGGGGAAGGGGTTGCTTGGTTTCCCAGCACTCCAGCTCCCAGCATGGCACGGGGCCCAGTAAACGCTAGAGGCTCCCATCCTGGGCCACCGGAGCCTGCCACCCTCACAGCTGTCACGGGGCGGGAGGGGTTGCTTCAAGCTGTTTCTTTCTAATGAACTGCCCATTTCACTACCCAAGTTCTGAAATGGCCAACAGAACATAGAAAGACATCTCTTCAGGCTCCTGCTTGAAACCAACAGCGTCAGGAAGCTGCCGGCCTTGATTCAGGGCCATCATTTACCTATTTTCAAAAACTGTGGGTTTTTAAAATTGCATTTAAGGAATTTTTTTATATACTCTAGGTAAAAGTACATTACCAGGTATATGAATTGAATGTGCCTATTTCTTCTAACCTCTGGCTTGTATTTTTATCTTCCTAAGAAACTTTCAAAAGGCTAATATCTTTGATTTTAATAAAATCTAATGTACTCTTGTTTTTCTTTTATAGACCATTTTTTATACAGATCATTCTTATGGCATTGTATAAAAAATCCTTGCCTAAACTGAGTTCTTATAGATTTTTTCCTATGGCTTTTTAAAAAAAGAATTGCTGTAATCTTAAATTTTATATTTATATCTATGATACATTTCAAGATTTTTTTTTAATTAGTGTGAAATATAAGTGAAGCTCTTATATGCTTTGGATAGCCAAGGAAATGTGTTCCAGAACTATTTGCTGTGAATTATCCTTTGCCCACTGATTGCTTTGTACCTCTATTAAAAACCAACTAACTACATATGTGTGATTCTATTTCCAGACTATCCATTCTGTTCTATTGATGTGTTTATCTTTACACCAATACGTACTGTCTTTATTATAATAGATTTACAAAAGGTGGTACTTGTCCTTCAACTATGTGACTTTTTCAAAGTTATTTTTGTTATTGCAGGTCATTTACATTTTTGGATGAATTATAAACTGAGTTTGTCAACTTCAACCAAAAAGTGCTGGGATTTTGATTGTTATTGTATGGAATTTGTAGACCAGTTGAGGAAGAACTGCTTTCTAATATTTCCCCTTCCGATCCATTAAAGCTTTTAATTTCTCCCAGCAGCGCTTTGTGGTTTTCTTTTGTCAGATTTATATCTGCTTCATCTTTTCTGCTTTAATTTTGCTTTTTCATTGCTAACATATGGAGATAACTCAGCACGTATAGTGATCTTATATCTTGTAACCTTGCTAATTTCACTTATGACTTCTAGTACTTTTTTTCGCAGATTCTATGTATTTCCTGCATAGAAAATCCTGTCATTTTCCCAAAAAGGCAGTTTTATTTCTTCCTTTTCAACCTAGGAATTTTTTCTTTCCTTTTCTTGCCTAATTACACAGGATGGAATTTCCAGTACAATGTTGAATGCAAATAATCAGATCAAACATCCTTGTCTAAGAATGAAAAACCTATATTTTTTACATGGCTGATTTTGAGCAATTTTATTGTATTGTGCTTTGGTGCAATTTTCTACATGTTTCTTATACTTAGGTTTTACTGAGTGAATCTCTGCATTTTAACTTATTAAAATTTTGGCCTTTATTTCTTTAGATATTTTTGCTCTTCCTTTCCCATTTGAGAATTCCAATTATACATTTATTAGTTCATTGACATTGTCCCAAGCTAAGTGAAGTGCTATTCCTTTTTTAAAAACCATATTCTGTGGTGATAAAATACATATAATGTAAAACATTTTAAGTATACAACTCAGTAACATTAATTATATTCACAGTGTCACGCAACCTATCACTGCAAATACTTATTTCCAAAACCACTCACTCACCCCAAACTTAAATTCTAACCATGAAGCAGTAACTCTTTTTCCCTTTCTCCTCCTAGTCCCTGATAACCTCTAATTTATTTTGTAATTCTATGAATTTGACTATTTGAGACATTTCTTTTCAGGATAACACTGTAATATTTGGCCCTTTGTGTCTGAATTCTTTTACTTAGTACCACATTTCCCAGGGTCATCACCTTGTAGCAGGACTCTGAATTTCATCCTTTTTATGACTGCATAGTACTCCATTGTGAGTATGTACCACGTTTTGTTAATCCATTCAAGTGTTGATAAGCATGTGTAATGTTTTCATCTTTTGATTGTCATAAGTGGTATTGCAGTTAACATTTAAGTACAAGTATCTGTCCGAGTCCCTGCTTTTACTTCTTTTATTTATATACCTAGCAGTAGGATTCACTGGTTCAAAGCTGGGTTAAAATTTGGTGGGAACTACCATATTGTTTTTGGCAGTAAGTGCATCTCTGTTATTTTTACATTTCTATCAGCAATGTGCAAGAGTTCCAGTTCTCCAAATCCTAGCCAGCATGTTTTTTGTTATTTCAGCCATCTTAGTGAGTATGAAGTGTGTTGTCCTGGTTTGTGTTTGCCTAATGACTAGTGACGCTAAGCATCTTTTTGTACCCTTATTTTAGCATAGTTAATTCCAGGAGCTCCAATGACTCCAGCTTCTTGAGCTCTTCCTGAGGTCTGCTTACACTCACTTGTGCATCACGGCCTTCACATCTCACCTGCTTCAGCTCTCATTTCCAGTCAGTGTCTGAGGGACTGTGTGGCAGAGTGGACTGTACCTGACAGAGGGAAACAGAACTCCCAACCTACTATGTCCAGGATGAGTTCGTGTTCTCTAAAATCAAAGAATGAATTTTAGGAACAACAGAGGTTAAGAGCAGAATATATTTATTGAGAGAAAGAAAGTGTCTGTCTGAGGGAAGAAAGGGTCCTGAGCAGATTACCAAGGACTCTGTCTTTTCTAGGGACTTTTATAGAGTAAAAGCATGAAGAAAGATGGGTCAAAGGTGGGGGAAAATGGGAATTTGCAAGGTGGTCATAAGGTGGGACGGAACTGTGGTCAACTGATAAGATTGATTGCTCAATTGATTTACCCCTAATTGATTAAATTAGGGGTAAATGGGGGAGCCAGGTGCATAGTAAGGGGGCCTGTTTAACAGCAGTGACCCCTCCTGTTAGGGGGTGGGGTGCTGACTCCTGACTTCACCAGGGTGTTAGAGACCTACATGGACTATGGATCCCTAGGATGTGGTTGTATTTGCTTTGCCTTTTTTTCTTGAGATCTGGCCCACAGCAGGAGGTGACTGTCTCTTCCAAGGCTGCAAGGTATCTGAAACTTCTGCTCCAGTTCCTTGTCTGACTGCCTAGAATATTTCTAATTAGCTCAGCTGCCTGTAACACACCCACCACTCCTTGTCTAGATCATGCAACTGCCCAGATCATAAACTCTCAGCGTCATAATGAATTAAACAGGCAGACTTTAGATGAAAGAAGATGATTTAGCCACCCTGGAAGAGTAGGGAGCATCAGAAGTGAGTCCCTGTGGATTTTTGTCCTCAACTCCTTTTTATTTAGGGCTAGTGATTTCTCCCATCCCCTACGGGCCACCTGGAAATCGTCACCATCTGACTGGCTCTTTAGCTGTCTTCGGTCCTACCCTGGGGCACCTCTGTCTACATTTTTTCTGGCCATCTGATTTCTTCCTGTCCCTTTGTGATGGATAACTGGGGGTGGGGTATTCTAGAATTTAAAGTCAATGACTAAGTAAAAAGGGCATGTGAGTTTCATATATTAAATAAGAATCCTTAGGCGGTCATTCCTTATCTCCTTTGCATTTTATCAGAGGTGGGTGAAGGGGTTGGTTACCCTCACATTCCTGTCTGTATCCCAGTTTCGCCTGTCACTCTTCCTGGTAAACTCTTTGTATAACCTGGCGCCTTCCTGGACCTACCTCTCCTCTCTTTCTCTCTTTCTCTCTTTCTGTCTTTTTATTGCTGCAGTCTAACTGCAGGCACAAAAAGGTCTGCCTTGAGTAGAATTTCCTATTAATTTCTTTAATGAAGCTTAATGAGATCCTATTTTATTCTTGTTCCTTGCTATGCCCTCCTGTCCCTATAGGACATTTGTGTGCTTCGAGGCTTGGACCCTTGGATACCCCTTTACCTTCTCTTTGCTTCCTCTATTCGCATGTTGCTATCAAATGGGTCTTGTTACCTAGACTTATAGATGGTCACAGTTGCTAGGGCTGTTTTTTCCCAGGGAAAGGGGGTTCAGGGAGATGATGCTGTGCCTGCTATTCTCCCAGCAATCACTGTTTGGTCTCCTTCCCATCAGGCCTCTAGCAACTCTCATTCCCCCACACATTGGCCAGCCACAGCCCATCATCCATCCTTCCATTGAGAAAGGCCTCTCCCTCTCTATTTCTGTCCTTCTTACAAACTCCTGCTTTTACTCCATTGCCTTGTTAAAGGCCAGCTCCTCTAGGAAGACTCCCCTGCCCCACGGTCCCACAGCTTGCCCCTCCGTGCTCCCATGGCAGGTTGAAGGTGACCATGTTACAGTACACGTCCCATCACTGTCTCAGCCACCTGTCTGCCCTGGTGGATTGTCACTGTCTCAGAATAAGAACCTGGTTAGTCCCTCCTAGGCTTAGTGTCTGGCCCTGGACCCAGCTTAGAGTGGACACTTAGTAAAAGTCACCTTGCATGATGCGATTTTCCTGATCTAGGCTATCTGAGAGTTAATTAGTGGCAGAATCAGGAGGATTATTGCCATACAAGGAGAGTATGCCAAGGGGCACACAGCAAGTCATCTCTGTGTGGTGCTAATGGTGACCTGGGATACTTTACTCTCACTAATTTTGACTTGCTCACTTCTGTGATCTGTCTCTACCTGCCCAACGGTGAGCTAATCAAGTGTGAGGAGTAAGTCTGTACCTCAGTGGCATAAAGACCAGGAGGGGCCTGAAGCAGGAAGGAATGGATGACGTTGTGGCATTCCTTTGTCTTGAACTAGAGATTTTAACTCATCTCTTTGGGCCCTGAGGTCCCTGGCTCCAATCAAGCTTTTCTGGACATCCTCTAAGACTAGTGAAGAGAGGAACTCATGGTTTCCCCGGCCTTGTCTCCTCAGCCTTGGTGCTTCTGATTGGAGGCATGGAAGTCGGCCTGTCCCACTTCCCCTTCTTTGCCTGCCTCTCCTCGGAGTTCCGCCTGGTCAGCTCGGTCCTTGGCTTCAGCTACTCCCTCCTCTGGTAAGCGATGCTGCCTGCTCCCGCCCCCAACTCCCTTGGCTGTGACGGAACCCTGGACAGAGAGGACAGGACTTCTCTCGGAGGACACCTTTGCCCAGAACTGAGCCAAGGAGGGTGGGGGTGACTGGTCCTCCGTTCCAGTGTAGCCTCTCCTTGGAATGCTTCAGAAGGTCAGGCTAGGATTCTGTCTGCCTCAGAAGACTGTTCCTGATTAGAGCATTCCCAAAGTAAGGATTTAGGAAAGGTCATTTCTGAAAACTACTGAGGGTCCCACTGGGGGAAGCTGGAGATTGTTTGATGGCTCCTCTTAACGCTTTGATGGCTTCTCTCGGACCCTCAAACAAAGTTCGTGTCTTTGCTTGGCATGCAGGGCCATTACATCCTGGCCTCTTTGTCTCTCTCTCTCTCTCTCTCTTTCTAGATCTGGAGTCTAGCCCATACTTGCAGCCATCCAAGACTAACATGAAGCATGATCAAAATATATGGTGCATGTTTAAATTTTAAAAGTTCATTACAAACTGGGTGTGGTGGCTCACGCCTGTAATCCCAGTACTTGCGAGGCTGAGGCATGAGGATTGCTGTGACTTGGAGGTCAGCCTGTTTCCATGCTTACATAGCAAAACCTTGTATCCAAAAAAAATTATTACAGTAAACAACACAGTGCTGTTAATCCCCCTCAAAATCCTCGCCTTCCCCTTCACATCAGATACACTCAAATATCCCAGCAGTCTTGCCTATTTATTTCCTTTTGTGTGTGTGACCGTCTTACTGTGTAGTGCAGACTGGCCTCATACTCACAGTGATCACTGCCCCTCAGCCTCCTGAGTGCTGCGATTATAGACCCGGGATTCTTTGTCACGTTCTGAAACAGTTCTGGAAGTTCTCTTTCATAAGTGTCTTTATGAGGTGAGATAAAATAATATAGTGACTATTTCTGCTGAGTCGCATCAATCAAAGGCAGTCCTGCATTACCTTATTCACCAGCTTTGGCGCTGTCTGACTTCTGGCTTTTCCCCAAAGTCAAAATAAACACAAAAGGTAAACATTTTGAATCACTTTGGGACATGGAGGTGGCCACAAGAGCTCAGCTGAAGATGAACAAAAGAGGACTTGCAGAACTGCTTCAGAAAGTGGCGGGAATGAGGGGACAAGGGTGGTTAGAGTGTGGGGAGCACTTTCAGAGGGATTAGCGGCAATGTGGCTTTCATTGTAATATATTTTAAAATGTAAACCTATTGTTTGATCATGGACTACGGCTCCCACCAGACAGGAAACTGTTTGGCCCAGTCTATCAGGGATGACCAGTGACCAGCAGAGGCTCCCAAGCCACGGACACACCAGGAGCTACAATCCCACAGTTTCAGAGATGTGTCCCTTAGAAATTTAAACGGGAGGTATACGGGGCTGGATGTAGAGAGACCTCCTCCCTCAGCCTCTGACACGCTCCCACCCAGCGAGGGCAGGCAGTGGGAATTACTTGGCGGCTGGGGTACTACAGGAGTGTGAGGACCAACTTTGAACACAACTAGGAAAGTGGGTCAAAAGGTAAAGCCCTGAGGCTCATGACTGTGAAGAGGCAGGGAGAGCCTACCTAGGCCACGGAGTCAGGAGACCCAGCCCTGGGTGCTGGCTTTCCCAGTGGCTCTGTGTGGGACTGGATTTATTTCCATGCCTTCCATGTCCTGCCTGAATGATGAGGAGAGGGAAGGTGAACTCCGTAAATCTTCCTCTGCCCACGAGGATTCTGAGATTCTGTTATCCATCAGGACACATTAAGTGCACGGAGTGTCCACTTACTTTGTCATGAGTGGGGTTTCCAGTTGGGAAGGGAGCCAGCCCTCCCAAGGGCTGCAGTGAGGGGTGGTAAGTCCTGGGCTGCTTTCACAGCTTCTGCTTGTGCTGGGAGGGAACCTAGAGCTCCAAACTCTGTGTTTCTGTCTCTTTAGGTTTGTTGTCACTGTGCTGCAAATCTCACAGTGTCCCCATGGTCAGGTAAGTACTTGTTGATCTTCTCAGGGTGTTTAATCACTTCAACATGGCCAAGCTGCAGTGTGGGCTTGAACAAGCCTCTATCACTCCTGAGCCTCAGTTTCCCCATGTGTGCGAAAGGGGAGTTGGAGCTGCTGAGGATGCTCCTGTTTGTGTGACACCCAGTGCTCATCGGCTGCTCCTCATACACAAACGTTCCCTCACAGCAGCCCCACCAGGAGGAGAGGCTCATCACATCTACTTTACAGTGAGGAGACTGAGACTCAGGTATACGAAATACACATAGCTCACCAAAGTTGCAGAGTTGGAAGTTGAGATTGAGTCTGGCTGACTCTAATGCCTATTTCTTTCTGCTTTGTGTCACCTCAGTTTCTTTCTATTAAATGAGAGAATTAGACTAGGTGAACCGCTTCTAATGTGGGCTGCATTATCCTTCCCAGAGCTCATGGAAGCTGGCTCATCTCTTTGGCACTGGACCTCAGGAAAAGAAGCCAAATAAAAAAGGGATATCACACTGTACCCCAAAAGAGCTACCAGGCAGATGGTACCAAGAAGGTCCCTTAGGCCTGAAGCCTACTGAGACCTTACCAACCTTTTTCCAGGCTCAGTAATGGGAGGATTAAAGGGATGTGATACAGCGAGGTTCTGTTGAGAAACCGGGCACAGGGACTGGGCTTCATTCTGTATCTCCACACTGGACCTCAGAGTATGTGTCTAGCAGACCTCTGCCCAGCAAGACGTCCTCCACCTCTAAGGCCTGAGAGTCTGGATCACAGCATTTCCTCTAGCACCTTAGACATCTCTCAGTCTCCAGACGAGCTTTTGAAACACAAGTCATTCACAATTAGTTGGAGGAGAGGGTAGGATCTTTCAGTTATTCAGTCACCAACATTGCGACCTGCTGTGTGCTAGGCTTTGTCCTTGTCATTGACCACGAACTCCTCAAAACAGCTTCTGCACAGTGTCCATGCTGTCCTCACACCACTGATCAAAAAGGTGAGCCTCAAGGGTAACTTGACATGACGTCCAGCCGAAAACCATGCGAAGTCAACCCAGACTAAAAAAGTGAGATTTGACCTCCTGCTTTCAAAAGTCTTCACTGAAACCTTATTTTCAAAAATGAGACATCAGAAAGAATATAAAATGCCAATTGTTAGGGGAAGTTTCAATAAAGTTTGGTTCATCCAAATAATGCACTGTGATATAAGCATTAAAACCGATGCTTGCAAATTGTTTGTCACCACGCAGGGAGGTGATGATAGTGTCAGCAGTGCCTTTGGTACAGTCTATAACACGTGCAGGTGAAGATGCAGATGAAGGACCCTGAAATGTTACCAGTGGCCAAGGCTAGGCCAGAGCATATGCTGGAAGGGATGAAGGCAAGATGGGTGCCCCCGCTTCTCAGCATGTCTCTATCCTGTACCCCAATATCACATCAGATTCTGATTTCTATGGGAAAAACTGTCACTCTGGAAATGTGAAGAAATCGGTAAATTTTGAAAGATCAGTCACAATATTATTTGCCTTTAAATGACTTTTTAAAAGCATTTTCAAAATGAAACTGAGGGCTTCCTTTCTTAGATGAAAAATCAAAGACTACTTACGTCACAGCCCTTCTGATTTCCTTTCCCCTTCCCAAAAGGAAACTGAGGTCCAGAAGTATCCAGCTCTTTGTGATCAAATTAAAAGAAACAAACACGCAGGAAGTGGAAGAAAAGAGCCGGGGTTTGAAAGTACTTTTTATTCCCTGGGCTGCCTACATGCAGGATTCCTATGAGAGGAAGAACAAACCTTCTTGTATGGCACCAACCGGGTCAGAGCTCATCCAGAAGGCATTTTGGAGTCAATCAGTGACTTTGCCCTGTTTGTATGCATCGTTGTCTCCAAGCAGCAACAGCATATGCTGGGGAAGAGGCAGTGTCACAGTTCCAAATGTAGCCAGACACTTATCCACACGGATGCAAGTCAAGTGACCTTGAGAAGGTCAGGAAAATGCAGAGTTCGGGGGAGTATCCAGAGGGGCGATGTCTCCTTGATCGTCTTAAACACCGGGGAGGAAGGGGGCAGTGGGATGTACTGGTGCTGCATAGAGGTGCCTGGCTGGTTCAGTGATGTCAAGAGGAACATTCAGCTAGTGCTGGGAAAGCCCCAACAGCTACAAGACAAACAACCTCCCGCCAAGCTACCCACCTCGTTTGCTGCCAACAACTGTGTAAGGCTACAGCAATCTCCAACCCAACCACCACCCCTCACATGCTGGGCTGCCAACAACCTTTGTGACCATGTGTGAGCTCCCAGCCCCATTTCAGACAAAGGCCACCTCTATCTTCACAATGACAGCAACCACGTGCCCCCTGACAAGGCCGAGCTCTGCACCAGAGCCTTCCAAGGAAGGGCTCATGTCCACTGCAGGATCCATAGATTGGGTTCACTCATCAGCATCTCAGGTGATGAGGAAGATGTGGGCAGTGACATCTATGGAGAAAGAGATAATGATTGAGACAGAGACAGAGACAGAGAGTGACACCAACCTGCTGCTGATCATCACTGCTTCTGGCTTGGGACTCATACTCTTGGTGTTCCTCGAGGGAGGTTCTCCTGCAAGGAAAGGTCATGAAAGCCAGTTGTTTACATAAACACAAGAGCTTCCACAGCTTTGGAGAAAGCAAAAGCAACCTCAGTGACGCTGTAGGAACAGGAGGATGAGGATGGTCTCTTCACATCCTGACTTGCTCTTTTTTCTTGGGGCTGGGTGGGGGTCAGAGGCATAGCATTTGAAGGGTCCAAATAATGTTTGGGATGCTTTCAGTTTTTTTCTCTAAAGTCTCACCTCTTCCATTGTTAAAAAAATGAAATCGATAACATTGAAAGACTATCAGCACCGTCTTGAGAGACCTCTACTTTCCCATCAGCTCAAGCTGCTCTCAGTCTAATGGCAATTATAGGTTGGTTCCTCCCTCCCTCCATTTCTTCTTTCCTTTCTTTCTGTTTAATTTCTTCCTCTTTCTCTTTCTTTCTTCCTCTCCTTCCTCTCTTTCTGTCGTCTGCTTACCTCTGTCTCTCAGTATCTCACTGATATTTTTCAAAGAAACGAAGGATATTTTCCAAAAGAAGCATTTAATTTCCTAATCAGAAAAAAAAATCCACAAAAGCTCTTTACATAAAATAAAATGGGAGCCCAAAAACTTGCATGCAAGGCTGCTGCTCCTTCTGTCCATGTGGGGAGCCGGGGTGGCTGCTGACTTCAGAACTCGGAGAGGGTAGGCCCTGGTGGGAGCTGGCTGGGCAGGCAGAGTTCTGCTCCCAGCTTCACTGGGTGGCCTCAGCCTGTCCTACTGACCTGCACCCAGAGTTCCGCTTGTGTTGCAGTTTGTGGGGAGGTATGAGTCCCTCGTGTTCTACTGGCCGTCGCTGCTGTGCCTGGTTTTCCTGCTGGGCCGCTTCCTGCACATGTTTGTCAAGGCGCTGAGGGTGCACTTGCGCTGGGAGCCCCAGGAGGTGAGTACGGGTGCTGCCATGGGTCGAAGCCTCACAAAAGTCATGGGAGGGAGGCGCTGTCATTACTTGTCATATTCTGGATTCAAATCTCAGAGACAGAGAGGTGAGTTGAGTGGTCAAAGGTCCCAGCCAATCTGTTAGCAGAGCCAGAGTTGGAACCAGAAGGCTGAGCTGTGGGGCCTCTCTCTTACCCTGGCATGTATGGCCTCTCTGGCTTGGAACAGTAAGTTTATGCTGGGGTTAAGCGAGGTCTTTTTAATTACTTATACCTTGTTATTGAATCAAAACTTGGGGGTTTCTGTGATCCCTGGGGTTCACTTGCCAAAGCTTCTCCGCATCTTCTGAGTTTGAATGAGCTATGGATGGCTTGTTTTACTGACCTTGAGTTTTTCATGTCCTTTGGTTATCTTTTTAAAATCAGTCTGTGATGGTCAGGACAACATAGCTTATGCCATAGTGACAAAGAAACTCCCAAATTTCAGTGATGTGATAAAAGTTCACTTTGCACTATAGGTACATGTCATCAAAGGTGTTTTGGGGGGGGCTTTCCCACAGGTTTTCTTACTTTGTGACACAGGCTGATGAAGCAGCTTCCACTGGGAATTTAGCTGACTGGGACAAACAGAGAAAGACAACATACTGAAGTTATAACACCATGATTTCACATTCATCCTGACATTTTTTGGGCAAAACGATCATTTAGCCACATATACCTTCAAGTGAGTGAGAGCATACCATCCTAGTGTATCTTGGAAGAGTTAGAACCAGAATGTTTCTGAACAGCCACAAGGCTTAGAATCAGGAGGATGCACCATACAACGGCTTAATAAAAACACAGAAAAACTATGAAGGTGTTACAGATAGCACAAATAGCTTCAAAACTTCAGATTTCAGTATGGAAATCAGGTACTTCTCCCAAATATAATTACTGGGAAGGTGCTGCTTACAAAATAGGCAAAGTTTATCTAAATGTGGTACTTCCTGAAAAATATGAGTTTATCTAAAGGTACCCTTTTAATGGGAAAAAAGCTATGTTGGATATATTTGCTAAGAACCGAAGTAAAGAAAATTTTTCTTCAATAAGAGCGTAACAGCCATCAGTTCATGGATCCTTCCTGTACACGCATGGTGCTTCATACGTAGTATTTTATCTAATGCTTACAGTTACCTTCAGGAAGGTGGCATTTTCTCCATTTATTGACAAGGGACCTATTGAGGATAGGCTTGTGACTTGCCTGAAGCACACAAAAAGTAAGAAGCCAGTCAGGATGTGAAAGTCTTATGGGCTGTACCAAGCACTCTGGATACACAAGAGCTCACTGCGAGGAACATTTACATTCAAAATGTATAGGCAGCCACTGTGGGACTCTTAGGGCACTTGGAGTAAACATTTCAGAGAATACCATTAGATTATACTGAAAAAAGGTAAGAAATTAGCAAGACTCTCCTCTTTGTACATAGTAAAAACATTGGGATCTGAGGTATATCATTCCTTAAGCAATGGCTTGAACTCTGACAGGAAACAACCACATCTTCCAGGGAAAAATGCTTCACCAGCATCTTTGGGAGCCACAGACACAGCTAAGGACAGCCAGGCCTCTGGCATTTCTGGGGAACAGGTACCAAATGCAGGCAACTGGCTCCTCCTCCTTCCTCCAGAAATGGCAGCTGCCTGGGAAAGGCTAAATCTTGTATTCAAATTCTTGCTCTCTCTGGCGATGACCCTTCCAAGAAAACAACCTCAAAAACAAATGTCTGAGCCAAAGCATCCCTTTCTCATAGGAAGAGAAGCCTGTGCTTCTGGAAGCCCACCAGGCCGAGCACGTCAAGCAGCTGCTGAGGAAGGCCCAGCCACAGTAAGTGTACCTCCAACCCTTCACACCAAGGATGCAGCACTGATGTGCAACCCTCCCCAGTCCTCCAAAGGCCTGGAAGGAGCAGAAGGGCCCTGTGACTTGTTTGCTTATAAGAGAAGCCAACTCAAAGTGGACTAAGGCAAGCGCAGAGGCTGGCAGGCCCATGTCTCTGAGCAGTCTAGCAGTGCCCGCTGCAGGCCAGCTGGATTCAGGAGCTAGATTGATACTATCAGAACTAGATCTTTCTCCAATCTTTGTCTTGAGTAAGGGGAGATAAAAACTGTAAGATGAAGAAGAGGAGATGGTGGTATTTCTAGAAGAAAGGGCATTTGTTTACCTATCACAGCCTCCTTTCTTGGAATTTTTTCATTCACAGAGAAGGAAAAAAGTCTTGGTTTCAAACCAGGGTGTATGAGTGGGATCCCTGCTTCCAGTTCCCAAGCAGAATGATTGGAACCATTGTGTTGGCTTTCATCTGCCTGTACCTTGTAAGTAGCTCAGCAAAAGTCCTTTTGCATTCTATAAATGGTTCACGGTGAAAACTGAGATTGTGAAATCTTTAAGGTGAATAACATGTCCCAAAAAGCTGGATCAGCTTGAACTGTGATAAATCAAATACATGTGAAACTTCAGTGCTACCATTTTGATTCCCAGGATGCTTTTCCCAGATGGTGACTGTTACTGGGGAAAATAACCTACATAAAATAAAACTGATAATGTTTAAAGCTCCATGTGATAAAATTTATCACTAACTAAAAATTAGTAGAAAACATGGATTCCAAATCATTTGACAGCAAATTTCAATGCGGAAGTTTGTAGAGCTAACAATTTTAAAATGCTTCTAATGATAGAGCTTTTAGTCAGCAATCCACGCTGTCAACAAAAGTCAAATAATTTTAATATAAAATAATTGATCCTGAAAAAAGTAATTTTAGTGAATTAAAACTAAAAATAGAGGGGCTGGGGATTTAGCTCAGCAGCATAGGTACAAGCGGTCGTCAGTTCGATCCCCGGTACCGATAAAAAGAAAAAAAAATTAAAAATAGAAACCAGATGTGCTGGTTTGTGATTTTAGGTCCATATACTTGGAAGGCTGAAACACAAAGATCTCAAATTTGAGACCACTCTACACAACCCAGGCAGACAGGGTCTTGTAAAAAAACTAAAAGCGCTAGAGAGACAGCCAGGGTGGAACTCATGCTCAAGGCCCTGGGTTGGATCATCAGCCCCGTGAAAAATAAATAAATAAGCAAAATAAACTGCATTAGCTAGAATTAGTTTATGGTACTATATTTTTTAATGGATCAAAAATCAAAACATCTTATTTTAGGTTTTTTTCCCACAAAATTTTAAGTGGTGACATAGTTTTGGCTTCAATGTTTTATTAAGTGTAAAATGAAAATGTTTTGTGTGGTCAAAGTCACCTGAGGTGAAATGGATAGGTCAAAATCAGCATCTACAAATAGTGGAAATAAAGTAGCAGCTAAAGTCTAGTAGTCTTTTTCTCATTGAAAATGTACTGGAACAACACCTGTCTAAGCGCATCTATGATTTAGTTTTTAAGTGAATGAGCTAGGGTATGCTGAGATACTTCTTACCTCCCTAAATTTCAGTGGTTTAACACTATACATTTTTGCTCATGCAATACTGTTGAGGGGAGGGGGCCAGCTCTCCTCCACGTGGCCATTGGAGAGCCCAGTATTCTTTGCTGTGTATTACTTTACCATCACTGGGACAAAACACCCAACACCCACAACTTAAAGGAAGAAAGGTTTATTTGGTGAGCCAGGTACTGAGTGTCCAGTGTGCTCAGTGCAAATTTGGCAGACTTCAGGGCAGAACCAGCATGGTGGAAGGAAACTGCTCATGCCGTGACAGCCAGGAAGCAGCAAGGAGGAATCAGGGACCAGAATACAGCCTTCCACGTCACGCCACCATGACCCCCTTCCAGACAGACGTCACTCCTGACAGCACCTTAAACCAACAGCATATCACATGCAGATGAATCTTCTGGTGAACATAGCACCCGCACCATCCAGTCACCTTCCAAACACATGAGATTTTCGGAGTACATTTTATAGCTAAACCTTCAGCGTTCCTTCCTCATCCTTGAGACTCTCATCACCACCTGCATGCAGTCAACAGAAGGAAAGGAACATGAAGAAATGTTTGTCTGGTATCTTCATGGACAGGGTAGAAGTATCACATGTGCTTTCCCCTCCTCTTCATCTGACAGGATCCTGGTCATGTCTCCTAATATCAGGGAAGCTTGGAAATGTAGGTTAGCTTTGTACTCAAAGAAGAGTGAATGGATTTCAAGGGTTAAGTAGTGTTCACTGCAACAGAGGACAACCCACTTGAGTTTTGGCGTTTCTGAAGTATTTATTGAGCATCTACGAATGTTGAGCACTGTGCTTAGGGCTAGGAGAAGACAGAGAGCCCACCTAGCACAGTCCCGGGCTGGGGGATGTTTATGGTCTAAGACATAGTATGAGGCACCTGCCAGGCTAGATGAGAAAAAAGATGACATAAAAGTGCTCTAGAAGTTTACTGGATCACTCTGCATTGAGAAGCTGCCTAAAGGGTGGCAGTGTGTGTACTTCACTTCAGAGGAAATAGATTTGATTGGTGAAGAGAAACAGCAACATGAACTCTACACTGAATGGTGGTAGGGCGGTGAATAACCACCACATTTGTGTCCAAACACTTTTTCTAGTTTGGAAAGACCAGTGAAGCGGGGAACAACGGGAGATGTGACTGGGATTGTCCCCAAGGTCACCCATTCATTTCACTCTGTCTCAACATTTAAAGAGACCTTTGACCCTTCGTGAGTCCTGGTCTTGCATACCACAGGAAGAATAAGAGAGTGTGAGGTCTTCCAATAATGTACAGTTCCACTCGTCTTAGACTAACCAGTGTCTAGAGTCATTTTCAGAAGATTGGTGGATGCCCGGAAGAGGCTGGCCTGAAACCACAGAGAGTCATGTTTTTCCCATGCTGAGCCAGGTTCAGGGTAGAACTTTCAACCTTTACTCTGTGTCTCCAGTTCATTGTCATTGAGTTCTGCGTGTTCGTGTATGTGAGAGACAAGCTGGATGAGTTTGAAAGCGACCTGGAGAACTACATCACTAACATGAACCAGACGGGGGTCCTGACCCCGTTCATCCAGCAGGTGCAAGAGCTGCTCAGCGTGGCCAAAGGTAAAACCATCTGCTCCCAACGTTCCTGTCACCTAGGGGGAAACTCAGGAACTTGTAAGTGGTGGCAGGGTATTGCTGCTAGTATTAAAACTACTTAGTAGATGTTGGAGAAAAATGTGTTAATTTGTGCCTCCCTGAGTTGACTAGACAGACAAAAGAGGTCAAAACACAGAGGTCCTTTTGTTAAAGCCTACAGGGAACATGAACTGTGAATTAATTAGCCTATTTTTTTGATGCCAGTATGAAGAACTAAAATGATCTTGTATTTTTCACTTAGAAAAAATAAAACACCAAATCATGGCTTTTCTTTACAATACTATAGAAAATTTTTAAATAGCTTTCAAGTAAAAATCATTTTTAAAGCTAGATCTCTTGAACTTATTTCTCGCATTTCACTGAAATTTTGGATTATTTGACTAACATCTTCCAAAGCTCTCCCTGCTCCCACTGCCCACCCCTGGCAACCACCATTCTACCTGTGCTTCTGTGAGTTCAACTTTGTTAGATTCCATGAGGAAGTAGGATCCTGCGGGATTTGTCTCTCTGTGCCTAGTTTGTTTCACTTGGCATAATGTCCTCCAGGTTCATGCAGGTCATCCCAAATGAAATGATTTCCTTCAGTCTCCTACCATCAAGTATGCTGTTCACTGTGGGTTTTAGCAGATGCCCTGCACAGTCTGAGGAACTTTCCTGCTATTCCTAGTTTGCTAAGTACTTTAATCACACCGAGATGGTGGATTTTATCCATTTTTTCTGTGCCTATTGAGATTCAGCTTCTATAAAACTTATAAGCTTGGTGCAGCATCTGTCTGGCAAGTACAAGGTGCTGAGTTCAACTCTGGGTACCCACCCCTCAAAAAAACCAAACAAACAAAAACAAAACAAAATGTTTTAAACCAAAAGTCTCCATCCTACCCTGTTCTTACATCCTTCTCTCATAACTACAGAATATTTTAAAAACCAAATTAGATTCTGAATGTCAAGAGCTTCCGCAAGGATGGATAAATGAACAGTCAGGACTTCTTGATCCTGGTTCTCCTTACACCGAATGCTGTGTAACCACCCACCTCCCTGGAAATGGCAATTAGAAGTGAAATAATGTTTTCCATGGACTGGGTCTACTGGTGATGTCTACACTCCAGAATTTTCCCTCCCTTTTAATCACTGTAGAGTGAAAATACTGGCACTAAAAAAGAGATGCCTTGTATCTCTCCTGCATGTGCAGGAAATATAGTATATCAAGAGTGTGTATGACTAAAATGGAGTGGAAAATGAGCAAAAATTAACTATACAAGAAATGTGGTGAAGGAAGTATAATAGATTTTGCCTAGACCTTTCCTGTGCAGAATTCTGCATCTGAAACATTCCCTTTCATATTTACTTTTCAAGGCCTTTCATGTCGTTTCTCGTATTTCAGGAGTCTGGGTGGTGACCATCTTACCTGCCTCGCTCACGTGTGTGAGCTATCTGTTCCACATCCTGGTCTGTTACAGGTAAGGGAACTCCGGAAGTCATTTGTTTGGCCTTAGCCCAAAATGTACATGGCATATTTTTCTCAAAACTCCTGAGCAGTGCCTACAGTGCCTAAGATGAGTCCATGAAGTGAACACAAGGTCCAGGGATAGCCACATCTTTTGGCAGCAAGGAAGAAACAACTATTGACTTGAATATTTATGGTGAGCTAACACGATGCTTAGAAGGCTCACCTGAATTTCAGCACAATCTGGGGGTTATATACTTTCATTTCCACTTTGACAACTGGGAAAACTGGGACCCAACAAAATCAAATAACATACCAAAAATTAGCAAATGATCAAGCCTTTCTGACCCCCTCAGACAGAGACCTTGTTATCCTTGTTATTTGTTGTGTATTCTGTGATCTCCATTGGCTGTCAGACCTGGTATCTCTGATGGGTGCTATCCGGGCCTAATGCCACTGGGCTCCCAGCAAGTAAATCTGGATCCAGGGAACCAGGAACATCAATCTCAAGAACAGCAGTACAGGAAAAGGGGATGGCTTTAATCACACAGTGGACATTTGCGTTTTGCTTGCAGGTGTCAATTTTAGAATCGTTCTCTATCTCTCTCTCTCTGTCTTTCTCTGTGTGTCTTTGTGTGTGTGTGTCTCTGTCTCTGTCTCTGTGTATCTCTCTATCTCTCTGTCTCTCTCCCTCTCTCTCTCTCTCTCTCTCTCTCTCTCTCCCTGCTCCCCTAATCTACATGCAGTTCAAAGATATTTAGTGAGACATCTGAACACAGCTGGAGACAACACCCTTCACAGGGAGCTGATGAAGTTGGAGAAGGCTGACTAAGGGGAGGGAAAAGAAAAGACAGCTGGACCCAGGATGACTTTCCCTGTCACCCAGGAGTGGTGATCTCTGTCCTGCCTCCTTATTAGGACCATGGGCACTGGAAATTATGGATTTTTTTCCCCTCCTTTCCCTCTGCAGGGTACTAGCATTTTAACTTCTCCCAACCCCATTGTAACCTACACACAGGTACTTTAAAACACTATGTAGAAATAATGTTTGCCATGGAATGGGTCTACATTATTTCTTCTTTCTACTTGGATCCCTAATTTGTTATTCCAAGTGATCTACTGTGCACTATTTTCTGTATATCCTTCCAGAAATTTTCTATAGACACTGCAACTGCTTGGTGCATGCATACATGTGTCCATGCATGTCTGTGCATGTGTGAATGTGTGTGCATGCCTGCATGTGTGTGTGTGTGTGTGTGTGTGTCCATGTGTGTGTATGCCGGTAGTAGCCTATTCAACTCCATTGCTGCCGAGCAGAGACGTATTGAAGCATATACCTGCAATTCAGAAACTTCTAATAGGCACTGTTAAAAAAGTAAATTCACTTTTTCAGGTTATATTCATTTTAGTAATATATTTAATTTTACCCAATATATGCTAAATATTCTCATTTCAATGTGTAACACATATAAAAATTATTGAGATATTTATATTCTTTATTTCATTCTAAGAATTTCTCATTTAGTGGTCATGCAGTGTGCAAAAGAGCCTGAAAAAGTGCTGGAGAGAGAACATTGAGTATAAAAAGCAGAGTACGAATGTGAATTTGGACTCAGAACACAGCAGCGACAACATGAGCTTCTATAGAGGGTCATGGACTAGACCAGCACATGGGGGAGGAGTGGGGACACCATGGGGTCGTTGGTCCTTTAACTAGCCTCCAATAATACTGGTTTCTGCTTTTAAATCTTTTTAAATCTTATTGTGGCAGAAATATTAAAATTCACAGCCTGACACTATGTTAAGGACAGAATATGTCAGACTGTCAGACCCGATTAGCCTTGACATGCCATGCCAGCTGCCACTTAGAAGATGATGTGCTAGCTTATCTTGAGAACTTCCTACCTGGGACCGACTAGTCCCGTCAAAGATGTGATTGATTCTACCTGCTTCCTCAAACTCCTGACCTTCCTAGCACATGATAAGCAACTCCCTCCCAACCAAAACTGCCTGAAATGTATCTTCCTAACAACATATGACAAAATACATGTAACTAATTATAAAATAATTGTACTTCCTGCTTTGCAAAATATATAAGTTTCTGTTTTACTCTGAATCAGGGCTGATGATTTGGAACTGAGTTCCCACCAGCCCACTGGCATAATAAAGCTGTTACCTTCCAAGTACTTTAGTGCTGGGTGTCTTCCATTCAGTTTGGTTCCAGTTCTGCAGCATTATTACCTAGATAAAACATAGTGGTAGGAAAATATAGAAAGCAAAATGAAGTAAAACAACACACAATCTCACCTATCATGTACACTCACTATTGTCACTTGATCAATATCTTATTTTTACAAAGTGTATTAAACTTTCAGATTTTGAAGGCAAGTCAGAACTGCACTGTGAGTATAGTTAGCATAATGGACTGCACTTCCCCTGCACAGGTTTTGCTGTTTGTCTGTTCAGGTAGGACATACATACAGAGACACACTTATAAGTATTATTTAATTTCCCACTTTTCCTCCAGAAAACACATGAAGAGACTGTGGGCAGGTAATAAACACTTCCTCCCTTCAAAGTTTCGTGATCCTTCCCCATCTGAGAGTGTGGTAAGTCCCCTGTGCAGGCGTCTCTTTGTTCTGAGACTGTTGATGCTGGCACAGGGTCAGAGGGGTCTGAGTCCCCTGTTTCTTTTAAACTTCAGGCAGCCATCGCAAGGTACTCTGGCTGGCAGATAGCCTACATTCTGTGGGGTAAGTGCCATCTCGTGCCCCATGCAACCCAAGACACATTCCTGAGCACCTGTGGAGGGGGTTGTGGGGAGGAGGGGAGCAGGATGCTCCTAAGCGACCTTCAGGATGGGTGGAAAAACATACCCCATACATTGTCTGGCCACTTGCACTGCACTCTCAGGCTGTGTATGCTAAAGCGGGTGGTGACTGAGGGGAGGGAGTGACTGTCCACCCCAGGGTGTGGCTCAAAGGCTGTGGAACTTGGCCTTTGAACTGAATCTGTCAGAGTGGTAGAGGTGAGTGAGAAGACAGGGAAGTTGTGCCAGGCAGAAGAAATGTGGTAGAGAAGGGCCAGGGTGAGCTGCAGGGAAGGGCACAGGGGTCTTGAAGGGCCTTGGGTGATCCCTGTCCTCTCACTCTCAGGCTACCTCATCATCCACGTGATGCAGAGCCTGTGTGGCATGATGATCATGTACGGCCTGGTGCTTCCCATTACCCACGACCGAGGTCTGGAGATGCTTCAAGGGCTGGGCCTGGGGCTGTAAGTGCTGGAGGGGTGTCGTGCCCTCTCAGTCCTGGGTGCCAATCCTGGGTTTCATAGTTTTGGCTCTGACTCAGAAGGAACTGTCACAGCAACTCACCTTACAGTTTACAAAAGGCTTCTTCTCCCACCGTTATGTGTGGCCTTCACAACACTGTGTTTGTGTGTGAGAGAAGATGCGTTACATCCATTTTCAAGATAGGAAAATCAATTTGTGGGGCAGCAAAGGAAGAGACAGGACAGCATGATGGAAGGAGGTGGAGAATCCTGGCTAAGCTTTTAGATCTGCTGATGTAACTTGGTGTAAATGACTTCTTTTCCCTGAGCCTCAGTTTAGCATTCTAGAAGACCAAATGATTGCTGGCATCACTGAGCATTACAGTGATACCTATGAGCTGGGTCCTTGTGTTTAGACCAGGACTGCAGCCCCCGGAGCTAGGCAATCTGAAATCAGAGCTCCATTTTACTGTTACCCTACCCTGCTGCCACTCATGGGGTATCAACATAGTCTGTCACTTTCGGGGGACCTCCCTGCCCCGAGCTCTGTGGTTCCACACTTCTCTGGAGCTGGTGTGAGTCTGAATCTCTGTCTCCTAGACTTCTCAGGCATGCCCCAGCCCCATTCCTGCCTGTCATTCTTAACCTGTTAAGCCACTCATCCAGCGGCCACCCCTGCTAAAAAAGGGACAGTGACTGGAGCCAAGGGGTGTGATATGAAACCAGAAGAGCTGACCACATGGCCTTAGGAAAGTCCCCTCCCCTTTGTGAGCCTCAGTTTCTCAATTTGTGCAATGGGCATGGAGATGTTTTGTGAGCCTAAAGTACAGTGCTCGTACCCCCATTGTTCTGTTGGGTGGCCAGCATCTCTCTTCTCTCTTTCTCTGTGGCCATCAGAGAAGGCCCTTGAAGAGTAGAACAGGACACCTCAGCATGGTCCTGCCCTGTGTTTCAGCCTCACCATATCCATTGTCGTGGGTCTCATGATCCTGCAAGTGTGGATTGCTGCCAGCTTCTTCCTGCAACCCAAACTGGGCACAGCCGACAAGCAGAAGCCCTTGGCTCTCAACAACAGGTGAGGATTAAGGAAGGAACGGGGCAGTTGTGGGGCTTCAGGGGAACCCTGGACAGCTTTCAGAATGTACTCACACTCTCTAAGTGACTGTGGTGCAGGGAGCAGGGTGGGCCCTGGAGCTAGTCTGCCCAGGCCCCAATCCTGGCTCTCTCCTCACAGCCCTGGGCTCTTGTGTGAGCAAACCACACCTCTGTGAGCCTCGGCTTCCCACTTAGAGATACTTTTGCTTACTACAGATGTGTTGTAAGGATACGTAAAAATATGACTCAGAACAGCAGTGTCCAGAGTATGGGTAATTCTTTCTAACTCATTCATCGAGGAGAATTGGGTACCGAGGTTAAAGAGCTAATTCTAATACTGGCCTGTGAGAAGCTCACAGCCCCCTAGACTGGAACAGGCACTCAGATGGCAAGGATGGAAGACTCCAGAGGGTGCAGATGGCTACAGGAGAAACGCAGATGGAGGAGGAGAGGCAGAAGTGGAGGGGGAGGGCAGGGGGGACATTCCACTGCAGACTGAAAGTTTGAATTGGTGTGAGCGTAGAATCAGGGATTTCTACAGATGGCAAGGAGGACAAGCAGTAGCCACCGGCTGCCACAGCACAGATGGGAGCAGGAGGTTACAAAAGAGCAGGATGTGTTAAGAGGAGAGTGGAAATGAAAATGGTCACCATAAGTGGCCTATGACAATGAAAGACGGAAGGGAACTCAAAGTGACAGTATCAAGACACTGCTCTCAGGGGGAGCTATGACACCCAGGATTTAAAGTTCCAGCAGCAATGAGAGCCATACGACTGGTGGCCCTTTGGGAAGTTCCCCTCTAGTACCAGGCAGGTCCTCGCTGCAGCAGTGAAGAAACACCACCTTCTTTTTGCTCAGGAACCTCAAACCCCAAGGGCTGCATGAAACCAGCACAGCTCCCACTAACGTTCATCCCATCTGGCACTCACAGCCCTCTCCACTAGCCCCAATCCAGCCTCACTCCAGGTCTGAGAGGTGCCACTCAGTCTCCCCTATGGCACAGCAAAGGGTACAAGGCTGGGAGATGGAGTGGCAGTGGTGGACACGTCTAGGACTGGGGGACTCCAAAGCCTGCCTGCCTGATTAGCCACCTCACCCTTCTGAGGGGCTGCCTGGGCTTCTACCTACAGGAAAGCCTTCCACAACTTCAACTACTTCCTCTTCTTCTACAATGTTCTGCTCGGCCTGGGTGCTTGCCTCTCCAGGCTGCTCATCAGTTGCATTCTGGGCACGTGGCTGATTGCGCGCATTGACAGGACCATCATGCAGAGCGGCTATGAGAGAGCAGACATGGGTAAGTGACCCGTCTCTGTTGACCATCTGCTCTGTGGTGGGCTGGACTTGCATCTTTGTGGCAGCCGTCTTGGGAGATGGATGTGAGAAGCCTGGAATCCACGCCTTGCTCCTGCTCCGAGCTCAGCTTCTGGAGAAGAATGTAAAGCTGTGCAGTAGAAATGTGTACAGGCCCAAAGGTAGGACAGACCTTGGAGGTGCCAGTGGGTCCTGATCAAAGGTAGCGAACTCTATCCAACATTTAGAAGTTAGTTTATGAAAATTTTGAGAAGGAACATGTCTTGGAGTTATCAGTGTTGTTCGTAGGAAAGTTATGGAGTAAAAATGTCCTAGTCCATTGAAATACTCTAAAACCAAAGCCATTCCCAAGAAAACTCAAAGGCAGTTTTTGTTTGCCTTCTGGCCTCCACTGACCATTTCCTTCACTGTTTAATATCTGCACAGCCCTTGCTTGGGCTGCTTCCAGCTTCTTTAAGCGTTAAGTTCTCCATGAAGTGGACAGACTAGAATGTGATCTTTTAGAAATACCTAGACCTTTACAGCTCATTTTCTAGATTCTCAACCAAGACTTAGGCACCACTGGGGCACAAACTGTCAGATACATCATAAAGCATGAACTGGGACATCCTGGAAACTACCACCAAACCTAGCCTTCCTCTCGGTTGCAGGGTTCAGTGCTTGGGTCGGCATGCTTTATGTGGACCATTATCACACCAACCCTGTGCTCGTCAGCTTTTGTCACATCCTGCTCACAGACCACGAGGAGAGGAAGCTGCAGAAGACTACCTACCAGTCAGCAGGTAATAGCTCCCACTCCACCCTGCACTAGGTCCAGAGAGCAGGAAATGAATGTCCCCAAGGCTCCCCGGGATCCCTGAGAGGTCCCAGGTGTCCCCTTTCCTGTCTCCTTTCTCTATACGCTTCCGTCTACGTGCCCTCCTGACAGGATGCTCAGGACGCTTAGCTTCTGGTAAGCCTGGGTAAGGACTCTACTGAGGCTTCGGTGTCCTGTTAACCAGCCTCCTGGACTGGAAATGAGCTCCAGTTCTGCTGATGGAATCCTCTGTGCCCCATGTATTTAAGATTCCAAACCATGTTCCAGGCCACACACCAGATGCCCTCCAAGGTGAGGCTCAGATTTCATTGTTCTGTCCTGTTGCTTTTACAAACTCTCTGAGGATCTCCTGCCCCTTTAGAGCTTAAATTGTTCTCTGCTGTTTCAGTACTGCAGGTACCCAGCTAGGTCTGTGAAACAGTTCACGTCCCTCTAACCTCCGTCTTGCTTCCGGTTTCTGATCTAGCTCTTTCTGCCACACTTTACACATTCTAGGCAGTTCTCCCAAAAGCCTTTGAGAACAGCAGAGGCAAATTTTCTCCCAAACATTTCTACCCGTGATCTGTCTGCTCTGATTCTATCCTAGGTCCTCACATCTCAGCTAGAGCCAGGACGAGGTGGCTCCTGCTGCAGACCCTGATCAATAACCCCAGACTCACCGTACTTAGAAAATCAAAATCAGTGCGTGGTTCCCAGGAGTTCACCCAGACTCTGCTGATGTGCCCAGACTGCTGACACCGGCCACCAGCAACTACTCTGAGACCAGACCCAGCCAGCCATCTGCTCCCAAGAGAAGGCTCCATCTAACCAGCTGCTATTCCCTGCAGTGGGCTGAGATGGCACAGGCCCTGTGTACAGATATGGTAGACAATGTGGGTCACCTGTGGGATGGGCACCTAGTCTGAGGGTTGAAGTCTCAGGACTTCATCAAACAAAAAAAGGTGGGGGGAGGGAGATTTAAAAAAATACTAAAGAATAGTCTATTGAACAAACTGTGGCCTTTGGTGACTTCCAGTGTTCCCTAAGGGTAGGCAGCTGGGTGTTGCCTGTGAAGAAGCACTGTCTGACTCCAAGGCAGAACTTTGTCACTGAAGAAGTAGTATCTTTGGTAGTATCTTTTAAAGATACTACCAAAGGTGCATAAATATCATACGACTCAACAATTCCAGTATTAAGTACACCCCTAGCAGAAATGCCAACTAGGTCCACCATGCAAAAGAATGGTCAGAGCAGCATTACTGGTATGGTCCCAAACTGGAAAAAAAAAATCCCCAATGTGCATTATGAGTAGAAAGGATAAATACAGTGGAGTATATTATTAATAACTGGATACCATACTACAGTCACATTTTAAGAGAAGTATGTGAAAGGGTTTGGCCCAGGCTGGATACTGTAGCCGGTAAAGCCAAGGAGCTCCTACCTCCCCCACGCCTAGGAATCTTCCTCTGGCGCCAAACTAAGACCAGTAGGCTACCTGTGCATCCCTAATGCCCCTTAGGTTCCACCCCAAGCCAAGGCTACTTATGTGCCTCACTCCACGTGTTCCGCGGAGAGATCGCCGACCTAGGGTGGAGATGCCACGCCCCAGGGGGTCCGGGGTGTCTCTCCCACATTCTCAAAATAAAAGTCATTTACATTTCATACTTCTTATCTTTTCAGCCGCCGCCGCTCTTCCCCCCACAGTTCTATCAGTATGAAACTCACAAACATAATGGAGGGAGCCCAAATAAAAGGGCCTATTGCATATAATTCCATTTAAGTATGAAAATTTAAAGCAAAGCGAATTCAGGAGTTAGAACATTTGTCATCTTGGAGGCAAGCAGAGCATGACTTGGGAAGGGTACATAAGAAGGGCTGCTGCAGAACTGGTAGTGTTGCTTCTTGTGCATGCTGGTTCCTTTCAAGTAATTCACTGAAGTAAGCACATAGGGTTTCCATATTTTTAGATATGCACACTATGCTTCAACATGCAAATTAAATTAGTTGGACAAAGAACTTTTTTTCTGGTTACAATGCAAGGTGGCCAATGCTTAGTTGAAGATTCTAGAACTATAGGATCTAGATTTATATGTTGGATCTAACTTTCCTATATCAGGAGTCTTGGACAGGTTACTAATTTCAGGCTTCAGTCTTTCATCTATAAAATGGATTATTTACGGTACCCTCTCACAGTTATTGGAGGGATTTAACCTTCCTAATAAATAATAAATAAATAAAGAAACTCTGGTGTTAGTCCTTGTGATTCTTCCTCGTGTAGATTCTATGGACAAGATAAATAATGATCTGGGGTAGAAGATGGAGAAAGATAGGTTTCAAGTCAAGAAACTTTTCAAAAACAGCTATTTTACTACTTTATTTTGTTTTTAATTGACATTTATACAGCATGATGTGGTATTTTGATTTATGTACACAATTTATAATGATCAAATCAGGTTTATAACCATATCTATCACTTCAAATATTTACCATTTCTTGGTAATGGGAACATTTGAAATCCTCTCTCTCTCTCAGCTATTTTGAAATATACAAAAATTGTTGTCAACTACAGTTACTCTATGGTGCTATAGAGTCCTAGAACACTTTCCTCCTTTCTAACTGTAATTCTGTACCTCCAGCCAATCTCAAAAGATATTTTCAAGGTGAAGAGTGAAAGAGAAACAAAATCAGAGATGAACTGAGGCGCAGGGAAAAGTCCAGAGGCCCAGTGTTGCCCTCCATTTCATGTCTTGGCTCACATCTAAACATTGGGAAGAAACTTACCAAGTGATTTCTCGCTGATTAGTCTTTCCAGCGAGGACCTTGTTGAGCAGGGAAATGCTGTCCAAAAGCCAAACACAACTTCCACATTTGATCTAAACACATAGAGGCATAGACATTTGAGAATAAATGGAGGTAAATTCTTAGTGGTGGGATGATAGGTTTTTTTCTCTATTGAGTTATTTTCTACCAATGACAGTTCTGTTCCTTCAGAACAAAAACATCACATGTGATGTGCTGATGCCCATACATTTACACCTATGTAATTTTTTGAAGAAAAAATTTGTAAATGTGCTAAGAACTACAACCCAGATAGTAGGAAAGAGAACAGAGACTGCAAAATTCCTGGACATTGAAAGAGTTGCTGGCTCAGACTGAACACTGTAACCAGGAAAGGCTGCAGCTAAACTCCCCCCCCCCCCCCGCCCCCTATGGACTTGATTGTAACCCTATATCCCCATCTCTAAGAACCTGTGCGCCAATGAGATACCTGTGCATCTCTAATGGCCTTAGGGCACTGCCCTAAGCTTAGGCTATTTAGATTCCCCCCACACCACGTGTCAGAGAGAGTTCGCCAGAGAGAGAGATCTCCAAAGGGAGATCGCCGGATTCCAGCGGCCAGCGCGCCAGTCTCCTCTCCCCGTGTTCCCTGAGAGACCACCGGCCCTGGGTGCAGCAGAGATGCTGCGCCCCAGGGCCGGCGGCGGGGGGGTCCCCGGGGGGGTCCCCTCCCCGCATTCCCGGAATAAAGCCACCGCTGCCCACTACTTTCACAGCCGTGCACTCCATTCCTCCCACGGACTTCCCTCTCTCTCCTCCTCTCCCTTCTCTCAGACCTAACAGATATTTTCTACTTTATTGTGTTTTTCCACTCTTCCCTCACCTACCTTTTCATTTTTAAATTCAAATGAATTCAATCGTCATTACAGTATTTCACCTTGTTTAATTCCTGGACCAAAGAATGAAAATAAAAGCGTTTTCTGTCCACTGCTTCTTAATTTCCAATGCTAGACAGAACGCTCAGGCTGCTCTAGGAATAAATCTTGGCACAGGCAGGCAGGCTTATTAGCAGTCTATCAGAGAGAGATCCCTGTCCAGAGACCGGTCCTCTCTGAAGGAGTTGGGTACCCAGGCCTAGACAGCACATAGAAAACTCCTAGCTATCCTTTGCTGTCATCCACAAGTATTTTCAGTGCTGGCCAGGTAAGCCCTGAACCCTAAATATTGAGCCCGTCAACCTTTTAACCTGGGAGAGAGGGTCTTTTTCAGAGTCTTTCGGACTCTGAGAGGCAAGCTCTACCCCGTTCTACTTTGCAGACTGGTCTTAACCAAAGCCAAGCACAGATGGGATGGATTTTCTTGTCCTCCATGGCTCAGATCTAACTTCCAGCACTTTGTCGTGCTGCCCAGGATGCTCCCTGCCATACTCTCTTGTACAGAAAGAAACTGGCTTTGAAGGTCGCATCCGATTCAGTTTTCCCACTCCACGGGTGGGCAAAGAGCAACTCGTCCGGGAAAGGAGCGTGGGCGGGGCCGGTGCGTCACCGCCCCCTGCGTTGCCTAGGAGACCGTGAGTGTCCAGCAGTGGTTGCCGCTGCTCCAGTCCAGGAGAACCAGAGCGGTACTTTCTGCAGGTGAGGGCACGGCCAGTCTGGGGCAGGGCCTATCCCGAGTCTGCAGGATTCGGGTCGTCCAAGGGCTACCTGGTTGCTCAGGGGTGGGGTGGGATGGGGTGGGATGGGGTGGGGCTGGGAGCTCCCTCTCAGGAGGCAGCGTGTCCTTTCCCTTAGCTGGCCGGACGGAATCTGGCTCTTCCTGCGCCCTCCCTGCGGCCCCTGGAGGGTGGGCTGGGGTCCTGAACCTGAGATCGGCTCCGGGCTGGGGTTCCAAGCTTATCTCACACTTAGGGTGCGTTCCTGTGTCCCAGAAGAACTTGGCAGGGTGTAGCACAAACAATCCCTAACTTTCTGCGTCCCCAAAGTCCTTGTCCAATTTGCCCCCTGCACCAAGGCGAGAGCAGCCCCACCTCCAGGTGTTCGTTGCCAGTCTGAGGTTTGTTTGTTGATTGCTTTTTCCTCGCCCCTCCCTTCTGCGTTTGCTTTAGAATAAAAAGCCCTAGTGCTCCCCGATCCCACCCTGGGGCCCGCCAGTCCCAGGTCTGCTCCCAGCCGGTGCGGGAATTGAGACCCAACAGCCCACGCGTTTCCCTGACTACAGCTTCCCTGCAGGAGGGGCTTCCGGCCGGCCCGGAGAGAGCCGAGATGTCCTCAGTGGGGAAGGCGACCCAGGTGCCGAATGGCAAAGTCTACCACCAGATCTTTCAGGCTCAGGTAGGGCCCATCCACCGCCCCTCCCCCCGAGTTACCCCTTCCAGCTGTGCCCACAAACTCCCCTCTGCTCCCTCCAACTTCCCTCCTTCCACAGGCGTTCTTGCCTGACAGTCTAATGAAGTAACGACTTTGCAATTACTTCGACTTAAAAGTAACTCATTAGTTTTTCCGGTGCACTAACAGAGAGTTAGGACGCTTATTCTTCAAAATCAGAAAATTGAAGTTGAAATTTGCAATTTAAATTACAGTCCTCAGGAACATTCTGGATTAAACTTTCAGTGCTTGGATCTTTCTCACTCATTAAAACTGTGCTAATTATTAGTATGTAAAACTGAATTTCATTCTGTGCTAGTGTTTTGAAACCTGCTTCTTCTCCTAACAGACCCATTCTTCTGTCCGTGGATATTCACAGGCCTCATGAGTACTAGTGGCTGCTCCTTGATCTTTAATGGGGGCCCTCCCCCCATTAAAGTGAAGTCCCTTGACTGTGTGCTCTGTTGAAATTGCGCTGTCCTCTTTAACAGACCAAACTAGACAGTTAAGAAATCCACCACCATGGACCCTCCCTTTGAAGTTATTTACTGCTTCTTTAAGTAGGAGTTTTAGTCCTAGTTTGAGGTTTAAATAATACTCTCTGTAAAATCTTTGGAAATTATTAAAACCAAAGAAACAACTAAATTACTCCCAAAGTCCTTCCTTAAGCAATATGCCATTCTTAACCCTAGACATCCTTCCTTCCAGGGGTTTTTCTGTTTATTGTAAATATTGAAACTTACACTACTAATTGACATGTTTATATATAATCTCATAAGCATTTCGTCATATCATGAAAATTCCTTTGTAAGGTTCATCTTTAACAAACATCTAACAGTTTGTCAAAGGGACTTACATTTTTATTCAACCAATCCCCTGTTATTGGACAACTCTAGTTTTAAAAATTCGTTATAATTATAAAAAAGACTGAGGTGAGCATTTTAATCCTTATTTAATTGTCCTTACAGTAGCTGGATAATGGTTAAGGAAGAAGGAGAGTCCTCTGTGTGTGTGTGTGAGGGGAAGGGAGGGGTGGAGGTGTCCCTGAAAAGTGCCTTCTTGGTGGCAGGTCTCCAAGTGTTCTTCTTCTAAGAGGCACAGTCAGCTTGAGGGTCTTGAGGGTCTTGGGAGTCTGTAGCTCTGACCACCCCCATCCTGGCCTCCCACAAATTCAGGTGCAGCTGGTCCACTCCTTGGCAGCCTCCAGGAAGCATGCTGTGGAGCGTTCTGAGACCTCAAAATGTGGCAAGACACCTGTGATGAAGAAGGTGGAGATTCCAGAAGGGGAGACCCTGACCCCTCGGCAGCGGAAGTGGATGGCCAGCCTCCCCAATGACTGGGTCACAGAAAACCCTGTTCTATGCAGGTTGGTTCTGCTGTCAGGTCCCGCCCTACAAACTGTGGGAACCTTAGTGTCTTTAAAGACATAGAGTGCCAGGCAGGAATGAAGTCACAAGTATGTCCCTTGAAAAGGGAGGTAGTCATACCTACTGCAAAGGGTCATTTGCTCTTCTCTTCCCCCCGGTGATTATTGAGTTCATGCCTAGAACCAGCCACTGGGTAGGAGGATCCTGACCTCATGGAACTTGAAGCCTTGGCAATAATAAATAAGCACTTTCCCCTACAAAGCATTGACTCAGAGTCAAGAAAGCTCTCTGGGGAAGGGCATTAGCTGAGACCAGAGGATGAGGAATGGAAGGATGGGAAAAGTCTCTGAGGATGGGCTTGACCCATTCCCAGGGGGCCATTAGTGGGCCTGGAGAAAGAGCAGGAAATGAAGCTGGGATACACTTTGCAGGTCACCATCAGTGTTCCGAAATTTACCAAAGTAAGCACCTGACTTGTATAGCTAAGATCCCTTGGGCAACTCTACAGAGTATAGGGGTGGGCCTCAGGAAGAGGCAGGGAGTCCAGAGAGGCCACCACAGTCATCCTTGCAATATTGGTGGTGCAGATGGCCTAGTGGTGCACTGGATGGCTGGAGAGGGCTCCCAGGAGTCCTTAGTCTCTGGCTTGAGTGCTGGGTGGACAGCAGATGTGCCATTCCCTGAGTTGGGAGCATGGGATCATGACAGGGAGATCGGGCATCCCTTGAGATCATCCAAATTCACAAGTAAACTTGAGACCCTAAGCATTCCTTTTCTGCTCACTGACTTCTCAGCTGGACAGAAAAGAAAAACAGAAGAAAGGAGGCTAGCATTTGTCTCCCAACTTTTTGAGAGAACTTTTGGGGAGTATTTTCCTTATGCTCCTCCAGCTCAAACTTGGAACAAAATACAAACCACTGACCTGGCTGGGGTCAAGGGGATGGGAAGGTAGAGGTCTCCTCTATCTGGCCTTGTGGTCCTTCTCAACCTTTGTGGGGCGAGGACAGATGCAGTACTGAGCTCAGCTCTCTGCCCTGAGTGGATCTTTCGGTTTTCCCAGGGAAACCTCCTCTGACACTTCTGACCCTCGGCACCTTTGCCCCCAGATGGCCACATCCCCTGCCCCACTGCAGCCATGGCCAGGCAAACCTTTCCCAGCTCTTGTCCCCAGCCTGATGCCCTGGAGAGGGTACAGAGGCACAAGCATCCAGGACTGTCCAAGACCCAGCATGTCTTCCAAGAGGGAGATGTGGCAGCCTGGCTGTGACTCTGGCTCCCACAAGTTCTCAAGTCCACTCTAAGCTAGCCTCTTCTCATCCAGGGATGGGGTATCTTGATATCTTCATGTTTTCAGAGGGTCCTTTCTTCCCCAGGGTTCAGCCTAGGGTTGCCCGTCTTCCCTAAATCCAGATACAACATCAGTCAGGAGCTCATGATACCTGTGGCCCTTGTCATGGATAATGCTGGCACTGTGCTATGTTATCTTCTTGGGATAAACAGACAAGCCCAGTTCTGTCCTAGACAGAATCAGTGCACAGCTCCTTATGGCCCTGGGCAAAAATAATGATATATTTGTAACCTGACAAGATGACTAGACAAAATGACAAAATCTCTCTGGGGTGATCTGCCCCCTGTCCCTGAGAAGTGTCTCCGTCCCTCTTCTGCCACAGCACCTCCTCCCTCTGCTTTCTTCCTAACCAGCTCAGTTCCAGTGGTTGGCTCACTGACACACTTTCTTCAGTCTCCATCCTTCTCCCTTCCCAGGAGAGCCCCAGCCTCCCACCTACGCTAGAGGAACTGGATCACCCCTTTGATGGGGAGGGCTGCTCCCAGATGTAGCACCCTAGCTCACCTGGACCTCTAGGTAGCCAGCCTGGAGGGTCACTGCAACTATCCCAGGCTGCCACTCTCCCCCAGGTCCTCTTTCTCTACCAGTCTCCACCCAGGAGTTCTGTATTTACAAGCAGGACCTCCCTGCCCACCTGGACAACCCCAGAGGCCTTCCAGGGACTGGGAAGAGCTAGGTGCAGTTTTGGCTTCCCCTCATCATCTCCTCAAGCCTCCTCCCTCTCCGCGGCAGGAAGCCCTTCTCAAACATCAACTCCAAGGCTCTCACCTTCCCGAGGCCTTTTCCTGGCACATAAGCCTCTCCTTTCTGGAAAGGGGAGCCTATCTCAGCCACTGAGACATTGCCCTGTCTCTGTCCCCCTAAGCTTGCCTTGAGGCCAAGTGTCAGAGAAAAGCCTCTGCTTGATTCAGTGCTCATCAGCCGGTGGCCGTCCAACTCCTCCCCGCCTCAGCCACTCTTGCACAGGTCACCTGGGAACTGCTGTCAACTCTCCGCCTGCGTGGACTTTAGGCTGCTATTCCCTCCTCCAGTACTGGCCCCTCGGCTTCCCCACATCTCTGGCTGTTCTGCTCTTCTTTCTCTGCTCCGTTTGGGAGCTGGCACTCTAGCCGCTTGGACCAGCTGCCTCTAGGCATCTACAGGGCTTACGGAGGGCGGTCTAGGTTGCGTGGAAATGTCAGGGTCAGATGCCTCATCTTTCTCAAGCCTCAAGCAAATGCTTGAAAAGTTGGCCAGTGAATGCCAGTCCTCTGTTCCTTCACACAGATGGGGCTCTTGGGAAACCAGCCCAAGGTAGAAGGTCGATCACCACTAGTATTAACCAAGTCCCCAAGTCCCAGGAGCAAGTGGCTGAGAAGCCAAAGCTGATAGTAGCTCTCATTGTCCTGGTAGACTGCTAAGGGGCTCCCGTGGGCCAGGGGCACTTCGACTAACAAGGCCTAAATTACACCTCTGCAGAGCTGCTTGGGCCCTGGTCACTGCAGTCTAGCCCTGCGGCCTTCCTGCCTGCTGGTCTGCAGTGGAGACCATCTCATGATGAGATGACCAGAAAGTGCTGGGCCCATGGGGACCTCAAGCAATGCAGTAGTCACAGAAAACTCTGGGGTTTCTGTGGTGCTTGCCTGTACATGATGCTTTCCTGAATTTTATTCCAAAGCTAATGTCACATCCACCACTTTGGTCCTCCCTGTTGAGACATTTGTCCTGAGATCCCAGATTTCTCCTCCCAGACCTAAATAAACCTCAGAGGCCTCGGTGTCACAAGTCTTGCAGTCGTGAGTGTTGGAATTGGGGCTTTGCTTTGGACAGTGGCTCCTCTAAGTCCCCCTCTCCTGAAAAATAGGGTTAATGAAGGAACAGATGAGGAATCATGCTGAGAGCTTGATTGGGCTGCTCAGGGCCCTTCTGATCCTCAGTTTCCCCACATGGAAATGATTTTGGCCAGCACCACACTTGGTTTACCACCCAAGCTGCAGCAGGGTTCCTGAGGGCAGGGACCTAACCTCCTAGCTCCAACCTGCAGATTTTCTGGCCAAGAGTGCCTGGGGGTGTTTGTTGGGAGACTGGGTACTGCCATGGGGATCAGTAGACTCAGGCTGGGCCAGATCCACTGGCTGCAGTCTCTCTGAAGGCTCTCCTGTATACCAAAACTGCCCTCTGTGGGGTCAGGGGCCAGGGCTTATTCTTTCCCTCTGTTTGTATCTCAGGGAAAAGGAAAAAGCCAGAAGGGAAAAGGCACGAGAGAATGAGAGCCAGATTGCTGCCCGAGAAGTGCAGGGCCTCGTGGACACCATTGGTGAGCCTCAGTTCGGCTTCAAGCACAGGTCTGCGCTGGGGAGGAGGGAGCCGTTGCCAGGATGTCTCCTGGAGTCCCTCTGATGAAACCCCTGAAGCTCACGCTGGGCAGGGAGCTGGATAGATACTGGGCCTGCATGGGGGGGGGGTACCTCCTAGGAAAAACACCTGGCTGAAGGATATTGCTTGATTTCACAGTGGCATTTCTCAGTCCACATTTTCTTTCTTCCTATGACATTGTCTTATTTTAACTATATCTCGTATAGACTCCCTTTGTCTTTATGATTTAAAAAGTTTTTTTTTAAAAAAAGTAACCCAAGCATACTAGAGATAAATAAAAGAGCGAAACAAAGCAGAAATAAAACTACCCTTCCAGAATAGCACCTCTTCTCTCACAAGAGCCCCCTAACCCACTAATCCACATGGTATCCAGTTTCCCAAATGCATGCAGGCTGTGGGTAGAGCTTGGAGTGCGAATTCCAGAGGCTGGGCCAGGGATCCTTGTCCAGGGCCTTGCTCAGCCACAGACTTTGCTCTTTAACCCCGGAGCCTGAGTTTCCCCACTTGTAACATCACACAAGTGATCCTTCCACCTCCTGGCCTCATCCTGCGTGGTAAAGGAGTTAGGACAATGTTTGCTAGGTGGTAAGTACTCTGCATGTGTTGGTTATTATTTCTACAGTGAGTACCCTGAGTTATGATAGCTCAGCTTACAATAATATTTCAGGCTTCACAATGGTGCAAAATCATCCCCATTCCACATTCTGATTCCACTTTTATTCAGCATAGTTTTTGAAAAACTACCCAATAATCAACACTTTATCACAAAGTACCTTTGTGTTAGGTGATTTTGCGTAACTGTAGGCTGAGGTAAGTGTTCTGAGTACATATGAAGTAGGATAGGCTAAGTTATATTTGATGGATATATTAAAGGCATCTAGAACTTATGATAGTCTTGACTTATCAGGCTTATCAGGACATAATGCTGTTGTAATTTGGAAAGCATCCATATATGCATTTGTAACTTTAAAACATTTTTAAAAAAAACAAATTTTATAATTTTATAGATGCCTTTTGGAAACGCTTGGTACTTATATGTTTATTTATTTAGAGTCTTGGGCATCAAACCCAGGACCTCACATGTGCTAGGCAAGTATTGTAACGCTGAGCTGCAGCCCACAGCTCCTTGGTATTTAGAAGTGTGCTGGAGATCTTGTTCCCTGTAGCACTCAGGGAGCACCTGCGTCTTTTCCCTTCTGCCTCAAGCCTCTGCTCTGCTGGCCTGTCTTTGGGGTCAGCCTGAATTCCCACCTGTGTGCGGGTGCTCTCCGCCCTGTGCTCCCCCTTCCCTGGGGGTACAGCCCCCTTCTTGAGCCTCCTCACCTTGTTGTTGCTCTGCAGTGCCAGAGAGGGCAAGCACCGTCGTCTTTGAAAGGCAAGAGAATCACAAGAAGAGGAGCTACGAGCGTGCTCTGGCCAGCTTTCATGAGGAGATCGCACAGATCGGGATGGTGAGGCTCAGCCCCCTCTGTGGCATCCTGGAGGGGGTTTTTCATTGCACCCAGCTTCCCTTCTGCTCAGCAGACAGGTGCTCTGTGGCTCACCACAACATGGGGAAGATGCAGGTGGAATCGTAGTAGCCGTGTTTGAGCAGTTAGATACCAATGCTTGTTGTGGGCACAGCTCCCCTTAACTATTGAACAGTTCTCTAGGTCAGGGTCTATCACCCCCATTTTGCCATGAGACCCAGAATATCTTGGCTGGCTAGGGAGATACGGGGCCAAGTCGGAACTACACTCCAGGTTTGATGGCCTTGGGCCTCTTGTTCAGTCTTGCTGATGAAGGGCTGGATGATATACCCCAATTGAATATTCTCTTTTTCAAGGAAAGATATGAGGACATTTCTTAACTTTCTTCTTTCCTAATAAATGTACTTGGTGTTAAAAAAAAAAAAGTTCTCTAACCAAAGCCAGTTCCAAACAAAGCCTTTTCCAAGTCTTCTCTGAGTCCTGTCTCCCCAAATCTTTTCTGAGTTTGGTTGCCCTGCTCAAAGCTTAAATGCTGCCCCTATCCCAGCCTGACCCCAGCCTGAAGCACCAAGAACACATTCATTAGGCCTGTCCCTCAGGAGTCCTGTCACATACTACTGTCACCCACAGGCTCTTTGGCTCTGGTCAAGGAACCTACCTGGGCCTCCGTTTCCTTGTCTGAAATAAACAGGGGATTCTCTCATTTGGCTGCTTCTTTATTTAGTGTTTGTTGAGTGCCAACCTCCCTTTGCCCTATGACAAGAACCAACAAGAGTGAGGAAGGAGGGCTCAACCTTGGCACAGTGCCTGCTGGGGGGTGTGGGGCTGCTGCCCTCCAGGGGTGAGTGAATTAGCAAACCTTAGCTCTCAGAGATGATGACTATTTTTGAGAGAGGGAGCCAGGCCTGGCACTCTTGCATTACAGAGAGAGGCCTTCCTGCCTTGGAGTGTTGATACTATCCTTCTCTTGGCCTGTGGCAGGAAATAGAACCTATCATCTTGGACACAGGGGGACTGTTTTTGAAAAAACTGTCAGAGTCTGATGAAGACATAGACAGTCTCTTCACAAAGGTGGAAAATGACTCCAAGCTCAAGGACTGTACCATCCAAGTAAGGGTTTCTCTCATGGCTCGCCCTGCTCTCCCCACACCTAGGCTAGTGGCCCCCAGCCTGACCCAGCTCTTCTATGCAGACCTTGCTGGAGCTGTGGGATAAGGTGGCTGAGATGTTCCTGGTCCAGAAGCAGAAGATTAAGGAACTGGATGACACTCTGCTCTCAGTGGAGTTCTCCCGAGTGGATAAGGTAAGCTGGCCAAGGGCGACCCTTCTGCATCCTGGTAGTGCTCCAACAAGGGAGAATCACTAATGTTGCACCTTGTCCCCTTTAGCTAAAAAGTGTGTTGAAGAAATACGTGGAAATCATAGAGAAAACGACCTACCTCTTGCAGCCCGATGTGTACAGGCTGATAAATGGAGAAGCCTTGGTGAGTGGTCCACTTGGGTAGGGTTCAGCCTTAAGGAAAAGTAGCAGGACCCCAGAACTCCCCACGTCTGGGGTTTTAGGAATGTTAAGCTTCTCATCTGTGACATTTCACGCTTCTCTGCCACCTTAAAATGGCACGGCTAACATGGTGCTATGGTTTTGAGCGCTGGTCATCCCACTGTACACCTACCGAGCTGGGTCTCAGATACCATGTGCAATGCAGGAAGCACCCCACTTCAGACGGATCATCTTGGGGCTTCACCAACTCAGGGTCTCCACTCCGCAGAGCAGTGCTCCGCCCACTCCGTCTGGTCTTTCTAGTTGTTCCTCTCCTCCTCCTGTGGCCTTTGGTGTCTGTTGCTGAACCACACCCATGTCTGGGCTCTCTCTCCTCACTCCAGGCTCCTCCAGATGCTGACCTCAGCAGGTGAAAGTACCGTTCATGGTGTGTCTAAACCCAGAACAAAGACTGACTCGTCCACCCCACAGAAGGACTGTTAGCTGCTTAGAGGCACAGTTCACTCTCATGGGTTTCCTCATCCTGTGCAGAGCTGAGCTGGCCAAATAATGGCTGCCTGGCAGCATACCTAGTTTAGGGGAGCACAGCCCGAGTCCATGGTGTGGTGCCCTAGACAAACATAGACACAGTTCTCCCTCCATTGCCTGGCGTGGAAGCTCCCAAATGACTCCCTTGTGCCTAAAATGCCCTTTTCCATAAAATGGGAATGACAGTACTCTCTGCTCAGACTTGTTGGGGGGATGACAATGGAGGGCTCCAACACACACAACTGCCCTAGACTAGATACTGTCTCCTTGAGAGTCAGAATCGCGGGGTCCAGACTTCAGCATTTCACTACTGTGTGCTTATATCTTTCACTAGAACAAGCAGTGCTTGCTGCTTGCTCTATGTGCCTTTGTGTCACTGGATTTCACCAAATCCCTTTGCTGTAAATAGCTGTGTCCACATAGCATGGCTGAGGACCTGGACAATGAGGAAATAGTTGCCGATCCTTCTGCTACCAAATCCAAACTCCAGGCTGCGCTGAGAAGCAGGGCTGGGCTTTCACCTGCTGAGCCTGGCAGGGCTCTCACTTCTCTAGAGGTTTTGGGAAATGAATGGGGGCATTTGAGGCCCCTCTGGGCTCTCATTTCAAGGGGACAGGGATATGAAATGGTAGATAGTGCCATAATAAATGATTGTCCTTTGCCCCATCCCTAGGGTGCTCAGATGAGAACCATTGGGAGGGACACTAAAGACTGTTCTGACCATTGGGTCTCTGTTCTCAAGGCAGTGACATGTGGCTGGTCCCTGATGTATGAGCATTCTGGTTTTGGAACAAATTTGTGAAACAGTGAATTTTTACCACCCACTAGAGTGCTTAGGTTCTGCCACTTGCTTTATGGAATGACCCAGTGTAACCTTGGAGCTGGGCTGAGGCTCAGACAGTCAGGAGTATGGGTTAGTCTTCAAGGAAGCCACTGGTCACCATCCATGGCTGCTTTCTCCTATGCTAGCCCCTCAGGCCTCCTCAGACTCCACCTCAGCCCCTCTCAGGCCTGGCCTGCTCCATTCCTGGCTCTCCGGCCTCTCTTGCCCCTCTCTAGCTGGGCCTTGAGAGCACCACTCCATCTGGACCCTGTCTGCCTGTGACCACAGATCATTAACCATGCCTTACTGGGCAACCGGAGGGCCATCGCCCAGCTGTACATTAACCTGATGGAGGCCACCCTGCAGATGGAGCTTGACAGTCGTCACCGCTGGCAGGACCTGGTGGATGTCTGGAAGACCCTCAAGAAGGAGGTTCTGCTACAGAGCTTCAGGTCAGCAGTGCCCTTGGCTGCAGCCCTCCCCAGGCCACTGGACTGTGTGGTTAGAAGCCTTCTTGCTGCCTTTCCTGTCAGTCCTTAGCATGCTTCTCTTTCTCTCTCTAAAGTTAGAACTAGATAAAAGGATCAAGAGGAAAATAGAATTTTCCACCCATCTCTCCCCCCAGGAAGAAGCACAGCTAATGTTTTGATGTTACTTTTCCTCAGACTTTTTAGATCCATATGGTACATGCAGTTTCATGTCTTACTTATCTTCATAAACATTATTTCATGTGCATTCTTTGAAGTACAAATTGTTGGGGAAACATTCATCTGATTTTCTGTACAATTTTCAGTCTTCATTCTTAGTAGTAACCTGGTATAGCTGGGCCTGGGGGACAGAAGTGTTTCAGGTTGACAGTTCCCACCCTTCAGAGCAGTTTCCCCCGTGGGAGGCAGGGAGAGAGCCCATCTCTGCCCTTCCCTCACAAGTGGCCTTTTTGTTGTAGATGAATGAAGTGTCCTGAGGCCTGGTTCTACCTGGCCTTTCTGTGTGACTCTGATCAAGTGCTTTAACGTTCAGAACCTATCTTCCTGTGTGAAACCTCGGACCAGGGATAGGGTTTTAGTGATGTACCAAAGAGAAACTGTTTGGAAGGCTGTGTCAGGGAGGGGTCTGGGAGTTGTTATAAATGTCACAAATGTCAGCAGTGCTGGTGAGGGCTGGTTTGTACCTGGAATTTTCTCCTGAGCTGGGCATGGCCATGGTAAGGATTTTGCTTGTGTGTCCTCACAAGAACCAGATGAGGAAAGCACTCTCATTAGCACCATTTTGCAGAAGTGAAGATTGAGCCTCAGACGTGGGAGGGACTTGTGTAAGGTCACAGACCAGGAGGGGGACATTCAGGATCTTGCTGGCTCTGAGTCTGCTGGTCTCATGCTGTTAGTGCCATGGCAGCGGTGGCAAGTCTGCCAGTTCTTCCCTACCTGTTTTCATCCTGTCGCTGCCTTGCTCTTCTCCTCGGGGTCCCAGAGGGGAGGCTGGGACTAGGAATAGCATTCAGAGGTGGTGCAAGGGCAGGAAGCCACGGCCTTGAACGTTCTCACTATGGATCTCCTTTCATCTCATTCTGTCCTCTCCTCTCTTCTTCGCCCATGTGTCTGGCCACCAGTGAGTTTATGGCCAGTGAGAGTATCCAGTCTCCTCCGGCCATTCAGAAGGTACTAGAGGAAATGCTGAGCACCCAGCGCGTCCTGCAGCAGAAGCGGCAGGAGCATCTTCGCACCCTCTGGTATGGGTGCCTTTGAGGGCCCAGTGGGGAGGTGGTGTGGCCCTTAGCCTCTCCACAAGGTGTCCTACAGAACAATTCATCTTCCTGTTCTCCAGTCCTGGGCTGGCCACCTGGACCCATGGTCGCAGGCATCTCAGGCCCCCTGGTGAGGAAGAACATGGCTCCCTTTACAGTGGAAAGAAACCTAGTGTGGACAAACCATAGAACAAGACAGGATGATGGTGGGGAGGGCAGGCAGGGGCCAGGGCTTAGGGCTGGTGGGTCAAGGCCGGGGGTTGGCCCTTTTCCTAAGGCAGGTTGGAAGCAGGTTAGAGGGGTCTTACACTGGAGGCCAGGAGGTCAGGGAGGAAGCTGCTGCCATCAGACAGGGAACTGGTACAGGCTCTGGACATTCTGTTCAGAAATTGTTTTATTTTCTAAGGGACAACTTGGCACTATTAAATGACCTTTTTGTGAGGCATGTTTTTGGTATCAGGAGATCTCCAGAATTCCTTTTTGCTTTCTTTTCCATAGTTAGTCAATAATATGCTTCTCAAAGATGCTACCCATTTTGGCAAGTGAAGGTCATATGCACGGTGACCTACTTGCGTCTCTTCCCTCTCCAGTGACCTCTTGCCCCCCAATTACAACAAAACCAAGCTGACAGAATGGCAGTCTTCTCTCAGTGCCTTGAACAAGGAGATTGGTGAGTGGCGTTTGTGGAGCTCTCTCAGATCTCTTTAAAACTCTTTTCAAGTAGTGGCTTTGACGTAGCTCAACGCAGCTGAGAGGATGTGAGTGGTACTTCCTTTCTGGGAGGGAGGGAGGGTTAGCTGTGAGGACTCATGAGACACAGAAGGTGTATAATAACTTTTCCATCCTTCAAGGCTCACAGCAACCTGGTGGGGTCAGTGGTATCATTGTCCTCTTGTAATCGAGAAGGACCATCAGAGTCAGAAGCATTCCAGACAGATAGAGATGGGTTCCCCTTGTGAGGTCCTTATCTTGGGGTGCCTAAAACTCTGAGGAGGGAGTTACCAGCTCCTGCTGTGAACAGAGACCACAAGTGAGCTGTGGAGACATTTTGCCAGAGGAGACAGCTGCCCTTTGCAAAGGGGCTACTCCTCTTGTTCCCATTTCGTTTTCTGTGCCTGGAGACTCCTACCACATGGACTGCATGATGCGGATCCGCTTGCTCTATGAAAAGACATGGCAGGATTGCCTGGCCCAAGTGCAGGATTGCAAGGTGGGCATTGCCCTCCAGACACAAGAGGGACTCCACCTGAGCCCTGAAGTTCCTGCTCCCCAGCCTCCCCTCCTGGATACCCTTTAGCCTTGACCCTGATGTCATTCCTCCCTCCCAAGCCCTGGCACTCATGAACTTCCGGTTCTGTTCCCTCTGCCCAGGGCCCTCCCCAACTGTTCCTGGTATGCCTCAGGGTTAGCTCAATGCCACCTCCTCCAGGAAATCTGTGAGATGGAGTTGTGTGCTCTGGGCTTCCTTAGACTTCACCCTTACCTCTCTGTGTTCTGTCCACCCCTGGCCTTGCTCATTAGTGCAGGGTGTGGCCTGGAGGTCACTGCAGTGCCCCCTTTCTGCCCCTTGCGTCCAGCCCCACCTTGCTCTCCATCCTTCCTATCTTGAGACAATGAGTTTACTGCTGAACCCTCCAGGACAGTGACGGTATTCTGGGGTAGAGGGAATATTTTGTTGAAAAGTCCTCTCTCTGCTGCTTGGTAAAACTATTTAGGTGAAAACCCACAAAAGCGCCCTCATTCCGAAGAAAGCCTGAGCTCTGAGCGCCCTACCTGCTTTCCCTAGAGCTCCTGCTATTCCCCTAAGAATGCTTGCAGTCACCTTCACACTGCCATTTAGCCCCAAAGGAGCAGAATCACTAGGGGCTCCTGTTCACCTTGTCCCTGGGTAGGGGCCTGTAGGTTGCAGGTTATACCCACAGGGTCTGTAACCCGCAGCTGGGCTCAGCCTCTTTCCCCTGCCTCCCTAGAACCAGCTATTGGACTGGAAGGCCTTCACTGAAGCAGAGGCTGAGAACCTGGTGAGCCCGACCTTCCAGATGGTGGGTGCGTTCCAGAGCAAGGTGGAGGAGGAGCTGGAGCTCCTGGATGTGCGTAAACAGTTAGGACCCTCGAGATGGGGTGGTCCCTCCTGGGCTACTGGGCCATGAGGAGAGTGGAGGACTGGGACCCTCTCCTTGCATGGTCCTGGTGTGTCCACTCCTGGCTCTCAGCTGCCCCTCTCAGAGCAGACCTCCAGTGCTGGTCTCTCCACACACTCTCCTTACCTCCTGGGAGCCATGCCCAACACAGGTGCTGCACAAATTCCGAGCAAATGATCAATCTCAGGGCAAGAAGGCACCCGAGCCCCTGCTGCTCCTGGGTACAGAGAGCTATGGATTAGCAAGAAGCCCCTAACCCCGAAAGCTCTGTACTCTTGAGCAGGGGCTGCATACATTTCTGGGGAGCACTGTGAAATGGCAGTCTTAGGGTCAGAGGCCATCAGGTCTCTGGCAGAAGTTGTCTAGCTTTGTTTCCTGCAGAAACAAAGGGCGTGGCTATGTTCCAATAAGAACTGATAAAGTGGAATTTGAACTTCATACAATCTTCACATCAGCATTTTTTCTTTTAAAAATTTTCTGTTTTTTGGGCTGGGGATTTAACTCAGAGGCATAAGTGCCTGCCTAGCAAGCTCAAGGTCATGAGTGTGATCCTCAATACCAATAATAATAATAACAATAATAATAGTAATTCTGTTTTTCATTTATATCAAACTAGAAAAATCAGTGCTAATTTCACAGGTCTAAACAAAAACAGGCCTTCAGACTACAGTTTGCCAACCCCTCACCCAGATGAGGGCATAACTGGTGGGAGTGTGTGTGAGGATTTAACAGGAGGTATGATGTTTGGCCCAGACCTTTGAGACAGGGAATTCTAGAGAGGGAAGATGCCCAGGCCAAGATGGATGTGGTGACATGACCGTAAGGAGGGATGGGCAGAAGCCCAGGTGTGGCCTAGAATGTGATCTTGAAAGGTAACACCTGGGCAGTGACTTTGGGGTCTTAGAGACACGGGGACCGTGAGTGGGCCCTCTTAGATGGTCAGCCCTCAATCACACCTCCACACCCCTCATTCTGTCACTGCAGAATTCCTTCGAAGGCTTGGCCAAGCAGACCGAGTGGCAGAGCTCAGACCTCTTCAGGTACTTCCAGGAGGCCGTGCAGCTTTGGGAGGTGCACCAGAGCGTGCTGTTGCAGCAGGAGCTGGCGCTCGAGAAGAGGATGGAACAGTACAGGCAGAAGCATAACCTGGAGAACCAGGTACCTCCACTCCCGGGGATCCCTGAGTGGAAATGAGGGATGGGTCATTCCCGGATTTCCAGCTCCCTCAGGTCAGGCCAGGGAACTCAGTCAGCATTCAGAGATGCAAACAAAACAAAACAAACAAACCCATGTAAACAAAAAATGTAATTCAAAACATCTAAGATACAAATGTAAAACTTTAAATTATAAAACATGTACCAAGGGGGATATTGAGGCTTGCCTTGATTGTAGGACCAGGTGGGATAGCAGAAATCTTGACCTACATCACAGCTGTGGGATGGTCCTCAGAACTGATCCTGTCTGTAGGAGCATACATGATAGAGACAGACAGACAGACTGAACCGGCAACTTTCTGGATGGTCAAAGTAAGAGAGTGATCAAATCATGACTTCATGGATCACAGTTTGCTGCCACACAAGCAGAGTTTCAGTTCATGATATTTAAGAATAATGTAAACCCACCTCCCAGAGAGCGTGCCTGATAGGTGAGGATCATTGATTCCATGGTAAGTGAGTTCCAGAATTAGGTACATCTAGTTGTTCGAGTCGATGGAATAAAGTCTAAGAAAAGATTTCGATACACCCTTTTTTACAAGCAGTTTTGCCAGAGAAACTGGCTTGACCCTAGCCCAGCTGGCAAGGCCACTCCATGCTAGAGACAAGGCCAGTGGTGCTGATAACTTTAGAGCTCCAAGGCCTGTCACAGCTTGGTCTCTCCTGGTCCAGATGACAGTGAAAACTACCCTAACCTGAGCTTTCCAAGTGGGGGCCAAACTTTCAAATTTACATGCACACTGAACTCCAGTCAGTATTTAGTATTTTTCAAGGCTGTATAATAAAGGAATGAAGCATTATCAGCCCCCATGGATCAGCTGGCTCCTGTCCTCACAGACCAGAGTGGAGGGAGTCCAAACTCAGTATGTGACTTGGAGAATGGCTGGGGAGAAGGCCAGTGAGGAGCTGGTATCTCTGGAATGCATAGCATGGGCTCCGCCAGACAGGGTGAGTGAGAGGGACGTGTTCCTGAAGAGTCCCATGTGGACTAGCTCCCAGGGGAGTAAAGCAGGCAGGAAGAATATTCCAGGCAGCGAGAAGGCCCCAGAAGCCTATAGTGAAGCCAGGGTTAGCAGATTTATTGCCCTTTGTTTTTGTAGAAAAATGAAGCCTAGGCCTGGCCCAGCTTCTTGGGCCTCAGATTCAGTGGCAGGAGCTCTGTGTGCTAGCTGAACTCTGCAAGGCTTGGGAACTTACATATGCTTCTTCTTGTTTGGGGGTTGGTTTGTAGGTCCAGGAGATGCACTTTGACAAGCTCTTAGACCAACTAAGACAGCAAAGTCAGGAAGAAACACTGAGGGTATACCTGGAAAAGGCCAAAACTTTTCTGAAGAACATGAAATCCAGGTAGGTTGACCAGCCCCCCAAAGAGAGAAGGCATGGCCTGGATTCACACTCAGGGTCACAAGCAGCCTGCATAGGAGCCCGGGGTGTACCCAGAAAGCTGAAGATGAAACTCCTACAGCACTCTTTGCACTCTGCTTGTAACGAAAATGAAAATGTCCAAAGAGAATTTTGGAAGGTTTGTAGAAAGAAGTTTCAAGGCAATGTAGTTTAAAAGTCAAAAGCTGATACCCTTCTTTTTAAAATGAAAACATGCATGCTTTAAAGGGGTGAAAGTTAGCCGCTGCAGAGACTTTCCCTCATTCCACCCAACTATTTTTTATTCATGGACATATTCTTTGTACGAACATATATACACGAACAGTGTTTTTAAAATAAGGAATAGATTATACTGTGCCACTTATGTAACTGCAGATACATTTCAGTTTTAAGTGATCATGAAATTTATTAATACAGATACTTCATAGGATTTACTATCTATCTCAATTAATTAGCTTTTTCAACCATGTCAATTTCTTTAGTACAGTATTACAGATAATTCTCTGTGAACTTCCTTGTGCTTTTGTACAACTAGTTCAGTAAGGGCAGATTCACAGAAATGGAATTACCCTCCAATTGATTGTGGTACTTACTCAGATCCAGAAGTAAAACTGTGGGCGAGTAAGTAATCAACTGAGCCTTGGTCTCCTCACCTGAGAAACATAAAATGTGGGGCCTTGGGATATTTTGAGAGTTTGATGGGGTAGCATAGGTGAACTTCGAATATAAGATTCCATCAGTGGGCAAGAAAAGGAAGCATGCATTAAAGTACCCGTGTTTTGTTTGGTTTCTAAATTTTCTACAAAGAGCATATATTCCTTGTATGATCAGAAAAATAGCAAACAAACCAAGGACTGTCTCTGTTTCTTTTAGAAACTTCCTCACAGGAGCTCCACATAGTACTGATTGCCGGGTATCAGTCACCCCATGTGGCTCCAGGCTGAAGTCTCTCCATGGAGCAGCCTCCTACCCCCTTAGACTATGTCTTACCCCTCTTCCTCCAGGTATGAGTACTTCCATGTCTTTCTGACCAAGGAAGTGATGGAGTACCCAGAGATCATACTGAGAGAACTCAACTCCTACAGCTCCAACCTCAGCCAACATTTCTTCACTCGTGAAATCTTTGAACAGGTATGGACAGGGACTCGATCCCCCCAGTTGGGGGATCTACATGACAAGCAGAGTAGAGGGTGACTTTTCATTTGATCTGCTGAGACACTGGAAAGCTTTCTTGAGGCTGCAGAATACAAATCCATGTCAGAACATCAAGGAGAGAGAGGCTGGAAAGAGACCTCTCCTTAGTCTAAAGGAGGCTGAGAGGCTCCAGGCCTTAATGGGCTGACAGTAAAAAACCTAACTTATGTGACATTTGGAACTCCATGCATCATACCTATGACTGCCACACAATTGTTCTAAAATTGAGCTCTGACCTACTCCCTCTGCTCAGAAGTCCCTCACCCATCTGCAGGCCCCACCAAACCCAAAATGTCATCTCTAGGTGTTCATAGAGACCCACACCTTCTGCTTCCACTGTGACTCTCCCTGGCTTAGGTAACTCATCCCCTTCCTGCACACGACCCCTGCCTGTGATCCCTGCTCATCCAATTCTCTTTGCCACTATCCTCTCCGCATTCTCCCCATCAACACTGTTTCCAGTCCACTACCAGGGTTAAGGACCCTTCCTTCTCAGCCCGAGCACTTGTGTCATCATCTCAACATCTGCCATCACTCCCATCTCTGAACCTGCCTGTTCTCAGTGGCTGTCAAATGCAGGAGTTTAGAATACTCAACTACAGTGTCTTTCCTGAAGGCCAAGTAGGTCTTATTAATTTTTATTCAACTTCAGTTACCCTTAGCACAGAGTTATGCATATTATTCAGATATGGTAAATGCTCTGTGAGTAAAGTGCCCACGTCCCTGGAATGTGCTGGTTTGAATACCAGAGTTTGGCCCCTTTTCCACAGACATAGCCAGAGTCCTTCTTGGCCTGATTGAAAATGCTTGTTGTTGGCACTGAGTTTGGCTGAGTCCTTCCGCCTGTGTGGGATACCTGGCATCAGCCAGGAGCATTTCTCCCTGGGAAGGGATCCCTGTTCAGATAGCTAATAAATGCTCCCCATGACTCTGGGGACTAGGCAGAAGTTCAGCCTACAGGAGGGTGAGTTTGTTATCTGTCCTTTGAGATCACCTTTGTTGCCTGAGTAAAAAGTATGCGCATTTATATGATCCCCACCTCACAGAAGAGGACACTAAGGGTTAAAGGACTTGCCCATTTGTAAGGAACTAGACCTGCAAATTCTACAGACCATGCTGTCTTCCATATAAATATAATCCCAGTTTCACCCAGAGCCTGTGAAACGAGGGACATGTTGAGTGAACTGGAGACTCCCAGAATCGTGTAAATCCTCTGTCCCCATTCAGCGTTCAGTACAGCAGATCCCTGCCCCTTTGTTTGCATCCCTCAGCTCCTAGTTTTCTGCTTTTCTCTAGATTACTGGAACAATGTCAAAATGAGATTTTATTCCAGGGTGTTCTGCAAGGTGTACGTTAGCCTGGTTGGAATTAAGGAAAGCCAGCTCCTTAGACTTGGAACAGCTGATTGCCCCAATGAATGCAGCTGACTTAGGGTGCAATGTATACTGAAGGGAAGGAGAGACTCCTTTCACTTAAAACTGATACCCTTAGAACCAGCACTCTGGGAAAGAGGAGCACTGGTCCTTAATAACCTCTATTTTTCTCTTGTAGAACTTGCTTGGTGAAGTCATTTTCAAAGTGAGGGAGCAAGGTAACGCTTTTACCATTCAAGTCCAGTTCTCCATGATTTCATTCCCGTACGTCTCTGGGCTGGGAGACCCCATCCAGGCAATGCTAATAACTTGCCTCTCTTTGTGCTTTGGTGCTGGTTGTGGACAGAGGTATATGAAAAGCACTACCTGCAGAGGATGAGGAAATTGAAAAGAAGACAAACGACTACAAGTGAAGTAAGCAGAAGTGAGGAAAACACAAGTAGAGAGACGGATTATACAAGACCAGCAGAAGAAAAAGATCAAGAAATGATGTCCCCTGGAATTGAGGAGGGACTGAGCCAGGAGACCAGATCTGCACAGAGTGATCAAGTGGATGAGTCCAGAGAGGTCTCTGTGCAAGGATCAGAAGAAATGCAGAGTGGAAGAGAGAGCTCCTCAAAAGCATCCCTGAGCCTGGAAAATGTGAGTGTTCAGGAAGAGAAGGAAGAGCAGGTGGAGGAAGAAGAGGAAGAGGAGGAAGAGAAGGAAGAGGAAAAGGCAAATGAGGAGGAAGAAGCAGAGGAAGAGCAAGAGAACTCTGTGGGTGAGGTAGGCCAGCCACTGGCTCGTTCTTGCAGTGGAGAGAGTTTGCTGTGTCCATTCTATGTGTATTTCTCACTAACCTGGGATCCCCAGGGCCCAGTCTCCGTGGAAGTGCATATAAAGAATGAAAAAAGTGTCCATTCATTTTTATTTTTGTCAAGAGATCCAATTCTTCATTCACAGCACTAAATTCTAAAGTTCACTTTTTCCTCCTCATGTTCCTGCAGCCGGCGCTAGACTAGCCAGTCCCTCAGCTGTGCAGCTTCCTCTCCCTGCAGGGCCTCTTTCTGTCTAGGCCTCTCTTTGTTGTACAAATCAACTCAGACTGTCCTGCACCGCCCCATCCTGTCCTCTCCTTCTCTGTTCCTGTTCACTAGTGGTGTGACACAAAAGATTTAGACTTGGCTGCCTTTTGAGTGCTGGTCAATAACTCACATGAACAGAACTCATAAACATTCAGACATGAAACAATTTAAATTCCATAATTATAGCATTCCTCCATTGTTGTGGAGGAATTAGTATCTGAAACTTTTGAGGAGAGATCCCAAGCTTAAATAACCACAGATATAAGAGAAAAGAGAGCTGGAGGCCAAATGTGAAACAGTGCCAAGTGGTCTAACCATTTCCGAGTCCCAGCTAAAAATGCCATGGGAGACGCAGATTCAGAACTGACATCTTTTCTGATATTCTTTGGGGAAACTGGGAACCCAAAATTTTATATAAAACTTCTCAGTTTTAAAAGGGCTGTGGAGTGGGGATTAGGGCAACAATTATAGGCAAGATGTGCCCCTCTGATTTACAATCACTGGATGTGAAGTAGTCATTGTTGAATGATACTGAGTCCCAAGTCTTGTGTTCTGCTTAGGCTGAAGCTCAAGAAAGTATGGAGGAAATGTTCTATGATGACATGGAGTCCTTCACAACCTCCAGTGGAAATACTTACTTTGTCCTCTTATCTCTGGAAAAAGAAGAGAGCTGCAGGAGGCCCCATTCCGACTATTCAGCTGCACTCATCAACACTTCCTGCACTAAGTTCATAGAACAAGTAATAATTCCATCCGAACTAGTTCTAGAAATTAAGAAACAGTGAGTACAAAATTCTTTTGTTCCTATTCATTTGCTCTAAGCTATATTCACATGAAAAATTACAACAAAAATTAGTTTGGGCTGGAAAAATTTTAAATGTAGATGTTATGATTTATGTCTAGATGTCCCCACAGATCCTCATGTGATCATTTCAGAGTGGCTGAATCAGAGGATGTGATTGATCTGTAGTGCAGTGCTGTGCTTAAAGGTGGAGGATTGCTAGATCAGTCCCCTGACTGGACTGGCATCCCTGTTGTTGCTTTTGCTGTCTTCTGCCATCGTGAACTATTGCCCTTCTGCCCTGCGTTACCCTGCCTTGGAGCCGGCTGATTATGGACTGAAACCTCTACAGACTGTGAGGAAATAAAACCTTCCTCCTTCAACTTTGAGTGTCAGATATTTTGTCTTAGTGATGAGAACAGTAACTGAGACAGTAGATAATTGACAAAATAACAAATGTCCAGGAATTATTTGTAGTCTTCAGTATCCTGGGTTACAATGCCCCCTGCACCCTTCCCAGGTGCTCTGCTGGTGTAGCTCTTGCATACAAAAGCACTCTTTTGCCTGCCTGATGCTCCTGGGTTCTGATTTGTGGCACATCTGTGACTTTAGGGTTTCTTTTTTTTTTTTTTTTTTTCAAATTCTATAGATGTAAGCCACATCATATTTAGTATCTTGCACTAATTGATACACTTGTTGAAGAAAATAGAAGAACAATAGAGAACAAAGATATGATCCATAATCATACTCTTGAGCATTTATCTCCCTTAACGCACTAGTTTCTGAACCTTTTGTTAGAGTTTGGGCCAAACATGGAAATTTGCATTTGGAATTTGAGTGACATTTTTATTTCCTCCTGCCTCTGTGAGAATTAGTCAGCTTGTGATCACCTCGCCAGTCCACCATGGGCAGGAGGCCAGAGGTAAGAAGGGGAACAATTAAAGTCCAGCCTCTAGGCTCTCCTATACCTCAGCATCATATCACAAAAAATGTCTTGATTCAAATGCCACCCTTCTTCTTCCACCATAAGCCATCTTTTTCTTTTCCAAAGCCCTTATGGCAAATATCAGCAAAGATCACCATCAGAGCTGCTATTTATAGAGTATGATCCCCTCACTGTGAATTAACTCCACCTTATAAACTGAAGGAACTGAAGCTCAGAGTGTTAGTCATTTGGCCATGACATTCAAGATAAGAAGGTTGGATTCAAGCTATAAATCTCAGCCCAGTAGCTGTAGAACCTGGTCTCACCTACTGTGCCCTCTGACACTGATGATTAACAACTAACATGTCCTGCATGTAGTTGATTAAATTTTCATGTTAGAGACTTACAAAAGTGTTTAGCACATGAACAGTTCAAGGGAAACACATTGGCACTCAGAACCCATAAGAAACAGAAGCATTAACCAACCACTCCTCCAAGAGGCCACCCCGTGGGTCCATCCACAGTAACTGCTCTTCTTTCCCCAGTGATAAATACTCTAACTCCGGGGTTCATTGTGCTTCATTTTGAACTTCACCTAAAACTCACTCAGAGCTCACCCTTTTTTGCCAGGCTTCTTTCATAGTGTTTATAAGGTTCATATATTTTCTTGAATGTGGCTAGAATTCATTTTTAATTTTTGTATGGTATCCTAATATGGAAATATATAATCTGATTTTATTTATCCATTCTACTGATGCACATTTTGGTCTTTTCCAACTTGAGGATATGCCAATAATTTTGCTCTGAGTGTTCTTGTAGAAGCCTTTTGGTGAACATATGTATACATTCCTATTACCTGTGTAACTATAACCAAGTTGAGTCATGAAATATGTGTATGTCCATCTTTAGGAGTTAGAGTCAAAAGATACTGCCAAAGAGTTTTCAAAAGTAGTTTAACCATTTACAACAGAGTATGAGTTCCAGTTGGTCCAGATCCTCAACAACAAGTGATGCTGATACTTTAGCCATACTGGGGTAATTCTAATGGGTTGTAGTGTGGATTTACTTTACATTTTCCTGATGACTAATGATTTTGATGCTGTGTAAGCATCATGTACTTGTTGGTCATTTGGGTGGTGTGTGTGTGTGTGTGTGTGTGTGTGTGTGTGTGTGATGTCTTCTATGTAAAGCTTTTGCTGGATAAATATATGACAAACATCCCTTGTCTGTGGTTGCCATCTTTATTCTTTTTAATGGTATCTTTTGGTAGAGATTCTTATTTTTAATAAGGTCCAACTTGTCAATTCTCTCATCAGAGTAAGTTTCCTTTGTGTTTGGTCTATGATTTTTTTTTTGTTTGTTTGCAAAGGTCATGAAAATAATCTCCATATTTGAAATGTTATTATTTTAAAGTTCCATATTTAGATCTAAAAATTCACTTGGAATTGACTTTAATGACATGAGATTGCGGCAAAGATTAATTTCTTTCCCATACAGAGAACCAGTGGATCCTGAGTCACTTCCTGATATACTCTCTTCTCATCCACTGGCACCTTTTTTCTCTTTCTCTGTGTCTACCCTCAAACAACTACCTCACACTGGCTCATAACTGCAGCTCTATACTGTGTCTTAATGTCTAGTAGGTTAAATCCTCTAGCTTTGATCTTCTCCAAGTTTATCTTCACCATCCTTGACCCTTCATATTTTAGATAAATGTCAAAATCAACTTATCAGCTTCCTTAAGAAGACATTTGCTGATATCATTTATCTTATTATTGAATTAAATGTATTTGGGGGCACTGACATCTTTTAAAAAGCACAAAATTTTTAAAGGATGACAGGAAGTTAGGAAACAATATTTGCAACTCACATCAAAGTCAATGGGCCTCATGTAGCAATGTACAAAAGAGCAGTTATATAATACAGAAATGGCAAACAGCATTAGTGAATAGTATACAGAAAAACAACTTACATGTGTGAAAGTAGGGGCTGGGGATTTAGCTCAGCGGCATAAGTGCCTGCTTTGCAAGCAGGCAATCGTGAGTTCAATCTCCAGTACTGGTAAAAACGAAAAAGACAAAAAAAAAAAAAAGAAAGACATGCGTGACAGTATGCTTTGTCAAACTATGGCAAAATTGTTAAATTAAAAACTGTGACAACATATTCTGAGGCTATGAAGAACCAGAAACTATTATTCTTTGCTGATGGGAATACAGGTTGCCCTCCAGTGGAAATAGTTTGCCCCTATCTACCAGAACCACAAACATATTCTAACTTTTGATTCAGCAAATCAAAGTCAGGGCCATATCCCATAGAAACACCTCTACATCTGGTAAAGTACAAAGCTAGTTATCAAACTTTTCTTTGGAAGAACAAAAAGTCTGAAACTACCCAAAGTCCTCCAGCGATGGTCTGGGTAAATTACTGATAGTTTGTCCCTCCACACAGTGAGATACAAGATAAGTAGGGAATGGAACGAGGAAGAAAGGATGCAAAAGCCTCAGTATGGAAAGGTCTCTTACAGGTCACAATTCCTGACAGAATTGACCGTTGCTGATTTCTCCTCCAGACTTCGCATGGGCTTTTTTGAACACCTCGAGAAGTGGTTTGCTCAGTGTACCCTCAATACCCAAGTGATTGTGGCCACCAAGATCAATGAATTGGATTCGGAATTGGAGCTGCAGCTACACCTGCACGAGCCAAGACTCCAGCACGTAGAGAAGGACGTCCACAATGTCAGGGCAGGTGCGGGTCCTACTTGGGAAGCTCATCGCCCCTAGGCTTCTCCTGCAGGGCCTGGTTCCCCTGCAGCCTCAGGTTTGTTAGCTGCCCCAGGAAATGCTTTGCATGCCATCATCACAGGTGGCAGAGGTACATGAGTATTGGCACTTCCCATGCTTGCAGCAAAGGATAATACTAACATTCTGCACTCGAGACTTTTTTAAATTGCCTTTTTTTTTTAAAGAGTGTTAGAGAAAGAAATGAGTGTCATCCAGTTTTAGCTCTAGATTTGGGATCACATGCACACACTTCTGCAGGATGCTCTAGAGGTAAGCCTGTTGTTCAGAAATCAGAGTATGCAGGCTCACCTCAGGCTGTGTAACTCAGAGCAGGTGACCTGACCTCTCTGGTCCCTCCCTCTTACCTGCAACAGGGGGAGTTGGAGGTGGTAAATAAGCTTCCTGAAATGATATAGTGAAAATCATGAGCACCTGGCACAAGACACAGCATCCAAAAGCAGTAACCATTATCTCTACGTTAGTAGTTATCAATCTTAAAAAGACATGCATTTTGGTCTTAGTTTATGGGCTCCATTCACCGAGGGAGGGGCGTGATTTTAGTAAAGTCTTTCAGTGAAACTTGTCTGTTTTACACTTAAATCATGCTCTAACATCTGCCATAAAACTAGGACACCCTTTAGAGATAGCAAAGAGCCCCTGTGTGATCCAAACTCTTGTTACCCAAAGCGGTGAAAGTTGCACAGTCAAACTGGTCTCAAAGCCCAATGCTTATAACCTTGGGCAAAGTACCTGCCATTTGGAACTTCTTTGTCCTCACAGGACATTAAATGCACCATGAATCATATGCACTGAAGAGCTGGAGGTGGGGAGGCTGCATATGCCTTGAGCAGCAGGGGTCTGAAGGCTGATTCCTTTTCCTTGCCCCACTCCCTGGCCCAATGTATGGTATAGAAACCAACCTGGCTAGAGAGATGAGTTCCAGTGTCACACCCTTTGCTTTTGGCAAAGCCGAGACTACAGCACTTCTGCTGCAGACAAGAGGGGGATCCGGGGGCTCTCTGCTTGCTCTAAAAGGCTGTGGTGGGGCTATATAGAAGGCCAATCCTTATTCTTTCTATTCCATCCTGGGAGCCAATTGGAACTCAGGCTCATCTGACATGAGAATCCACTGATGTAAGGAACAAACCCAGACTGCTTGGCTCTGTGCTTCTTGTGGCTCCCCGTCCAGACCCTCTCACCTAGGTTGAGCCCCCTTCCACACCATCCACTCATCCTCCCCTGCTCCCCAGCTCTGTTCTGTCTGCAGCAGGCAGGGATCTCTATCAGTAGGGAGCTCCCTGCTCACAGGCTACCAGAGGCTTCTCTCTCCTGGGAGACCCAGGAACAGCCTCGGATTGCTGTCTCTCAGAGCACAGCCCATTCCCAGCCTTGGTGATGGTGGTGGTGGCAGGTAAGAGTTGTGGACCTGAGCAGTCCCTGCTCTGAGGCTGGCTTGGAAGAGATAGCAGGTGGGCAGTGTTGCAAGAAAGGACTGTGCAGAGCTGAGTCAGGCCCTGGAGGACCTCAAATCTCCTCATTCTTTTGCAGCTGAGCTCTTGCTTCACAAAGAACGCTTAGACAGCCATTGTGTTGGGGTGGTGGAGACCCTGAAGAAGGAGAGGCTGATGTTCTGCCAGTTCCAAGAGGAGCAAAACACAAAGAGCAAAATCTTTCACCACAAGATCTATGACATGGAGCACATCTTCCTGAATGCCACCAAGAGCCAAAAGTAAGGAGCCAAAGGTCTCCCTGTCAACCTACCCAGGCTAGAAGACACTCAAGAACCTGTTTGTGAGCTAACCATGAGAATCTAGACTCAAAATCTGTGGGCAACATCTGGGGTGTGTGTGTGTGTGTGTGTGTGTGTGTGTGTGCGTGTGTGTGTATGTGTGTGCGTGTGCGTGTGTGTGTGTGTGTGTGCGTGTGCGTGCATGTGTATGTGTGCGTGTGTGTGTTGGGGAAGCAGTGAGCAGCCAATGAGAAAGAGACTCCATGCTCACAGTCAGTGTACAAGAATGCAGGTGATGTGCCCTGAAATGTCACATCAGTGGTAGGAAAGACCACTACTCCTGATTCTGCGGAGTCAGAAAGGGCTTCCTGCAGGAGGTGGTACTTGCCATGAACCCGGAGGTACCCAGAGGATCTGGGATGGAGGAAAGTAGGAAGGATGAGTTTTCCAAGCAGAGAAGCAGCTCTGGCTAAGCTGTGGGTCAGAGCAAAGCAAGGGGTTCCAGGGAGGCCACTCAGGAGTATGAGAAGGAAGCCACCATCAGGTCATGGGAAAGATCCTGGCAGATATCTGTGCAGTCGTCAGGTACACAGTGATGCCTATTCAGGAGAACTTGGTTGTAAAGAGGAATCCTGCGGGGTACTGCCTCAGGAAAGTGGGAAACCACATCACTGGGGGTCAGAGAGAGTCTGCTGGAGGGAGGACAAGAATCCAGTTGCATCTAGAATTCTATCAGTTTGATGGCAGTGGTCAGAGGGAAGAGAGCAATGTCCTCTCGGGGACACATGGTCATTTCAATTTCTTTCTAGTGCCCTTTGCTACCCAGAGAAGCTGGGCAGTGGTTCTATTGGGCCCCAGCTTGGCACTGTGTGTGGAGCTCAAGCAGGGACCCAGGAAGTCGACACAGGCCCAGTCACTGCCGAGCCTCTCACATCTCCCAAGCTGGGCACCATCACCATCTGCTCCTCCTCTACCCACCCCCCACAGGCTGGTCATTCTCAGCAGCACACTGCACCGGGAGCTGCTCACCTATATGGACGTCACCCAGGTGTCCCTGCGCAGCTTTCGACAGTACTTGGAGGAGAGCCTGGGCAAACTCCGCTACACCAACATCGAATTTGTCAAGCACTGCAGGTGGGAGCCAGTACTGGGGCCTCTGAGCTGCCAGGGTTTCCCTGCAGGGAAGTGCTCTTACTTCTCCCTTAATTTTTCATTATCAGACATACATAACACATAAAAGTTACCATTAGGACCATTTAGACATATGGTTCAGTGCCATTAGCACAATGTGCTACCATCAGCCCCAGCCATCGCTAGGACTTCTCATCTAACTCTGTCATTGTTGTAAAAATAATCTGCTTCAGGCCCTGCTTTCAATTCTTTCGAAGTAGAACTGCCAGCCCAGATGGTAAGTTCTCAAGTCTTTAAGGAACCATCACACTGTTTTCCAAAGCAGCTACACCACTTTCTATTCCCACTAGCAATACGCAAGGATTCTATATCATTACCAACATGCGTTATTTTCTTTCTTTGTATAATAATTACTTTAATGGGCATGAGGTGGTATTATATTGTGGTTTTTATTTGTATTACCCATTTATTAACGTTATGTGTCTTTTGCGTTCTCATTGATTGCTTTCCCCTCTTATTTTTCTTAACTCACTTCTGCACAAAACTGATCCTGTATTTAATTTTTGACATTTGCAATAGGCTATACTTGAGGAGGTATTTTTTAAAAGCTTATATTGTTTTAAAAATTAAAAATCTTTTACTTATCATAGTATAATGAAACACAAAAATATCTAAAGTAAAAGTTGGAAACCCTCTCCAGACAAATTTACTATATGGTATGCATAAGTAAAAATTGTTGACTTTACAAAGAAATGGAATTCTAGGAAACGTGTTGACCATCAGCCTCCACCACGGCCAGCAGACAGCTTCCATGTTGGTACCTTCCATTTGTTTTAAATATTATTAACATTTTCTAATTATAAATGTAGTTTTTTCAGATAAAAAATTGGAAACTTGCAAAAACTAGAATTAGTGTTTGGCATGTGTCTCTGTCCTGCATAACTCTACATTCCTCTAGTACTTTTTAGCTCCATTCTAATTATCTTATTCCTAATGTTTTTTAAAATCCCCTCATTACAGTGTTAATTTCCTGACAAATCTATTCTAAGGAGGTTTTAACATCTTAATTGTTATAGTTTCTATTTCTATTTCTGTTTGATTCTTTTCCCAAACTGGTTGTTCCCTGTTCATATTTTTTAGTTTCTTGTTTATTTCCATAAACATCTTATACTTTGCTAGTTTATAATTTATGTCAGATAATTCTAAAGCCTGAGGTCTTTAGGCATCCATTCTCTGTTGCTTCTCTCATTCTCATTCATGGCTTTTGCTTCCTTGTGATTTATTTTTTATGAGTCACTCATTTTCCTTGGGATTTTATTTGTGGCATTCCTTGAGGCAGCATAGAATCACACTGAGTTCCTTTAGAGAGAATTATTGTTTCTTCTGTGCAGCTGAAGCCATTACCAATTAAAAATCTACATTTAAATGAGACTTCCAGAAAGATGGCAGAATGGTAAGCACAGAGAAAGAACCTCTCTGAATTTTAAGGTCCAGACACTGGAATATAACTATGTGAGGAAGAGGAAAAGGAAGAAAGTGTGTCTCCTGGACCCAGGTAGGATCTGAAATGAGAATTGAAACCCATGAAGAGAACTTCAACATAGAAGAGGGAAGTAGCAAGTGTCACCTTCTCCCTGAGTTGAGACCCACTGTGTGGGAGGAGCAGTCACACAGTGACTGCTGGCAAACCCAGAGGCTACCATGGAGGGACACAGCAGTGGAAGGAGCAGGGAACATGGAGAACCTCACTGGCTGTTGCTGAGTGCTTTGGGATTGGATGTCCTGCAAGAGAGGGTAACTGGTTGGGAGCCATTTTGGAGAGGGGCCAACTGAGCTTGGAACTTAGAACAACTGCTGGATCCATCTTGCAGCTACCAGTTGAGTCCAAGCCCATAGAAGGTGCACTGACTGCTACAGGCTCAACAAGCTGGGTCCCAGCCTCACAGCCAGAAACCAGCCTGAACTTCAGTGAAAATAAAGGTGCAGACTTGCTGAGATTATCCACTATGCTGCTGTAAAGCAACTGCTGGCGTGCTGGGAAAAACCAACATGGATCTGGACTCCGTCTCCACACATTGTCTACCAGTGACAGCAGGGACACATCTTGAAGTGAACCTTTTTTTTTCTTCTCTCTCTCTTTTCTTAGTCTTTTTTGTTTTTCTCCTTTACTGTTCGATCTGTTTTTATACGCATGCAAACATGGTTTCTAGTTTTATTGTGGTCGTTGTTCTATTCTTCCTTTTATTTCTTCCTTCTCTCTTTCCCTCCTGTCTTCTGACCAGTTTACCAAAGGCTGCATGATTCCGCTTTGTCCTCCAGCCTTGCTTCTAATCTCTTCCTTTTTTTTCTATCTCTCTAATTTTTCCCTAATTGCTTGTGGTGGGTTGTCAGGTGGTAGTCAACTTGTAACATCCTGCTGAACTGAATCAGTGTGGTGCTTGGTGTGGAAGACCCACCTGAGGATTGCTGCCAACAGCATAAAAAGAGAACTGGAAAGGAAGAGGGTTGATTCTCCTGGAGAAGTTTGTCACACTGGCTATCTTGATATGAACTCAGATGTTATCATCAGAGGAGCTCAGGAACTTGCTGTCTTTGGGAACTTGCTGTTGCTGAGGATAGCTGTTTTTGGTTTTTTTAGGGTTTTTTTTTTTTGCAAGAGTTTCACTATATGGTTCAGGCTGGACTTAAACCATAAATGTAAATGGTCGGAATTCATCCATCAAAAGAAACAGCCTGTCAGAATGGATCAAGAGGCAAAATCCAACAATATGCTGCATACAAGAAACACAGTTATTTCAAAAAGAAATTCATAGACTGAAAGTCAAAAGATAAAATATAATATACCATGAGACAGGAACCCAGCAAAAAGCAAGGATAGCTTTCTATTTGCAGACAAAGCAGATTTCATGCCAAGACTGATTAAGAGAGACAGAGAAGGTCACAATATCCTTGTAAAAGGAATAGTCCAAGAAGAAGAGATAATAATTATAAATAAATATGCAACAAATACCAGTGCACCCAACTATATAAAATGAATATTAATGGACATGAAAAATCAAATACACTAATACAATGCATTGGGTAATCTCAATACCTTGCTGTCACAAATAGATCAACTAGACAAAAAATCAACAATGAACTATTAGAACTGAACCAAACTTTTTAATAAAAGGACTTAGTAAATGTCCACATTATATTCTACCCCACAACATCAGAATGTCCCTTCTTCTCAGCTACACACAGAACATTCTCCAAATAAATCACATACTAGCTCATAGAACATGCTTAAGTAAATGCAAAAAAATTGAGTTTATCCCATGCACACTATCAGATCATAGTGCAAAGAAGTGGGAAATCAATGGCAATAGAAACCACAGGAACTTCATAAACACACGGAAATTAAATAACACCCTCCTGAACCACCAAATGGGAGACAGATGAAATTAAAGAAGAAATTAGATAGTCTCTACAATTAAATGATAATGACAATACAACATATTAGAACTTATGAGGCACAATGAAAGCAGCCCTATGAGGGAAATTTATAGCAGCAAATATCCATATCAGGAAAACAGCTAGCTCAAATAAATAACTTAATGTTGAACCTCAGGCTTCTAGAAAAACAGAGCAGGTCAACTCCAAAGCTCATATGAGGGAGAAAATTGTAAAGATCAGAACAAATTAATGCATTGGAGACTAAGAAAACAATACAAAGAATCAATGAATCAAAGAATTGTTTGTTTTTGTTTCATTTTTTGTACTGTGGATCGAACTCATGACCTCATGCTTGCTGAGCAGATACTTATGCCACTGAGCTAAATCCCCAGCCCTAAGAATTGGGTTGGTAAAAGATTAAATAAAATTGACAAGCCCTTGGCCAATCTTATATTAAAAAAGAAATGACAAGACTCTAATCCATACAATAGGAATGAAAAGTGTAAAATCACAACAGACCATGCAGAAATCCAGAAAATCATCGATATACCTCCTTTGAGAACTTGTATCCTAATACAATGGAAAATGCAGAAAAATGGACAGATTCCTAGATATACATGAATTACCAAAATTGAAGCAAGATATAAAAATCCTAAATAAACCAATATCGATTATGAAATTGAAGATATAATTAAAAACCTACTGACAAAGAAAATCTCAGGCCCTGATGGATACACTGCTGAATTCTAAAGGAAATTTATAGAAGACTCAATACCACTACTTAGCAAACTCTTTAATGAAATTGAAATCCATTTCAGGAAGCAGGCATTACCCTGATACCAAAACTAGAGGAGGACCTGTCTAAGAAAGAGAACTACAGGCCAATCCCCTTAGTGAACATAGATGCAAAAATCCTCAATAAGATACTGGCAAACAGAATGCAGCAAATCATCAATAAGATTATACAACATGACCAAGTGGGATTCATCCCAAGGATCCAGGGATGGTTCAACATATGTAATCAGCAAATATAATATACCATGTTAACAGAGCCAAGGACAAAAAACTATATGATCATCTCAATAAATATGGAATAAGCTTTTGACAGAGTCCTACACCCATTCATGATAAAAACCATAAATAAAATTGGAATAAGTGGTCTTTATCTCAATTGAATAAAATCAAAGCTTTATCATGCTAAATGGACAAAAACTTTTACTATAAAATCAGGAACAAGACAAGAATGTCTACTGTCACCAATCTTATTCAATATAATTGTGGAAACTTTAGCCAGAGCAATTAGAAAAGAGAAAGAAATAAAAGGAATAACAATAGGAAAGGAAGAAATTAAATTATCATTCATGAATGACACAAAAACCACCAAAATACTACTAGATTTAATAAGCAAATTCAGCCTCACAGCTGGATACAAAGTCAACACTTAAAACTCAATAGCGTTCTTGTATATAAGTAACAAACTCACTGAGAAATTGGAGAAGCAACATCTTTCACAATAGCATCCCCCCAAAAAAGAAGTATCTGGGAGTCAATCTAATGAAGGAAATAAAAGGTCTCTACATTGAAAACTACAGTATGTAAAAAGTGAGATTGGGCCGGGTGTGGTGGCACACCCCTGAAATCCCAGCACTTGGGAGACTGAGGCAGGAAAATCATTGTGAGTCTGAGAGTAGCCTGAACCACAAAGTGAGCTCAAAGCCAGCCTGAACTGCACGATGAGACCCCGTCTCAAAAAGACCAAAAAAAAAAAAAAGTGGGATTGAAGAGGATATCAGAAAAAGATATTCCTTGTTCTTGGGTAGGAAGAACCAATATAAAATGACCGTATTTCTAAAATTGTTACACAGATTTAATGCAATTCTGATCAACATTCCAACAGCATATCTCACAAAATTAGAGAAAGCAATCTTAAAATTCATTTGGCGCTAGAAGAAACCTAGAATAGCAGTTCTGGGAAACAAAGGCAAGGTAAGAGGCATCACAATCCCAGATTTGAAATTATACTATAAAACTACTTGGATAAAAACAGCATGGTATTGGCAAAAAAATCTAGACATTAGGATCAATGGAGCAGATTAGAAGATACAGGAAGAACTGCAGACATACTTAGATACCTTGTATGTGTGACAAAGGTGCCAAACACATTCACTGGAAGAAAGAGACCCTTTTTAATAAGTGGTACTGGAAAACTGGCTTTGCCACACCAAACATTAAAATTAGGTCCGTATCTTTCACCATCCACTAAACTAAATTTGCAATAAATCAAAGACCTACATATTAAAATAGAACAGTAAATCTGGAAAATAGAATAGGTAGAACTCTTAAAGACATTGGTGTAGTAAAAAACATTATAAGCAAGATCCTGGTTGCACAGGAACTATCACAACATATCAATAACTGAGATCTTATCTTATTAAAATCTTTTGCACAGCAAGAGAAACCACCAGCAAAGTGAAGAGAGAACTCACAGTGTGGGAAAAATGTTTGCCAGCTCTTTCTCAAACAAAGGAACACTATCAAGAACATACAAAGAACCAAAAAAACAAAAAGACTCCCACCGGCAAATTTAAAGACCCAATCCAAAAATGGGCTTCTGAAATGAATAGACCATTCTCAAAGAAGTAGGAACAGCAATAAATATATGAAAAAATGTTCAACATCACTGTTCATTCGAGAGATGCAAATTAAAACGACACCTGAGATTCCATCTCACCCCAGAAAGAATGGCTATTATTAAGAAATCAACCAATAACAAATGCTGGCAAGGTTGTGGGGAAGCCCTTCTCCGCTGCTGGTGAAAGTGTATATTGTACAGCCACTGTGGAAATTAGTGTGGAGATTCCTCAAAAAACTAGGGCCAGAGGTTCTCTCCAACCCAGCTATTCCCTTCCTTGGCATCTTCCTGAAAGACTTAAAAGCGTTATACCACAGTGATACATGTAAATCGTGTTTACAGTGGCACACTTTGTAATACCCAAATCTTGGAAACAGTCCAAATGCCTATCAACTGGTGAATGGATAAAGAAGATGTGGGTTTTTATAAAGTGGAGTACTATTCAGCCATACAGGATGAATTTGTGATGTTTTTAGCTAAATGGACATACCTTGAGACCATACTCTTAAGTGAAATAAATCAGACTCACATGTGTAAATATTGCATTGTTTCTCTGGTGTCAGAAACTGAAAGCATAAATAAGAACCAAAATGTATAACAGATATTATGAGATAGAAAATGTTCAAATGGAGAAGGTAACAGAGAAGGAGGATAGAGGAAACAAAAGAACGGAAAGTAAGAAAGAGAGAGAAAAGAAAAAAATCTCTGCTGGAGGTTTTTTTAATCACTCTGGAGAACATGAATTCCGCGCTGATAAGTATGTGTGAAGTCTAGTTGTGATTAGAAAACATCAGGCAAGAGAGAGCTTTCTTTCCTCCCTGCCCTTGGCTGTAGACCAAGCAGTGTCCTGGTACTTAGTAGGGTTCATTTACTCCTGCAATCTGATTCCCAAAGTATCATCTTTGGAGTCCAACTCCACACTGTCCCCTCCCCTTGAGCAGCCATCAAAACTCAGACCTAAAGTTTGTAGGCACATCTCAGCTGCAGAGCCCACCCAGCTGCTGAGAGGACGTTTCACCTTGATTTTACATCTAGAGACTGTAGAGAATTCTCTTCACACGGGTCTCGGAAACCATTCCAGTTAATGTCAGCCAGCGTTTTGTTTCCCATGAGAGTGTCAGGGCACTCAGTGTGACACAGTGAGGCAAATGGAAACTTTACGCCACTCATTAATCTGTGCTCCTGTGCTTGCGCTACCTACATTTAATTTTTCCATCATCTTTTTCAGTCTAGAGATTAGGTGGGAAGTGTGCTGTTCGCCCACACAGTCTTTGGGAAGGGTGGGAATGTTCAGATCTGACTGCAGACTTTCACTTCTCCCTAATTATTGTCAGGTTGTTTTCAGAGGGAGGCAACTTTTCCCCTGAAGAAATCAACTCACTGTGTGTTCGACTGGAGAAGGAAGCTTCCCGGATAGAGTTGGTTGAAAGTCTAATTATGATGAGCATGGAGAAGATGGAGAGCGAATATCTGGACCAGGTCAGGGAGCCCCAGGACGGCTGGCCCCGGGGTGGCCTCCAAGGGGAGGGCCATGACCCTGTCTAAACCACGGTTGAGGCTTTTCCCTCCTCTTCCAGATTAAGCTCCCTTACTTTATTTTTTAATCTTTCTCCACAGGCCAATGATGTCATCAGCAAATTTGAGAGTAAATTCCATAACCTGAATGTAGACCTTATTTTCACAGAGAAAATTCAGCGGTTGATGACAAATTTACAAGTGAACATCAAATGTCAGGTAAGACATAGTCGTTATCCATCGTGTGGGTCTCTATCACACACACACACCTGCACACCCGTCACATGGCGGCCAGTGTGTCCCATGGAACTTGCTCCTCAGCCGACAAAGGCCGGTAACTCCTCCAGCTCCTTGTGTTCACTGCACACCGTGCATCTTGCTAACTGACTTATTTTAACGAGCTGTAGTAGTCTGCACAGGAGCAATATGAGGCAGGCACTGTTTTAGAGATGAAACCCCCATTTTAGAGATAAAGAGATAGAAGCAGAGAGTAATTCACTGGCTTGGGCAAGAACAGAGTTTTTAATGAGTCAGAATGTAGAGCCAGATGTGATTGTCATCAAAGATTTTGGCCTAAACCATGGACAGGCCATCTGAGCCCAAATGGGGTACATGTTTAGAAGATTTAGCCTTCAGTCAAAGGAGAAGCAATTTCCTGAGGTCTGCACCAAGACGAGAGGGAGTGGGGAGCTGAGGGAGCAAAGGTGAGCAGGCCTGCAGGGGCTGGGTCAGGCGCTGGGGACAGGGAGGGTTCGGGCAGGGCCAGGTTCTTAGGACCACCCTGGAGGAGGGCCCTCTGGACAGCTTGCCCTAGAGCAAGGCAGGGAAGCAGGGCCAAGAACAGAGCACCCTGGATCAGGTGTCTGCAGGAAGAGCCCCCGAGAGCAGCACGCCCTTCAGAGCGCAGTATTCGAACTGCCCTTCGCTGTTTATACAACTTTATAAGCTGTTCTCATTACAAATCCTTCAGAAACACCCTTTGGAGCTGTAGCTGGTGGCACATGTATGTAATTGCAGCATTCTGGGAGGCTGAGGTGGAAGAATGGCAAGTTTGACCCCAGCCCAGGCAATTTAGAGATGGAGACCCTGTCTCAAAAGATAAAGAAGGAATGGAGACCTAGCTCAGTGTGAAGAGCCTGGGTTCATTCCCCAGTGCTGCAAAAGAAACCAATCAAAAAAAGCACACAAGACAAAACAGACACACCAAGTAAACAAAACAGAGAAATACCCTTTGGGTGGCCTTCCTCTCCTGGATATGCTGCTGTTTCTGTAAGCACCCTTTTGGGGGAATGCTGGGTGGGTTCCCTCTACTCTCAATGCTCAGTTCTATGAGTGCACTTCCCCAGCCATTGTGCCTGTGTTCTCAGTGCCTCCTGGGAGCTGACCTTCTGCCTTGGGTGGTGATTATGCACTTGAGAACACGTTAGGGAGCCAATTTCTTTGAAACCAGACCTATTTTACAGTAAAAAAAAAATTTTTAAGTTCATATTGATCCAGTTTCTGGTATATCCCCCATGTTATTTTTGTACCACTTATTTTTCTGATGTTTTGTTGAACAATATATATTCTGGAAATAAACTTTCAGGACCTCTCGTTTTCTAGGTGGCAAAGTCCAATTTGCAGGCAGAGGGATTAAATTCTTCTTTGGAAGAGCTCCAACACAAGATTGAAGCTTGTAGAGATCCCCAAGGAGATAAGACAGTGAGTGTCCTCTAGGTTCTATATACGAGCACTCAATATGCATCATACTAGAATCATAAACTTGAAATAAACTTATCTCTGGGTACAGGATTCCTCCAGCACACATGAAGCTGGTGTGTCTCTGAGCTCCTAGGCCCTGCTTTACTCAGCAGAATGGAAGGAAAGAAGAAAAAAGAATGCAGGCACCTCACCACCCTCTTAGCCGCAGGGAAGCATTTGGAGTCCAGTGATGTGTGTGGGGGGGTGTCTATGTACAGCTTGCAGGTCCTTTTCCCCCTGTGATGTCACCAAGCATCCCCTGCTGGACTAAGAACGCTGCCCTAGATGAATGGCAGGAGCAAGGCTCTGCCTTCCCAACGGCCACTTGGTATTTGATTTTTCATTTTCTTTCTTTGATCGCAGAACATAAACTGCTTTTGTGTGTCTAAGCCATGAAAAGTCAGAATTGGAGAAGTTTCACAGCAATGTGGTTCTAAATGACCCCCGGTCCCTGATCAGCAGACTGGGCCTCTTAGTGGGCCTCCCAACTTATTCTCCTGCCATGAGGGCACATTTCTGTCCCTCCTGCTCCAGATGTGGCCTGGGTTTCCTTTTGAAGCTCAGCCAGGTATCTCCAAAGCCGGAAGCCCCAGCCCAAGGTCCAGATTGGGAGGCTTCTTGCCCTCTCTGTTTCACCTTTTCTGTCCATCTTAGCAGCTAGAGAGTTTCACTTCCACTGTTGTTAGCACTGAGGAGGCATTTACTTTTCTTTCTTTATTGCTGATTCTTATACAGAATTAACATGATTCTTAAGAAAAGTGTAAGCATCCACAAAACATAGAGAACAGAATAAATCCCCCCCCCGTTCTCCTTTTCTATAGAGACACCCCCAAACCTGTCGTGCACCTTCCAGCACATTTCTGTGCACTTCCACATGGATGTGCAGAGGAAAGGTGGTTCTTATAGTTTGCCAATATTTACCTGGTCTCCTTTATAAGCCCACACACTGAAGACTAGATAAAACCAGTTAACCCACTGTGACCTTTCAACAGGCTCTTTAGAGCAAGCTCTCCCTCTCTGGAACGGAGCTGTTAGCTTTCTCACATTCCCTCCCCTTCCAAACCTGATCTGTCCTCCCCACAACGTGTTGAGTGGATTCCAGGGGCTTTCCCAGCCTCCTGGGCAAGCAGAGACAGTGTGAGCTCGGGTGTGCGAGTCGTTCCTATGTGGCTGCGCGAGACTGGTTTCTGGTCTGCAGGACAGTGGTTAGGAGACAGTAGCAATGCCTTGGATGTGTGGTGAGGGTGATGATGGTCAAGGCTGTGTCTCTGTGCCCCGTGAAGTCCTAGTCCAAGGAGACATGGCCCATTGATGTGGTATCTACACAGTCCCACACATCCTCGCCACATGCACTGAATGTTTCCTTCTAAACATACAATAATGGAGCTGCAGGAGAGCCTAGGAAGCATTCCATGTTCCTATCTTACAAGGAGACTGAGTTAAGCAAGTTTATGTCACTTTATCAGAATTGAACCCGCAGAACTAGGACCAGAATTTACCATGCCCTGGTCAGTGAAGGATCCCCAGCCCTAGTGCAGCTACCAGGGAGAGCCAGCCCAGTATTTCCCTCTCTTTCGGCATCCTCCTGCACCCGTGAGACATCCTCAGCAGACCAGGCCCTGTTCTACAGTTCCAGTGGAACCTATTTGCCCTCCACAGGCTACTTCTTAGGGCTTTCTTCCTGCATGCTTCCACTAGGTGGTGACCACAGAAGACCTGCTGGGCTGTGTCAGAACTTGGAAACAGGAACTGAACCAAAGGATTAAGTACCTCAACTGCAGCCTGGACACAGAGCCTGTGACTCACGAAATCTTTAGGGTAAGGAATGGGGTAGGACAAGGATAAGTGTGGGCAAGCTGTTGTCTGAGATTCCGGAGACCCACTGGCCTCAGGACCGCCTGCAGGAAGAGGAGACTCCCAGCCTCTATTGGACATCAGGCCTCCTGAGATGCCATGGTACGATCATGGGAAGCTGTGGAGTCAGATCTGAGCTGAGGTCTCAAGTGATCCACCTCCTTGCACTGGTCTCTTAGAGGGCCTGTCATCTCCTAGCACCACCACCTCATCTCCATCCTGGTCCTCAGCCTGTGCACAAGCTCCCAGGCCAGATCCTGCCCCAGTTAACCCCTGGCCTCCCCACCTGTACCCACAGATGGCCACCAGCCTTTCCCACACACCTCACCATTTCTTCCAAGTCCCTGTCTCTTGCCCATCTGGCTGCCTACGTCCTCTCCTGTTCCTTGTTGTCCACTCCCTGGAGCTGCAACTAGGCCAAGCATTGGAAAACACAAATGACTGCATCATTTCTTTGCCCTCACGATCAAGTTCAACGCCTTCAACCCAACACACAACAGCAGCTTCTGTGGGCTTTGTCAGTGGCCCTTTGAGCTCTGATCTCCAGGTTAGACTTCACTTCTGCTAAGCCTTCTCTTACCCCATGCTCTGTGTGTGGATCTCCCAGCCCCAGAGCACCCGCCACTTCCTCATGAAGCCCACAGCCCACACAGTGAAGTCTCCCCTTAAAGTTTTATCCACCTCTAGCCTGTGTGCCCTTGCAAGGGCACAGCCCGTGTTGCTTTTGCACCTGCCCAGCCCTCACACTGGGCTGTGCCCACATGACATGTTCAGCCACTCCCAGCGAGGGCCTGAGAGCTGGCTGATGCAGGGATGGGTTGCTGCCATATGTGCTGTCCATGGCCAGCTCTGGATTCCCCCCGTTCTGCAGGGAGGCTTCACCAAGCAGCCCGTGCTAGCCACCCATCTGCCCCTGGTACTGCACCCCGAGAGACAAAGGCTTCCATAGTCCTGTCTAAGAGCTTCCTGCAAGGGACTGGCAAGAGACAAGGCTCAGAATAAAATAGGGTTCAGCTGAACTTAGTGGCCCCCGTGGGCACACCTTGTCTAAGTTCTGTCAGTCACTCACTTAGCCTTCACCCATCACCCATTTAGCCAGAAACACCATGTGAGCACCTCTGAAGCAAGCCAGCCCTGCAGGTCTCACTTCAATCTCACAGAAGATGCTAGAACTTTTCCCTCATAACACTGTCTCAATTTTGACCAAGCATTTATTTGTGTAAATGTGCATGTCTTGGTTAGTTTTGTCTCATGGCTGAGATAAAATACCTGATACCCAAAGTTATGGAATAAAAGATTTATTTAGCTCCCAGTTTATGGAAATTTCAGTCCATAAACAACTGTCCCCAAGGCGGGCTGGCATAGCAGAGGGACAACAGTCCGTGGTGGTGGAAGACAGCAAAAGCAACAAAAGCAGAAAGGGAGCTCAGAGTGAGGCGCTTTTTCCTCCCTTATACTGTGTGCAGACTTCCTTCCCTAGGGCGGCTGTGGCGCCCCCAGATCCCACCATCTCTGTGCCCTCCTCTTGCACAAGCTCAGGAAGTTTACAAAATGAGGACCCTGTTCCCCTTCGGAGTCACCTAGTTAAACTTATAGACTTCTCAAGTTGACACAATGAATTAAGCGTTACAACATCGTACACTATAAATAGCCACCCTCTTTCTAGCCCGCAGATTTGTCTTATGTACTGCAGGCTGTAGAACCTTTATTCAGTTAGCTTTGAAACTCCCAAATTGACACACTGTATCAACCATCACAGTACATAAATGTCTCTTCTGTGTGGGTTGTAAGGAGACAAGGACCTCATGTGGCCTTTCCACCTCTGTGTCTCTTGAGAACAGATAGACGCTTGTGGAGAGCACACACTCAGGAGAGGCATGAATGTTTCTAAAGACATGAATGAGTGAATGTACTCACCAAGAGAGAAAAGAGCCCTGCCATTTCTTTTTATAGCAGAGCAAACAGGAGCTCCAAGATGCCGGGCTGCGTACTAGTGTCCACTTCCTGGATAGGGTAACAGTGGAGCGTTAACCACTGCCAGCCTGCCGCTTTCCTGGCACCAGGTCCCACATACTCGGCCCTTCTCTCTGACCCACAGGACGCTACCCTGAGTAACCTGGAGATACAGAGTGACAATCAGATGTCTTCAGCGACCCTTGAGGAGGAGACCAAGACAGACCTCATCAACCCTGAGTCCTTTGCCCAGCCAAGCCGCATGGGGAAGCTGATGATTGACGATCCTGCCGTGGAGGTGGTCAAGATGATCCTGCAGTGAGTGCCTTCAGAGGCTGGGTTTGGGATCCTGCATGCCTGGTCTCCAGGCGAGCCCAATCTGAGAACCTGGGACTCTGGGCAAGGGCTACTCCTCTCAGAACCTTGGTTCTCCATTTCAATGTCTGAGCTCATGACAGGACCTATACAGGTGGTAGTGAGGACTGCTGCTTGGGCCAGCCTGACCTGTCCTGGTGGTCACTTTTGGGGACTGTGGGAAATCTCATGCCTTTTTCTTTTGTTTTAGATTTCCCAACACAAGATCGCCTCACCAGTGTGACAAAGACCGGACAGGTAGAGGCAGGCAGACTTGTGGGTTTTGGAGTAGCCGGTGGTGGGGAAGCTGGTAGCAACTGTGGCCCATCCTTACCTCCTGTCCTCTGATCTCATCCTGGGCACTCATCATTCAAGCCTTAAAGCGACAACGCTGCCGGGCAGAAAGCACTGTAAAGAAGATCCTGCCTAGCCCCAGTTCAACCTCAGCAGCAAGGTAGAAATCTGTGCCCCCAGACCAAGGCTAAAGATGACTCTGACCTCAGAATGCCCCATCTGTGCTTGTGCTCTGGGACTCCTTTAGCATCCAGTGCCAGAGGGACTGATCTGATGATGGCTTTTGTCCTGATTGAGTTCATGTTGGGGAGGGATGTAACCCCTCCACATCTCCTACCTGGGGTAGCGTCTGAGAACCAGGTGGTTGTCTGTGACAGGGCAGGTGGAGCCTAGTCCTGCCACCAATGGATGCTCGTGGTCAGGAAAGGGGACAACTGGCATCACAGAGCTGATGTTCTTGGAGCAGTGCCACAGAGGTACGGGAGTACTGGGCTTTAGTGCCCTACTCATTTGCTCTGTCCACTGAGCCTTGTATGAGTCATTAGATTGGAGGCTCTGGTCTCATACAAAGGCTTTCTGGAAATTGAATAATAGAAGTCATATGGTTACAGCCTCCTGTATCTTTTTTTTTTTTATTTTATTTAAGGAGAAAAGAAAAAAAAAGCAGGGAAAGGGTACAAGTTATACAGATTTACAGAAAAAAAATGAACAGTAGGAAATCACTAGTTAATGGATTACATATTGTCATCTTAGAAATAATTGTTCAAGTCACAAAATTAAAGCTTGTAAAGTGGACATTCCATCAATGATACTGCAAACAGTTCTGTTCATTGATCCAATAAAACTCTGTGATATCATTTTCTATCTTATACACTTAAATATACATGCAGTTATATAGTTTAGAGTACTTTCTTTTCCTCTCTTTTGTACCATGACTATTACACATTTTGGGTTTCATTGCTCCCACGGTTCTTATTACTTTTTTGGAAGAGAGTAAAACCAAATGTGACATAACAGAACAGAATCGGTCAAGTCAAAAGGGTGGACATAATAGATAATGTAAAAACATAATACAGGTGATCAACAATGGTTACCATAATGTCTCCCGCTATCTCTAATAGAATTGCCTATATCATTAGTTATAATACAATTGAACAAAACAGTAAAGAATAAAACCGACAAAACCAAAACATTGGAGACATTGTAGGTCTTCAAAAGTAGCTAAAAGTCAACAAGAATGGGCGTCATAATGAATCTCATTATCTTCACAGCTGATGCCTAAACTTTCGAACCTGATACTATCCAGCAAAACAGAATAGGGGAACATCAGTTAAAAACCAGATGGTGAGAGTAATACAGGGCTTTAAATCAAGGTAATGAAAAGTCAAAATGGGTTACTATAATATATCCTGCTATTTTTTTCCTTTAATTAAAAGGATAAAGATAAAAAAGTAAATAATGGAGTGGAGATTGAGATAAAAGAGGGCATAACAACGAAACAGCGCAGATCAAAACATAACCATTTAAGCAGAATAGTGTTTCACCACCAGATAATCCTAACCTAAAAGTAGTTACCATATTGTTTCTTTCTTTGAAATCCTTGAGTACAACTTCGTATACTGTAGCATTAAGTATATCAAAACAATGTAAAACCATTCAAGAGAATGACAGCATTACAGAGTATTTAGAATCGACTAACAGAAAATGAACAATGGTTTCTGTATAATCTCCTTGTCTTTAAAAGGTTTTTGCTTATACTATCGTACATAATAAAATCCAATAAGATACAGCCTATTTAGACCATTGGAGACAGAAGGACAAAAGCTAGATGAGACTTCAAAACAAGATGATACTAAATCAGTATTACCTATTAAGATGTCATTTTCTCCAAAATAGCTGTTCCTATCATCCAATCTTCTCTGCCTCATTTCTGTTAAGCTCTTTTTCTGCCAGTAGCTGTCAGTTTGTCTTCTTCATTTTGTTCTCTGCTCCATTTGTTGTGGCCTCCCCGCCACTATTTCTGGGTTCTTTGTATTTTTCTTTTTTTAGAATATCCTGCAATACTTTCTGTAGAGTTGAATTGGTGGTTGCAAATTCCCCCAGTTCCTCTTTATCCTGGAAGCACCTTGTTTTTCCATCAATTTCCAGGGACAGTTGTGCAGGATATCTCAATCTTGGCTAGAGATTATTATCTTTCAAAGCTTGAATTATTTCCCCCCACGCTCTTCGTGATTTGATGGTTTGTGCAGAGAAATCTGCTGTAATTCTGATGGGTGTTCCCTTGTAAGTGGTCTGTTTCTTGTCTCTTACAGCTTTTAATATTCTGTTCTTGTATTGAATTTCTGGAATTTTTATTATTATATGCCTGGGTGTTGCTCTGTTTGGGTTGTAGGTAGCTGGGGTCCTGTATGCCTCATACATCTGAGTATCTTTACCTTTTGCTAAATTAGGAAAATTCTCCTGGATTATTTCTGTGAGTAGCTTTTGTAGTTCACTTGTTTGCATCCCTACTTCTTCTTTTATGTTCTTAATCCTTAAGTTATGGATCCTCTTATCATCTTCTTGTCTTTGTATTATTGCTGTTTGTTTCTTTGTTATTTTTAAGAAGTTTTTCATTTCATTCTCCCATATTACAAGTCTGCCCTCCAGTTCAGATAGTCTGTCCTTAGTTTCTTTCAAGCTGTTATGCCAGTCTTCGATAGACTTCTTAGTATCTTGGTAGTCCCTTTGAACCTGCTTCACGTATTCTATGCTTTCTCTGTTTTCTCCATCAAACAATTCTCCCCTTTTTTTCTGTTCTTCCATTCCATCACCTGTTTTTTCTTGGGTGGTGCTTAGCATTTCTCTAACTATTCTGCATACTTCTAGCTTCAGGTCGTTGATAACTTCATTCCTGAATTGGTCTATGAGGCTCTCTATATGGTGCCTTATGTGTATTGGTGCGGTGTCTGCTATTGCCTGTTTCTCAGAATTGGGGGCCGAGGAGACTTTCTTGTTGCTGCCTCTTCCCATGCTGCCTCTTCTTCTCTGTTCCTTATATATGCAAGCTTATATAAGAGGCCCAGCTTCTCTCCCAGTCAGCCACAGCCTGATCGAATTGCGCCAGTTAGGTGTTCCCGCTCACCGCTGCGCACCAGGGAGTTACGGACCAGGCAGCCTACGCGTCTCCCCTCCCGGCCACCGTCAGGCTCTGGGATCTGGGTTGGGACAGTCTACCAGGTCCGCCGGCAGCGTCACGCAGGCCAGGCACTTTTCACCAATCCCGCCCGAGAGGGGGATGTGTGACTGGAGTCGCCACCGCACCCTGCTCCCGCAGGACTGCTCGGGCCCAGAAAGTCCTCTGCTGGAGTCAAACTGTGGTAGAGTGTCAGTTTCTCTCACTCACCTCACCACAAGTCAGTGCACGCCTCCCTGCCGTTCGCAGATTGCCGTTCTCAGAGCTTCTGCACGTCTCTCCCCTTGCCGAGCCGCTGTAGAGGCAGCCAGCCGCCGCGCGGCGGGAAACCCAAATCGCGGCTTACAATGGCGCGGTTCCAGCCTCCACACCGAGTCTTTTCTGTTCCTGTTTTAGCACCAGGACTGCATTCCAAGTTGGCTTCTCTCAGCCCAGTTCGTTCCTGAGTCAGCAGAGCATATCTCCACCTGCTTATGTCTCCTTAGTCCGCACCATTACTGGCTTCTGAGCGGAGTCTTTCAGAGAGCCGCCGGTAGTTGCTGTTATCTGTCCGCCATGTTCTCCCGGAAGAGTCAAATGGCAACTTAATTGTGTGTACTGAGCAATTGGCTAGATCTTACATCTTTGACATCCTCCATAATATATTAAAAGATCACTGTGTGTCTTTCCGGTCTGTAAGAGTCCTTCCATGAAGCCTGTAGGCCGTAGAAGTCTCAGTAAGCAGTCTAGCCGGGACAGAAAACTTTTTTTTTTTTTTTGGTCTTTTTCATTTTTATCGGTACTGGGGATCGAACTCACGACCGCCTGCTTGCAAGGCAGGTGCTTATGCCGCTGAGCTAAACCTCCAGCCCCCTCCTGTATCTTTTATAAGTCCTGGTTGATTTGTCTTAATACCTGCTTTTGAGAAACCAAAGGGAAAACCTTCCCTCCCTTTACCTGCTGAAGCTGTTTTTGAACCTGAGTGTTATGTGCAATGTCAAGAGAACAAAAACCAACCAAATGAGTGAAGCAGGGACTACTAACTACGGGAGACAGTCACCACCACCAAAGTGGGAGTGGGCTACCGCCTTGGTGGATTCAAGGCAGACAGCGGAGCAGGAAACTTGCAGTGGGAGAGGGGAGCTGGTGGGAGCCAGCCGTACAAAAGTGGGGTGTCCTGTGGAGCTGGTTAAGGTGCACATCTGGTTTACTCTGATTGACCCTAAGTTAGAAATAGTAACAAATACTAGGGAAATTGTCTCAGGTCCTGGCAAGTATTATGGTGGATACTGGTCACCTTCCAGGCCTGTCCCTAGCGATAGCAATCTGACTTCCTGTATGTGAGCCCAGCTCCCAGCAGGCTGGCTTCGGGATGCTTATCAGAGCCAGGGGCCCAGAGTCCTGGGCGAACATAGCAAGGGAGCTATGGAGTGCTGAATGCAGTGATGAACCAGACTTCTGTTTGTTCGTTTCTGTATTTAACCTCTAGCTGACTGTCATGATCCATGTCAGTAGGGCTGCCGCAGGCACCGAACTCAATTTACATCAAACCATAACAATTTCTGAGTATGAGCACTACTGTAGCTATTACTGAATTTTTAGTTATATTTAAACCTGAATTTCATGAATAATGAGCAAATTCTAAAAATCTCTCATTACTCATGAAATTCAGGTTTAAATGGCATACCACATCTGTATTTTCTAACCCCGGTGATACTACCTGTGGCTCGACCTCCTTTTCTTTCCTCACCACAGCAAAGGGAGGGTGCGCATCCCTGGGCCTGAACCCCTCTGTCTTTGCTCTTTCCCGGTGGCCTTAGTGGGACATTAACAGCAAAGGCTTCCCCCCAAGGTGAGGTTGTCTTCAGGGCTACTGAGGAGGAGGAAGCACCCTCCGCCCTTCTAGGCGGTGCTCCTGCAGGCACAGGCTTGCGTTTCCTCTGTTCCCAGTCGGCCAAGCACTAAAGCATCTTTGTCCTGCAGTGTCACACGGCATCCCAAACTCACCAAAATGGAAAGAAGGTACCAGCTTCTTGGGGAAAAGCCTCCTCCTCCGGCTGAGTAAGTGGTGGCAGAGGTCCTTTTAGGTGCATTGTTTCAGCATGGGGTGGGGGGCTGACTCTGCTGAGAGGAACAGCAAGAATGGGAAAGGGGGTGTGGGGGCCAATACAGGAAAGGGAAGAGAGGGGACAGGTAAGGGTCAAGGTCACTTTGTCTTGTCTTGTCTTAGCCCATTCCATCTAAGTTTATTGAGAGATACTTTCTCCAAAATTTCATATTTTTGTGGCATTTCATTGGTGGCAGGGTAGCAGACACTCCTGAAGTCTCGGGGTTTTGGTAGCTTTTTCGATGCTCCCCTTTTCACCCTCAATTTTCTTTATTGTCATTTTTCAATAATGAAAACAAATCCCAGTCTGCTTGGTATGGCTTCATTTCAAGCAAACTAGCAAAATGTCAAGTTCAGAAAATTAAAAGCCTCGGAGAAAGTCGAGCACTGTGGAGCACCCATTCTGCCTAACCAGGACCCTGCACAGAGCACCTCTTTGTGTCAGCCCGTTGGCCTACTGGAGCTGGGAACCGTGCATGCCCTTCTGGTGCACAGCTGCCCCACCAGGCACCCCAGGGGTCACCTGCCTGCAAGTCCTCAGTTACACCCCCCCTTCAGCCCACACACCAGACACTCTGCTCCATGAGACCTTGACTCTCTATTTCTGTAGTTCCATGTCATTTTAGCATGTGTAGACAGAGGACATTACTACCACAGTCAAGATACAGAACTGTTCCATTCCCGCAAAGACCTCACTCTTGCTACCCATTTACACGCCACTCCCAACTCTATGCAGCCAGGAACCCTCTTTCCATCCTGATAATTTTGTCACTTGGAGAACATCATACAAATGGACGCATGGATCATTGGACCTTTATTCAGAGTGGCTTTTGTGCTCAGCATAGTCATCTTGAGACCTGTTTTAGTCCCTCTGTGCTACTATAACTGAGTACTTGAGACTGGATACTTTGCAAAGAAGAAAGGTTTACTTTACTATGCTGGAGACTGGGAAGTATAAGGTCAAAGCACCAGCATCTGCATCTCCTGGGGACCTTCCGGATGCATCATCCCACGAGAAGTGAAATGTCACAGAGCAGAGTAGGAGAGAAAGGAGAGGGTAATGGGCATAAGGACGAGAGAAAGAAAGAAGACTGAATGCATCCTTTTATCAGAAGCCCACTCGTATTAAAGGTCTACCTCTCAATACTTTGCATGGAGGATTAAATTTCTAATATATGAACTTTGGAGGACACATTCCAACCATAACAAGATCCATCTAAATTGTCACATGAATCAATAGTGCATCCCGTTGTATGACCAAATAGATTTCATAATAGAAATATACCAGTTTTTTAGAGATTTTTTAAAAAATCATCAGGATAAATAAAAATAAAATTAATTGAGCATTTATTAAATCCTCTGAAAAAGAAAAGGCTATCTTGACATAATATAGTGGTTAACTTCTCAGAAAAGAGAATCAGACTAATGCTATTTTGTGTCACCACATTGGGATCCTAGGCAAAGGACTTCTCCCCAAGCCTCAATCTTTCCATCTGTACAATGAGTAGGAGAGAACCTTCCTCTTATAGCTGTAGAAAAGAACTCAATTTGGACTCCCTTCAGTAACACAAGACAGTCCCATTGGGAAGCAGTAGAAATCTTGAAATATGGTAAATTTGTAAAGAAAAAAGGCAAATAAATACATTAGCCTTTCCCCTGCCCTCGGGCTACTTGCTAAAGAAACCTTAAAAACTCAGTAGGGGGAAGGAGAGGTTTCAATAGACCGTGAACAAAGGAGGAAACACAAGTGGAGAGAAACAGTCAACTTCAGAGAAATACAACGAGATGCAAGAGGAGCAACAGGTCCACCCCATTCTTCACCTGAGAGTAAGCAATACAAATAGATTTTTGTGGCAACTTCCAGTTTGAGGTGGAGGTTGGAGATGGTCCCTCCCTTTCACTGAGAGTTGAACATGCCTTTCCAGACAGCAATTTGGCAAAATATGGTGAAAGCCCTAGTCTTAGTTGGTTTTCTTGTTGAGACAAACCCAAAGTTAGAAGAGGAGAGGTTTATTTTGGCAACAATTGGCTGCTCCAGGGCAGGGCAGCCTGCAGAGGGGCATCTCGGGGGACAAACAGCTCGTGGCCAGCAGAAGGCAGCAAAGTAGCAAAAAAGCCACAGCACCCTGCCCTTCCCTTTCATCCTGTCCAGGCTACCTGTGCTTGGGCGCTGCCATCCACACCCAGGCGGGCTTCCCCTTATCCGCACCCAGGGTTAAGCCCATCAGTGGACTACTTTAGTAATCACGGGCACTTAAACCCAGCATCACACATTTAACCCCAGTATCTCCCATCCTAGATCCAGCCACCTCTGAAGTCTCCACAGAAGGCTTTGGGGGGACATCTAGACATAAGCCATAACATCCTAAAATTATGCCTTTTTGCAGCTCTTCAGGTATTTATCCCGAGGAGGTCATCCCACTGTGAGGAAAAGCTTCTTGCACAAATATTTTTTATGCCAATTGAAAATGGGAAAAACCCTAAAAGTCCAAAAGTAGAGCATAGTGGATTGTGGTACATGTGTACTTGATGGTACTCCACAGCGGTTTAAGAAAATACCACAATATGGCAGATATCTACAGCTTAATATAAACAGAGCATGATGTGAAATCACACACACCTAATTATGGCTGATTTTATTTATAAAATTAGCAGAAAGACATACATTAAAACGTTGGTGTTAACTTTCCCTGGTTTTTCAATGTATTCTTAATTTTCTGTAAGTATGATAAATGAATTTTAAAATGAAATATCAGTGATCTGTACACATACAGTGTAGAAAGTGGCAAACATAATGTATGTATAGAGCAGTCATTGTGACACTTTATACAGATAGTGAAATATTATGTGCCCTGATGCTACATGCAGTTTGAACAATCTGTACTTTATCTTATTCTTGGTTTTAAAAAGTTTGACTTAACTGGGCAGGAATAGCCAATGAGTGCAGAAATTCGCTCACACATCCCTGGGGTGTGTACCATGGGTCTCCGGGCCAGGGCTAGCAGGAGGGTGCTTACTTCTACAGGAAGTCCTGTTCACTTGATCACTGTGTGTAAACAATCGTTCTTTCCTCTTTCAACCAATGCTGAAGCACTGATAGGTATAGGCCCTGCAGTTGGCTGGAGATTGCATGGTGAGCAAAAACAGACACATGAAGTCCATATCCAGAGTTAAAAAATGAACTCAGACAAAGTAAAGTAAAGTATTCACAGGTTTGTTTGAGCAGATGGCAGTTCTTGAAAGGGCCCGTGTCAGATGGTAAGAGGGTTAGGCCTCCACCATGGAATACAGTACCAGGAAAAAGACTTTGACAAGACAAAGAACAACTTGGGCTAGCTAAAGTGGAAAGCTAGGGGTTAGTCAGCTATTTCTGATCCTTTAAGCTTAAATTCTGTTTTCCTAGCCCTTACCTTTCAGTCTGAGGTTGCTTCCTTTTCGTTATGTAAGAACTCCAGGTAATAGAGCTCTTCCAGCCTAATGACCTCCCAATTCATAGTTTGAACACCCAGTGGAGTTTACAATCATCAGAAAGCAATGAATGATGATCATGATTAGAACATGAATCCCAAATCTGTGTGATTACATGGCTATGGGCTGGGGGAAATTCTAAAAACATTAGGCAATTGAGAATTAGCACTGGGCTGGGATCCAGGCACAACCAAGAAGGAAGTTTCAGCTTGTTTTTGGAGAGAAGTCAGTGGTACAGACCTGGGGTGGTAATAAGTAGTTATAAAGGATGAGGGGGCCAAACAGAGTACTTAGGATGTTCTGTGTGTCCCTGGTAGCATGTTTGGACAAGGCCCACCAGGATCTGCTTCCCGTGTGTTGCAGGGACTTTAAAGGGATCATCCTGGGTTTCCTATGGGAAAGCAATGTGCACCTGCTCTCTGTTGCAGAGGTAAGAGCCACTGCCCGTTGACCTGAACCCCCTGGGAATACATCCTAGCTGCCTCTGCCTTCTGCAGTCTGTTGGTCATGGCTACTTGGGAGTAAATGACAAGAAATGATTCCACCTTCTTAATGATTTTCCTAGCTTCCTTTAGCTTCTGTGTTTTTTCTCTTCCTAGAAACCTAACTTCATTCATTCAGCATTTAATTGTGTATTTAGGCAGTCTCCAAACATATCTTGGGCACCATTTGCATATCAAGTCCTAGACATGCCAAAAGGATTAAACTTGGCCTCTATCCCCAAGGTGCCCAGAACCCAACAGGGCATCAGTGGGGTAGGGGCACAGGGAGACAGCAGAGTCTGTGGGAATGACCCCTGGCCAGCACATGCTTCAGCACATCATACACAATACTGGTGCCTCTTTTTGCTAACTTCCACAGAGCTGGGCACCCTTGCCCATCTTTTTGGCCCATGGTCTGTGCCTGGCATGCTGCTTCCTAGTAGGCTCCCAACCTGGTCACAGTTTGAGGTTCCTTTGATACAGATCTTGAAGGATAAATAGGATTTGTCATTTATTCACTCACTTAACAAGTAGCAAAGACTGACTTTGGCCCCGAGTCATATTAAGTGGCCTTGTTTTGGAGACAGGAGATGGCAAGGTCGGAGGGGAAACATGAGCAAAGACTAGAAGGCATGGAGGTGAGGGTGGGTGGGTGGAGCTCAAGCCGAGGGTCGGAGGATCTCACCCCAGCACCGCTGGTCACTCCTCTGTTACAGGATTTTTACCGCAAAGAGAAACACCCAGTCACCAGGCCTGACTGCATGTATGAGACTTTGGACCAGTGTGCGGATCACATCATTAAGAAGATCCTGGAGTACCAGAGCCAGACAGATGAGTACCACAACTCCTGCCTCATGGGTACGTGTGTTTGGCAGCTGGCAGGTGGGACCCGGGGGGCACAAACCCAGAGATGGTGTTTGCCCTTGACCCCTTGCCAGTTGAGGTCACTGGGAGACACAGGAGCCTTCTCGTGAAAAGATGATCTCTTCGAATTAGATAAAAGTAATGGTTAGAGTTAACTGGAGAAAAACAATGCAAAAAAGAAAAGTTTGTTTTCTTTAAGAAATGTGGTGATTTGGATCACTGAAAACCCTACATTTGCTCCATAGTTATTTTTTACAGTTCTGCTGAACTGTTTTCTTGTCTTACAATTCATCAGTATAATGAACAATTCAGAGCTTTTTAGTCTATTTACAGGGCTGTCATCATCACCACTGTCAGTTTAAAAACCTTTGTCACCTCAGTGCCTCCCAGCCCGGCCTGCCAATAATCCACTTCATGTCTATAATTCTCCTCTTTCTGTACTGTTGGAGAATGGACTCACTTAGGCATTTGCAACTGGCTCCTTAAATTTTGCACAATTTTTTTTCAAAGAGGAAAAGCTTATTATGGCTTATGATTTTAGGGGTTTCAATCACTTGCTTTTAGACCTGTAGTGAGGCAAACATCAAAGTGGGAGCAACTGGCAGACAAAGCTGCTCATCTCATGGTAACTAAGAAACAAAGAGAAAGATAAGAAGGGCCAGAGACCAAGATCCTGTTTGAGATCACAGACCAGTGACTGATTTCCGTCCACCAGGCCTCACCTCTCAAAGGTTCCACCACTTCCTGGCAGTGCCACAAGCTACAGGCCAGGCCTTCACTTCATGGACCTTTGGGGGACACTTACCCAAACCAGAACGAGTGTCCTTTCAAAGCGTTTCTTTGTCTTTTCTATTGATTTTACTTAAGGTGTAAACATAAGTGTTTCGTTCAAGTTCTACTCAGGGACAGTAAAACCAGGTAACAAAGTCCTATTAAACAAATGTAACTCTACAAGTTACACCCATAGAGTAGTTTGCTAAGAAGTGTCTTTTATTTTGTATTAGCACATTAATTGTACAAGATAATGGGTTTATTGTGACATTTTTCAGACACTGCCTCGTGCTTTCAGGTTTGTGTGCGCTGTAGACTATGTCAGCTCTTCCTTCCTATATAGTACGAAGTGGTGCTGACCTTGCTGTGCTGTGCTCTGAGGCAGCCTGGGGAAAAGGAGGGGAGAATTGAGGGAAATCAGGCCTGGGGCCAAAAGTATGACCTTGCCTGTGATCTCACTTCCCCGAGGCTCAGCTTCCTCCTCTCTAAGGGGGAGACAGTAACAACACCCACCACGGAACACCTGTATGAAGACTGACCCCTGCGTGGATTTGCATGCGCAGGAAATGAATGACCAACAGTGGCTCTTATGACTGTGGTTACAGAATGACTGGAATTGAAACTATGGTGATCTCTATAGCTTAAAATTTCCCCAAGTGAGCTCTGAGTGACCCTAACCTACATGAATATCCTCAATACAAGGATCCCACGGTCAGATGGGTTTGGGAAATGCTGCAGAGGAGATCTCTCTCCGGCGGACTGATCATTCTCCACAAGGGAAGCCTGCATCTCTTTAATTTGGCAGGCTGGTATCCTCATTACTGACAATATGTAAAATGCTGGAAAAATATTTGGGGGATAATGTTTTTTAAATGCATGGATGAACTAGTTTTAAAATAAAAAACACACAAAGCCAAAACCTGAGTGAAAATAGGACTGCTAGATGATAAATTGGTTACTGCCCTAAATGCATTTACTATTTCTACCCAAGGTGGAAAGTTCACATAAAGTTGGAACTCATAGAACTCCACCCTGAGTAAAATGAAGGAGATAAAAACCAAGCTCTTCTTTTTAATGAGAAAACTATATTAAAAATAAAAATAAAAAGTAAAAAAAAAAAAAACAATCAACAGGTGTGGTGGCACACGCCTATAATCCCAGCACTCAGGAGGCTGAGGCAGGAGGATTGTTGTGAATTCGAGACCAGCCTGGGCTACAAAGTGAGCTCAAAGCCAGTCTGAACTGCAGAATGAGACCCTGTCTCAAAAAGACAGGTAAACAAATAAATCAATCTTGGTACTAGGTAAATGGTGGGGGTTCCAGTGGAAATCCAGAGCTATAAGTCATGTTTATGTTATTGCTGAACTGAATTCACATTTATTTAAATATGAATTCAACTTTGTTCTTGAGGATCATCCAAACGATCTTAGAGACTCATACTTTAGTTTACAATGATCTTGAGTAGATGGCATCTAAAACTTGCTGTTAGAGACTCCCTAAATTTTTCTCTAGAAAACCTACCTTAAAAGTAGACCTCAGAGTATTCCCACAAATAAAAATTCTTGAAATCAGAATTCACCATAATGAACAAACAATAACAAAACCCATGCAAACACAAGGAAACAAAATAAGCAAAAGACACAGATGTTGAAATTATCAAACACAATATAAAATAGTGAATGTACTTGTTATAATAGTTAAATAAAAAAGGAAATTGGAAGTGTAAGGAACAAGAAATTATTAAAATGACAAAGTAGATACAAAAGAGAATCAAATGGAACTTTTTAAGAAAGGAAAAATTAAGACTTGAAAATTTAAAGCTAAGATGGCTTTACTACCAAATTATCCACAAAGGAAGGTGATTTTGTTGAACTGGCAGATTAAATCCAAAGAAAATATGCAGACTGCAACACAGAAAGATAAAGAGGTGAAAATATGGGAAAGAAGTAAAAAAGATGTGAATGAAAGAATAGTCTATCAGAGATATAGAAGGGGAGAGATCAAGGCCACATTTGACGAGATGATAGAGGCATAGAGTGTAGAGAGGAGAAACCCCCAGAACTTGCAAACCAATCTTTTCCATATTGGTTGGACTATATTTTCTACACTGGTTTGATGGAATCCCTATCACTCAGTGGGAGATCAAAGTTTTCCCTTTGGGAAACTGCTAAGGGCCTTTGTTAAAGAGATGAATTAAGCAACTTGGTTTCACTCTGTCTTTTCCTATGGCTCCCAACCTCAATTCCTGCAGAATTACGAGTCCAGATAAAGAAATTTGAGGAGCTGTTGCCCCAGGTGTGTTGGCTGGTGACAGAGAATTTCAAGAAGCAGCATTGGCAAAAGTTTTGCACCATCATGAAAGATATCCGGAAAGAGTTTGAGAAGCAGCAAAAGCAGCTGGAGAGAAGGAAGGTGACGGACCCAGGACCAGCCAGTTCCATTTCAGAACTCAGGGTTGCTGGGGGTTCAGAATGGAGGTAGCTCATGGGCAGCCAAGTTTAAGAGCAGAAGATGAGCTGGGCTTGGGGTTATTGGATGGGGGCTGAGAGACAGAAGATGTTGACGGTGCCAAACTTTTTTGTGTGTGTGCTGGGAATCAAACTCAGGACCTTGTACTTACCCGATAGGCACTGTGCCGCAGAGCTGTATCCCCAACCCCAGATGGCATTCATGAAATAGAACTGAACTAACAACTTCACATAGCAGACATTCCATGAACTCTGTGCTGGGTTCAGTGGGAAGCTATACTGGGTGTGGTGGAGGCAGGGTAATTGCAATCAGCAAGGTTGTTCACACTGGTCCTTGGAATCATGGAACATGATTGATGCTGATTTTATTGGACTACAGCCCCAATGGTGCTGGGGCAGATGCTCAGATTGTCCTTTCTGCAAAGCTCAGAGTTAGCCCTAGCCGTGACTCCATCTTGACCTCTCTGCCACTTATTCTTCTGCCCAGCCGTGACCCCTCACATAACCCCGGTCATAGGACACATTTGTCTGACCATGACCTTGATTGACACAGGGACATTTTGATGCTGACCTCAAGTCTGGGTCAAATCCCTGCTGAATTCCGGATTATTTAATTGAAGGATCAAAATGCCCAGAAGCTCCATCCAAATCTTGGACATCCCCAAAATCTCCAGCAAATGAAGTCTCTCGATGCTTCAGAAAAGACAAGACAAGAAGACCTGAACAATGCAATCAAGATGACCAGGGAAAGGCTAGAGGTCAGTGGTGCTACAGACTCCCCGTCTGGGTACTGAGGGTCACACTGCCCTGCAGAAAGATGGAAAGCCACTGGCAAAGCATGACCATTGGTTGGCACCTGGTCCAAAGCAGAAATGAAAGTGGGTGGGGTTTGTAGGTGAAATGGTGTTTATGTAGGTGAAATTGGGTGTTTTATTTTATATTTCCTGGATTTCTAAATTGTTTTTAAAAATTAGACACTGAAATTTTTTCATGCTCATCTAATTTTATTTCATCTTCAGTAAGGAAATGTCTGTGTGTGTTTGTTGCTCTTTGCTGAATCATTTCTTATGCTAAACCTAAATTAGCTCTTGGGAGAGGCCCTTGACCCTGAGGGCCAGTTGCTGGTTAGCTGAAGCAACTGGCACCATGGCTCTGGGCTCAGCTCACTAGATCCCTGCATCCTTCCTGCAGTGCCAACCGACATCTGGCCTTGGAAGGCAGTTCTCTCCCCAGCTCCACACCTGGCCCTTTCTTCCAGGACTCTGCCAGGAAGTACAGCCACTTTTTCATCACCAGCTTAGCCACCTTCACCGAGAAGCTCCTGCTACAGCTGGATGAAGTGGTGACCGTGGATGACATCCAGGTTGCAAGTAAACACACTAGGCCTGTGCTCTGGTCCCAGGGTGGCAGGAGAGGTTGCCTAGCAGGGGTGAGAGGTACCCACTTTTCTCCAGCTCCACCGGGATAAAAACAGTTTTTCCACTGAGGAGACTGATTGGTTTTGTTTTCATTAAGAATAATTTTTTATTAAAAAGGCAAATGCCTTATGGATCAAAGATACAAGCAAATGAAATCCTAGCAGTAAATATTTTCACATGCATGGTTAGGGCTAACTTTTCTAAGTATGGCATGAGAACCAGAAACCATGAAAAAATGACTGGCGCTTCTCTGAGGCTGAAACAAAAACAGAAAAATGTCAAATATGAAAACAATGAGCCACAACATATTCCTCACAAGGTATGAACCAGTGCAGAGGTTACTCTCTCTGCGGTACAAAGAACTCCCACCAGTCACATTTTTAGAAGGAGACAAAAAGTAAGGGAAACATGTGCTTCAAAAGAGAAGCAGTTTTATGAGCAGTGGTTATAAGATGCTCCATCTCACTGATGATGGAACATGTGAATGTTAATATCAGGGAGATATCATTTCTCATCAATAGACTGCCAAGATTTTAACTTTGGTGGCCATGCCGAGAATATAGGAAATGCCTATGCAGATGCCCCTAAGGGATGCTTAGCAGGTGTCTTGTAGGACTGTATCTTGATAACTACTCTCTTGGAGAATCCTCTGTCAGTTCCCATGAAAATTCTGCATGTGGCCAGCATGCCAGGAATCTCAGTACTATGAGAGAGTGAGGTAGAAAGATCTCAAATTCTCTCCATGCCTAGACAATTTAGTGACTTAGCAGGATCCTGTCTCAAAAGATTAAAAAAAAAAAAAAAAAGAACTGGGGATGTAGCTCAATGTGAAGACCTGGATTTAAGCTTCAGTATCACCACCACTCTCCAAGAAAACACACTCAAAAAAACAAACCTTCCGTGTATGCCTTTGATCTAGCACTTCTAAAAATGTGTTCAGCAGAAATGCTTATACACTCTTCCCAAGATATATGCTCAAGAATATTTGTTGTAGCACTGTTTGAAATGGCAAAGTACTGGAAACAGCACTGATATTCATATCTAAGGGATTGGATACCTAAGAGCTGGTACAGATATATGAGTGGATACTGTGAACTCTCAAAGTGGGAGTGGCAGGCCTGTATGTGCTGATATGGAAGGACATAAGGAAGGATTGTATGCAAAAAGACCAGTGGACAAGGAGAACATGTTTATGATCACATGTTTAAAAATCATGTAGAACACCAACAGGTGTTTAAATGAATCTGTGTGAGAGACAGAGATTGAGAGAGACAAACGGAAGGAGAGAGACAGATCCTGAGGATAGGTACCAAACTGCTGAGGAGGACTCTGCCGGGTGGAGTGGTAGAAGGCTCCTAAAATCACACACGCATACATGCACACACACACACACACACACACACACGCATGCATACATACACACCCCAGTCAGTGGTGTTTAAACTTTTATAATGTGCATATTACTTTTATACATGTAAAATTAAAATCATATACTCAATGTCATTCATTACTAGTGTATAAAGTAATCATCTATTCCACTTTTTAAAGTTTTTATTACAATGACAATAAACATTTGTTGCAGTTAGATAAGAAATTTAGGATGAACCAAGAATCAAGTGAAGAGCATATTCGTCCTGCCAAGAAATCAGTGATCTGGGTCCTCCTTGTCCCCTCCCCACAGGTGCAAGCACAGATCCAGGTGTAGGGCCTGTGGATGTGTGTAACCTGAGCCTCCTCAGGTGGACCTGGGCTGCCATCCCATGAATATTTTCTATTGCTGTGTACTGTGTTTCACTAAGCATCATTATTTACCAGCTCATCTGCTGCTGTGCACTGGAGCCGTTTCAAATTTTTCACTCCTATAATTGCACCAAAGAGAATCCCTGCATCCATGCATCATTATTTTGGGGCAACAAGCCCTTAGCTTGAAGTTTCTGGGTGAAAATGCATACATGCTTTGGAGGTGTTGGCTACTTTCCAGCATCAGGGGTCTCTTTGGGAACGCATGACCAACAGACATGCTGGTGGTTGAGAGTCTGTGAGAACAGACGCCTAAGTTGGCAGCGGAGCCCATTGTGGTGCATGGTAGAACCCTGGCACCAGATACTAGGAAGTCTGCGGGCTCTAATCTCGGACTTCTGAGCCAAGCTGCTTGACTCTACCATCCACAGAAGACAAGGGTGCAGTCAGGAAGGCTCCTGCTTGCAGTGACCCTCGCTTCACAAAAGCATATCCTCTCCTTGTCACAAAAGTATATTCCAGGTTGGGTAAGCAAGCCAGACATTCAGCAAACAAGCATGAATGTGTTTGTTCTAGGGGTGCTGTTATTCAGAAAGCATATGAGCTAAAGAAGATTCTACAGAGTGTATTTGGGGGCTCACATGAGCTGTGGGAAGATCAGAGCATCCAGCTCAGGGATTTGGAGCTGGGAACCACCCAGCACATTCCTCAGACTTCTGCAGTGATCCCCACTACACCACTGCCCAGCCACCTATCTTGTGCACCAGCTTCTCAGTGAAGGGGCTCTGCCTGCCACTGAAAGCCCCCAGTGAGGAGGCTAGAATGACCTCTCCTACCTCTCAATGCTACCAGGGCCACCCCTTGATCTCAGGCTGTGGGTGAGGCCACAGTCAGTAACCCAACTCTCCCTGTCAGGGATGGAACCCTCCAAACAGAAAATGTCAATCCTTGTACGGAAGAGACTGGCCAAGATCTCCCTGGAGGAAGAAAGTGAGAAGCCTCTGACTGACCGTGGGAGCAGGTAAGAGCCCAGAGCAGCAATAAATGGGTGTGTCTGCTGGGCATGGGGCAGGAATCCTTAGGGATTGGGCCTCTCATCTTAAAGAGCCCTGATTACTCTAGAAAGGCCATTTGCTCTGAGCCTCAGTTTCCTCATCTGTGAAGTAGACATGGCAGAACATCTCACAGTATCTAAGGAAGTTAGATGAGAACATCCATGGACACTCCTGTCCTGCACATACTGAGAGCTCAGGAACTATGAGTTTGTATGATAAAGATTCATCCTATGAATCCACAAAGAAAGGGAAGCCTGTCTCAGAAAGAAGCATATTCTCTGGTCACTGTGAACCACTCCAATTGTCTCTCACTTGTGATGAGAACTGTAAAATTACCTGTCCTCTGTGCTCCGAGAATGTGAAAGCAATGACTTGCCCACCTATGTTTCCAGCAGTGACTTTTACAGTATATTAGGGGAAATAGGCTAGTACTGCTGGCTGGCTTGAAGACCAATAGGGAAACAGACCCAGAAAAGTTAAGGCATTCGCTTCCCCACAGAGAACCCAAGACTGCACACATAGCCATTATAACCATATGGAAATACAGAGCAGAACATAAAGAAGTGGAACATGAAGTGCTTAGTTGGACCTTTCTTTTAAGGAGGCTGTTTAAAGCCATGGTAATTGTTGAGCTTTATCAGCAACAGGGGTGGCAGGTAGGTTTTGAACAATGAAGCCAAACGTGTGTTTGTAGGAAGTGGCCAGGAATCAAGCCCACTGAAGTCACCATCCAAAACAAGATTCTTGCTCAGAAGACACACTCAATAATCACCTCCAAGACCACCCTGGGCCACCTGGCTGCAGTAGAGGCCCGAGATGCAGTGTACATGGTAAGACCAGGTGGGATAAGTATAACCCTGGAGCATAGAGTGGCTCAGTGTGGCTGGCTCGGGAAGAAGGAAGCTCTCACACTGAGCACCCTAACACATATCCTATAGAGCAGATGACAAACACGTGTCAGTGCTTCCCAAAGGCACAGGTTTCAACACTGAACTGGTATAGACAGAGATGTGAACCAGGGGTTATGTCTGGTATCAGTACTAACATGGGTCTAAGTTTGAGCCTGCTGCCATGGGAGCCCACCTAAAGGACACCTACCCACAGTGAGCATGAAAAAAACCTTTCCATAAGGACAGTAGAGTGAGCTACGGAATGTGGCAGACAGGCAGGGAGGTGATGGGAGCAGTGGCTTTGCAGTGGGGCCTTGAGAGCAGGAGCACTAACCAGATAGGCGTCTGCTAGTGTCTTCTGTTAACAGGAGATATCTCGCTGAATCCTCAGAGGAAGAGGTAGAATAATGGTCCTCATTTCATTGATAAGGACATCATTGCCTGAAGACACTTGTCCTTCTATGCCACGACAGGGTGGCAGACCCAAGATTTGATTCCGCTGCCTATGAAACCCCAGAAATCTGCCTGACAAGCGAGGCCACGCCCAGATGTGACCTCTCAGTCAAGGGACCTTGTAGCTTGAAAGATACATGGATCTAGGTGTTCCAGGAAAGGTCTTGTCCTACCTGCAGATCTGCTGGTCCTGGGGTTGAGAAAGCCAGACATGCTCAGTGCTGACACTTGCCCAGCTGCCAAGCAGAGAGAGTGACTCTGCTTGCTCACTGAGGTCAACCAGGGCTGGAGGGCAGGGCCTCAGCCTCAGTGGGATGCTAGGATTCCTAAGCTCCAGGAGGCTCCTCTGTAGGACGAAGGTCAGGACAATGCAGACTAAGCCAGAGAGACATTGTCCTAGCCTGTCCAGCCCCTGTCTTCCCAAGTGACCCCAGCCAAGGTTCTGAGCCTCAATCTTCTCATTTATAAAATGAGGGAAATAACAAATGGATTGTTGGGTGGACTCATGGAAACTCTTGCTAGTCCTGCAGTAGGGTTAGACTTCTTGCCAGCTGTAGTGCTCCTGGAGCAGAGCGCAGGAGTCTTTCCACCTGGTCCCTCCTGCTGCCTTTCTTTCTTAGAAGTACTTAGCACTGTTTGAGGAGGAGCTAAAGAAGATCCACAGTGACAACGCAATCCAGGTGAAGCAGGCTCAGCGCTGGAAAGACTTCTGGGTACGCTCCTTGGACACCATCCAGGGCCTGTACCTGTGACCCTACCCTGCCTCAAGTAAAGTTATGTTTGTGCATACTTCGTTCTCTTGTCTGTCTGTCCATCCATTCATCTCCGCTCTGTGCCAGGCACTGTAGCTTCATCAGAAACAGGACATGGTATGGTCCCAGTCTGCGTGGAACTCACTTCCACTGGGGAAAACAAACCAGACATGAAAGAGAATGTCCACACAGTCAACAACAAACGCAGGTATTAGAAATGGGTCACTTAAAACAGATAACAGAACTTCAAAGGAAATAACTCTCCAAGGCATGCCTGGCATTTCAGCTTTCATTTCCTCTGGGTGGAGCTATGAAAAGCCAGTTTTCTGCAGCTGGGCATGAGGAATGAAGGATCTGCCTGGCCAGGGCTAGGGGGATACTCCATTTGGAATTCTGCTTCCCAGATCAGGCGCAGAGGGGTATCCACTTGGGCTTTTAGGGAGAGAAATGGTGAGATGAAGGCTTGCAGACTCAGACTGAAATCCAGAGAGATGTGCTCCACCGAGCACTCGCCTCCCTGTCTTTCTAGCCATAACCCAAGTTGTGACAAACCCACCAGGGTTCCAATGCTTCACAGCCTCCTCCAGTCCAAGATGGACTCAGCCCTCATCCCATGCCTCCTACCTGCACAGACAGAGAGGGAGAGGGAGGAAGAATGAGGTGTAGGAGGGAGAGAGGAAGGAACAGGAGAGAGAGAGAGAGAGAGAGAGAGAGAGAGAGAGAGAGAGAGAGAGAGGAGGGGGGCTGCCCAGAGAGAATCACAATTCTGGCCTGGTCTGGGCAAACCTGGCTGCCCTGTGTTACATTCAGATACCTCATGCCAAAAGTCCAGAAGCTTCAGGGTTGATGGCTAAGCCAATGACAAAAAAAGCCCTCACTTGTTCCTCGGGCCAGAGGCTATGGCAAGAAAATATTTTCTCTCCTAAAGCTCTTTGGCCAGTTGAGCTGCATGGGAAGCTGTTTCTGGAATGAGGGTGCCTGGTTATAAGTTCTAAATTCTTATGGGATATATCACCTCAGAAGTGAAGTGGCAGTTTTTCAAGGTCTCATCCTCTAGGTTCCTTCCTTCAATGTGACCCTGTCTGACCTAGCAACAGCTTACCTGCACCTGTCGAGTGTTACCTCCTGCCTACAATGTCACCATCGCTGAGAGACTTAACTATATCCAGGGCCCCAGCTGCTTTGGAGTCTCCTCTCTCTTATCAGTCCATTGCCTCTCAGGACTTAACCTGCATCTTAACCTGCACTATCGGGCTCGTACTAACATTGGCTTCCTGGGGACGTTATCAAGTATACATGAAATCGTAATTACAAGTTCATGGATTATATCACAGGAAACAGATGCACACACTTAGAGTTGGGAGAAGTATAAGAATGGGCAGCATATGGCGTGGAATACAACTTTAGAACTGCTTTCTAAACCTCCCTGTGTGATATTTGAAGTTACCTCCCCTCTGAGCCACTTTCCATTTTGTTCCACAAAGGGGTTTAAATCAAAGAAAATTTATGTATTGTCATCCTATAGCATAAAACATTCTGATGGCTTCCCACTGTGTCTTGGTCACTTTTGTGCTGCTGGGACCAAATATCTGACACCCATAATTTAAAGGAGGACAGATTTATTTTCAGTAGTTGGCGGTCTCCAAGGCAGAACAGCATGGCACAGGGGAGTAGCAGAAGAATACAATAATAGCTGCTCAGCTCATGGCAGCCTGGAAGAAGAGCAGGGAGGGAGACAAAGACTTCAGGCCATGCCCTCAGTGACCATCCTCTTCTGATCAGGCCCAACTTCCTAGTAGTAAATTTATCTATAAACTCATCAGTGAATTAATCCACCAATGAGTATAGTCCTCACAAGATCTAGTCACCTCCCAAAAGTGCATGGGGCTCTGGGGAGAGGTCCAGATATAACACTGCAATTAGAATCAGACCTAAGTGCCTCATCCTGGTCTGCTCATTGCAGGTATCCACGACACCTTGCAATGATCAGTTTGTAATGACTTGATTCAGAATACCATAGAAGTGACAGGATGCCTTTCAATGGGGCTGCTACTAGAGCAGCATAGATTGGGTGGCCCATATGCAAGAGAAGCTCATTCCTCACAGTCCTGGAGCTGGAAGTCTGAATGAGGATTCCAGCCTGGTCCAGGTTTGGAGCTGTCCCTCTTCTGGGTCGATGTTTGCCAATCTTCACTGTATTCTCACATAGCTGAAAGAGGAGGAGAGAATTCTCTGGTGTCCCTTTAAAAAGAGCACTTATTATTTACCCTCAGAATTTAGTGACTTCCCAAAGGCCCCACTCCCTAATACCACTAGGAATTAAGATTTCATAATACAGCTTTTGGGGGACACAAACATTCCATCTATTGCAGCTTCCAAGATTTGCCAAAGATTTTACCAAAAATGCAGTCTATTTCCTTTGGATTTTCCTGGGTTCCTTCTCTCCTTTTTCATCTCTCCTCCTCTCACTTTCTCTTCCTCTCCTCTCTCCCTTCATTGCCCCTTCTTATTCATAATCTTTAATGGGATTATGCAAGGATCCATACTCTGAGCTTCCCTATGTAGAGTACCACCTGGAAAGTACCAGGGAGCACCCAGTCCAACAGACAGGAAGGAACTTAGGCTATCAGTCCACACTGGATTTTGCCAGTACCCATGAGTACTGGGCTTGGGAACAGGTCCTCCCATGGTTCAGAGACCACAGCTACAGCTTCCTGAGAGCCGTGAGTGTAATCAAAATAACTAAGGGAGCTGGGCCTGGAGCCCTTGTCCACAGAAACCTTGAGATACTCACCATTTGGACTACCACAGTGCTCATGCTACGAGAACAGATAACTAACATATAGCACCAGGCCCCAGGCTCTGGCCCTGCCATGCTCTTCTCTCCCCTCTTCTGTTTTCCCAGGCTCCCCTCAGCCACACAGGCTCCCTTTAAACCTCTGCCAATCTCACTCTGCCTGCCAGTCCCTGGTTCAATGGTGCTTTTTCCCTGATGCACTGCTCCCAGATTTGTACAAGTCTGGTTCCCACTTGTTCTGGTCACAGCCCACCTCAGAGAGGCCTTTCTCATTCTCCCACCCGGTGTGTCCCTACTCCTACCTCAAACCTTGCTTGATTTTTGCTGTCACTCTTACTCTTGTCTTTCACATATACTTGCTTTCACACTCTGTTCATTCTCCCCGCCCCCACTGTGAACTCTACCTGAGTGGTCACCTGATGGTTTTCAGCACCTCGTAGTGGACCATCTGGGTACTTAGCGTGGAGTTAGTGTTCAGGGAAGGACATGATTGCTGGACAAATAACAGGAAAGGTTATAGAGATCCACTTCAGGCTTCTCACCAGCTCAGACTCAAAATGATCACTAATTATAGGAAGTGTCAGTTGGGTCTGAAGCAGAAAGGTGGCCAGAACGATCTCTGCATGGCTCTCCCCAGGCTCCTATTGCTCTGGCAAAGCCCAAAGGTACCACTGACCCAGCAAGCTGCCCATCCTCCTGGTGGCAAGCACCAGCACCACAGTCCCTGACAGGAACATTGACCACACACACATTTCAGCAACCCCAAGGCAGTGCTTCTCAGAGTCTGGTGGGGACAAAAGAGAGGATCTGAAGCCTCCAAGAGCAATGCAAGGGACTTTAGGAGCCTCCCTTGTCCTCCCTTTGCTTACACTCCCTGCAGGGCACGGTCTAGTGCACTAAGGAGGCATCCTTACCTCAGCTACAGCAATGACTCCTCCCTCTTCCAGATGAGGACCACAAGGATCCAAGGGTGGGATCTCTGGACCCCAGACTCTGTATGTACCACGTAGAGGGGATCACTGCAAGCTGTTGTGGATGACACCACTCTTCAGGCAGGGATGAGCACCTCAGTTTTACACTAGAAATCTCCCCCCAAGTCCCCACAGTGTCATAGATACAGGATTCCATGATGTGGCTCCTTGTGCTCGGTAGCAAGTCCTCACCACCGAGTGAGTTCCTGCATCATTGCACTTGCACTTTCAGTGTAGCGAGATCTGGACAGTCAGCTCTGTTTCCAACGCCTGCTGGGCCTTGGTCACAGGAAGTGATGTCACCCTCATGTGACATCAGGGTATTTAAGGAGTAGTTCCCTCACTAAAAAACAGAGCAAAACAAACAAAACCTGACATGCTGTTCACTGTTCCCAGTAGAAGACAGCTTGTTGCTGGCCAAGCAAAAGCACCAGGTCTCAGAATCATACACATGGACTCTACATTTGCCTCTGCCACTGTTCTCACAGGGATCTGTCCCAGGGGAGGCATGTGTCTTGCCCAAGGTCACATAGTGGCAAACCTTATACTTCGGTTAGTGTTAGAATGACTGCATATACAATCATGTGTCATTTAACAATGGGGACATGTTCTTTCAGTAAAACCAAGAGACATGGTAAACAGAAGATGTATCAGGCTGCTGTATGCATAGCATGGCATATTGTTTCATAGTAAACCATTTAATAAGTGGGAGTATACCATAAATTAATGATGTGAAGCATATGTAAATACATAAGCCAGTAGCTTTATCATTATCAAATATTATGACCATACCTAATTGTATGCACTATACTTCTATTAAACCAGCAATGCAGAAGGTTCATTTACCCAAGCATTACCACAAATATGTGAAGTAATGTGCTGCACCAGGATACTCATTACAGTGGCTACATCCTTAGGCAGTAGACGCTTCAGTTCCTTATAACCTGATAGAACACCATTATATATGCAGTCTGTATGTACCATTTTATTGTTGACTAAAACAGCATTTTGTTGTATCTCCAGAATAACAGTGACATGAATAAGAGACTTTGTCCTTTCTCATGTCAAAGAACGATAGAAATAAGCAGAAATGCTGACATTGGACCAACTGCTATGGAAGTTCTCAAACCATCTTCTGTTTTAGCATCTTAGGGTATGGTTTACATCATCATAGTTGACAAGGAGCTGGTTCTTGCTTGCATTAAAAGTCACTGCTGGCACTCCAGCCTGGACTAGCATTTCAGAGGCAGGCAGGGGAAAAGAGAGCAG